CTCAGGTTAGATATCCAGACCGTATAACTCTCATCAGAGGGAACCATGAAAGCAGGCAAATTACACAGGTGGGTGAATGCTGCTGTCTCATTGATAGTTTCTTTGGTTTTTTTTTGTGTATATATTTGGAGTGTTTTAAAGAGTCTGCTTTTAGTAGGTTTATGGATTTTATGATGAGTGTTTGCGTAAATATGGCTCTGTTAATGTCTGGAGATACTGCACTGACATTTTTGACTACATGAGGTACTTACACCTTTCTCTGTTTCAGTTTTTTTTTTGGGAACTCCTACTCTAAAAATGACGAGTCTCTTTTTATTATGTACAAAAGTCTCTCAGCTGTTGTTGAGAACAAGATATTCTGTGTTCATGGTGGTCTCTCTCCAGCTATTATCACTCTTGATCAGGTTTATATAAAGAACTCACTTTCTCTCTCTACTGATATAATTCAGAGTTAACTGACGAACTCATATTACACTTAATGGCAGATCAGGACAATTGACCGGAAGCAAGAAGTGCCACATGATGGTGCCATGTGTGACCTCCTATGGTCTGATCCTGAAGATATTGTTGATGGCTGGGGACTGAGTCCACGTGGTGCTGGGTTCCTTTTTGGCGGCAGTGTTGTCTCGTCGTTTAACCACACAAACAACATAGATTACATAGCCCGAGCCCATCAACTAGTTATGGAGGGTTACAAATGGATGTTCGATAGCCAGATTGTGACAGTGTGGTCAGCCCCAAATTACTGTTACAGGTAAACTAAGATACTCAGAAGAACCGTCTGTCTCTGTGTATCTTAGCCTTGACCTTTGCATTATTTCAATTATGCTCCAGGTGCGGTAATGTGGCTTCGATTTTAGAGCTCGACGAGAATCTAAACAAAGAGTTCCGTGTGTTTGAAGCAGCGCAGCAGGTTTGAACCATGCTTTTAGTATGAAGATTTTTACTTTTGGTTCTGATTCCCTATGCGCAATTCAGTAGCGAGACATACTCTAAATTGCAGGACTCGAGAGGGCCTCCCGCCAAGAAACCTGCCCCTGATTACTTCCTATAAGGAACTGAACTTTAGCAACCTTATTCGAAAAGTAGAACTGAGGAAAGAGAATCAGAACTCGTTCAAGAGTCTGTGTCACAGTGCTGCAGAAGAAGTCTATACGATGCAGGCGAGATCTATTTGAAGTAGCATTGGGGTTGTTTGAAAAAAGATACTGTTGTTTCCAGATTTTACTTGTAATGGTAGTTAAAGAGTGTTCTGTGTGATGGTAGTTAAAAATGAGTGTGTTTTTATGTCGTAATTCAAGTTTTGTAATTTCATAAGAAAAGACCTCAAAAACATTTTTGAAGCTCAACAGTCATTTCAATAGAAAGTTCCATATGAACCGTTTGGACAATTTGACAGGAACTGGCATATCGAATGAGTTCATGCTTGGACTATTGACGTTGATAGGAACTTGCCAAAGATTATTACAAGAATCCCAAAATGCTTTTTAGTCCATCAACAATAATACATACTCACTTCGTGGCATAGTCTTTTGAGTATAAAGTGAAGACTGTAACAGAATTGAATGAGGCAAAGATTCAAGAGTAAAGAGAGGGGAATTGTATTGTTGGTTCACACTGCGATGAGAAGTACAAAACCGATATGTTTGAAAAAAAAAAAGAAGAAGATAGACACTCAAATGTGTGCAATTGGTTTTTGTTAGTATGAGGAAGACATTGGGGAGTTCTTGTGTACGCGTTTTCCTGAACAAAACAGCAATATGAAACATGCAATATGACACAAAAGAACTAAAAAAACAGCAAGAAGAAAAGAATATGCCAAACAGTTTTACAAATATGAAACATGCCCCCAAAATTCACAAACAACATCAGGGCAAAAGGCTCACGTTTGTTTATCAACTATGACATAAGTAAAACATCAATGAAAACGAATCACAAATACTAGAATAGAATAGATGATCAAAAGTTGAATGTATACCACAAGAAAGGAAGTTTCAACACCATCAGATCCAAGCTCCTCCAATATACCCTTCCCTTGAGAGTCATTTGCTACCTAAACATAATATTTATCATTACTAATCAAATTAACATCACTAATAACATACTCAATTGTTGAATCTCTCCATGCCAGACTACGATTCCTACCTTACTAATCAGCCTAGAAGTCATTCCCAAACGAGCTGCACAAGTTAATGGGTTTCCAGCATTCCCTCCTCGTACCTTATTACATCAAACACACAATTCCTAAACCTTAATTCACAAACCAAAACAGAAGATCCTGAAGAGAGCGTAAAGAGTTAAAGACTACCTTGAGGCTGGTGCTTTAGTTATCATAAACAACAAAGTTGAGTATTGGCCCAAACTAAGTATTTAATAAGAAAACTTCCAAATTAATTTTATATTCAGTCTCCACTACCGATAAATCTATAGTTTAGGAGGCTTTACATTAAACCTAGTTGATGAGTTTTACCATTAAAATGCTAAAGAATATGTAAAAAAATTATAATAACAGCATCTGAAAATGATTAACTTGAATTTTCCGATTAGCATTTTAAAAATTTATGCAAATATATAAATATGACTTGTTTTAAAATCAACACTATAAATATATAAATTGAAAAATAAAAAATAGTAATATTATGTATTTACCATTAAAGACCTAAAAATTCAAAAAAATCAAAGATATGAAAACATCTAAAAATATAGTAACATTATCTAAAGATTAATAACTTAAATTTCTTTCGATCATCCAAAAGATTATCCGATTACTTGAAAATTGAGAAAGTACCACAAATTGCTCTTGCTATTTTTTTGGATAAAGGCGGAGCCTTTATACTTAGCATTGCACTTTCAGTTAAGGTTAGCTTCAATACCGTCCAATGAGATTAAAGTTTGTTTTGACTTTGATAATTTGTTTCGATAATTTTTTGGTTTCTTACATTTTTAATTTATAGGTATATAATATTGCTATTAAACAAATCAAGCTCATATATTTACAATTTTTTTTAAAAACAAATCTAATTTAAAAATTAATTTTACTATAGTTTGATTTTTTTGGATTTTTTGAATTTGTAGTGGTAAAACTCTTTAATATATTTAGTTAGTGTAAAAATCTCTAAACTAAGGATTTACCGCTAGTAATGGTCATTTTAATTGGAACTATAGACAAAATGTTTAATTCATTAAATAAAAATAGTTTGAAGGTTTTCTCGTTAAATACTTAATTTAAAGTTTTTTATCAAAACAAACTTAAAGGATTTTAACTTTAAAAATCCTTTGATTATAGGAGAAAGAAATGATTATCATGAGATAAGTACAACAGTGTAACTTTAAATGGTTAAATCATATTGGATTCTAAAAAATATCTATAACTCCAATCTTGGGTAGGTCAATGTAAAGCTCTCAATAAACTTAGGGTCTAAATGGTGATATAAGGAATGAAGGGGAATAATCAATTTCTATTCATTCCTTTATACTACTCATGAAGAATATTTGTTGTATATGATTTCTTGTCATTCCTTAAATTTTAAGGAATTAAAGAACAAAATCATTCTTTATCAAAATTGATATGAAAAAAAATAATAAATATTTTTTTCATTCCTTTAATTTTGTTTTTGCTTATTCTTTTCCCACTTATTCCTATTCGTATTTGAATAAATATTTTGTTCATTCTTTTTATTTTTATTTTGCTTATTCTTTTGCCACTTATTCCTATATTTTTTTCATTCTTTTTATTTTGTTTTTTCTTATTCTTTTCCCACTTGTTCCTATTCGTATTTCAATGAATTCTTTTCTCGCTTATTCCTTATTCTTATATTTTTTTTCATTCTTTTTATTTTGTTTTTGCTTATTTTTTTCCCACTTATTCCTATTCGTATTTCAATGGATTCTTTTCTCACTTATTCCTATTTGTATTTCAATGGTCAGAGTTATACTCTCAAGTCATGGAGTTAGAGAGCTCAAGTGTAGGGCCATTGCAATCGGCCTTAGTGGATTTCATTACAAGGGGAGGCACACAGTTTAAGGACATCGTTGAAGCTGTTTTGGTTGAGAAGATAGGTGCACCGTTGAGTCAATTCAAGACAGCGACGAAGATTCTACAGAAGATCGCCCCCCAAATCCCGTTTTCTCACTGTCTTCCTTTGCGATTTGTAAGAAACGATTCAAGAATTCACCCCTATATCAAAAAAAAAAAAAATATATATATATATATATATTGAAAATTTAACCTAATCGTTTAAAAGCCCTAAATAGATTTCTATATTAGTGAAAAGATTTAAAGCCACTTCAGAAAGATATTTGGTGAAAAATTGATGTGATACTTTAAAAAAAAAAAGACAAGGGATTGATGAAAAAATAATTTAAACTAAATAATAAAATTATAGATGAGATGACAGATGGAGGGAAAATTATAAAAACACTACACTAATATGATCAAAAATTTTCTTTTCTGAAATATTATTATTGTAAAAGTAAATTGGCATTTATAATTAATTTAAGAATATTAGCTAATATAGTTTATGAACCAGAAACTACTAAACTGAAATTCTCAAGTTGGAAATAATCACTGAAAATTTAATTATTATTTTTGTTTCATTATTTTGAGAATCTTATTTAGATTTTATTACAATATAATGCTTAAATTGTTGTAATAAAATTTAAAATGAGAAGCTATTCTCATATTCTTTCTAAAATTGTTGTATTTTGTATCACTTTTAACAATCTAATAAATAAATTAAGTTGATAAAAAAAAAGTAGCAACATTGTAAAATTACATTGAAACTGGAAATAGCTGAAGAAGGGTTGATACAAACACAACAACAAAACATACACTATTATTCAACATAAAAGCATCCCTATACAGCTGCTACTCATACTTTTTGCCTTACAGAGTTGGACATAACATAACAACACACACATGGACTTTGCTTTTAATTAGAAACAAGTTTCATTTAACATCGATCGATTATCATATCCTCAAGCGCCTCTACCATTTACTTTCAGTAGTAGGCTGTCTTGTCTTCATTGATACCTGCATAGATCTTGGCACAGTACTCAAACAAGCTACCGTCAAAACACCTCCTAATCGCTTCTTTTGACAGAAACCCTTCTTCATCCCTTGCTAGCAAATACAACAACCCCCATTCTACTTTGCTTGCGATCCTAATTAATACACAAAAAACAGATTATTTTTTTTGTTAAAGATTCACAAAACTAACTAAAGCTTAATAAAGGAGGAGGGGGGCTCATGTACCATCCGAAAATGTCCCATGCGTCACGTTGTCCTTGTGTCATCTCCCATAATTCTCCAAGGCTCAGTTTGTCTGGCAATGTTTTCGCATATTTGCTAAATATCAACTCTAGATTCACCGGCATAAACCTGCGATTTAACATAAGACATGCATGGTTATATATATATAGACCACATCATGGTTTATGACCCATTTTACAATGTATATATATATATAGCTTTCACACTGCTCACCTTCCTTCATTGTCATATGTTCTTGAGTCGCTTCCATGCTTTGACTTGTGTATATTGTGTATGTATATAGGGAAGAACGGCGAAGGTAACCATCCCTATATTATTAAGGACAAGACTAGATTATAAAATCTACACGATAAATATGTTGGGGGAGGATGACAAGTGTTTACCGGAAGAGTAGCATAGCTAAGAACCAAGTTGATTACAGCGGCTGTGATAAGCGACACAATGATATTGAAACCAAGCATTCTCAGTCCTAATCACACAGGTCGGAATCAAACTTTCGTGCATAGAATACGTGTATGTATACAAAATATAATGTTTATGTATAGATACATACCAGAGTAGGTCTCCCAAGGGTAGATAATGCCATTATCATCTAAATCGAAGAAGGCGACATGTTGCTGAAGAACACTAAGTCCGTAATTCTTATGGCCTGGGGTTCCATACGGATGCTCTCTGTCTGGTGCTTGCAGTGCTCTTGGCATATCTATGCATATATCAAATTACCATCAACTATATGGTAAATACATATGGATGTTATATATATATCTTACAATTTAGACCATTTTTGCTCAAGTACTATCTCTACTATCATGATCATAAAGTTAGGGGGGTGATATTTTCATTACTTTAAAACGAGTTTCTTTAAATTCTTCAATACAAAATATCTATACATGTATCACATGCATATAGATAGATGCATGATGACATGATGATATATACGCATGTTGACATTAACTAGGATGTAAGAGGAAGACGTTATTACAAGGTTTAGGAAGTCGATCATCCATGTCAACACGAGCGCGGCGGTGAAAAGTGACCGGAGCGTAGGGAGCCACCGTAGCCATGGCATCTCGCTCCATTATCTCCGTCGCTGAACTCATCTCTATCGTTTTTTCTTCGCTCTGTGGACCGAGTGCAATGCGTTTCTGTTTTATGTGTTTAGAGTAAAGAAGAAGAGAGCTAATAAGATGATGATTGTTTGTGCGTGGCGGACATGCATGCACCAACGAACACACCGCTTGACATCTCTTTCCTTGTCGTTAACGCGCATCTCTATCTTCCTCCTTACACTTGACATCACAAGAACGACACGTTTGCTTTCATGCTTCACCACTTTTTTTGCTAGTGCTAAATTGTAAATCTCACACAAAACCATGGATCAAGCCTTTTTAGGTGTACGTTTATACTGTTTGTGGTTAGAGAGATACTATAACATAACATGAAGGGAGAATGCAAAAAAAAAAAAAACAAAGTTTGAGAAATCAGAAGACTTCACACAATATTTTTGTTTTGTACACAAAAGTCTGGGCCAGATAAGTTAATAACAAACCAATGGTGTGATTATGAGCTCATACACACGTTCACACACATCAAACCCAAAGGTTCATAAATTAAAACATGAAATTTAGTGTCCCGCTGATGGATTCGTTAGCAACTCGAGTGACTTCTTCAGATGTTCTACAGCAGTAGAGACTTCATCAAAAGCCAAAGCTCCTACAGCGAATCTAGCAGCCTTGTGTGCCTCTGCGATCTTCTCTGGCCCTGGCTTGTAGTTGCTGTCGTAATGGTACTTCTGAGATGGAGGATCTAGAACAGGAGCAACATTGACACGCCCGTTCGATGATGAATAAGGAGCAGGAGGAGGAGCAGAGGCGAAGCTTGTGGAAGAAGGAGCAGGTGCGGAGTGTGGGGAGGAATAGTAAGGTTCAGGGTTTTGGTAGTGAGAAGGGTAGTGGGAAGGAGTGGCTGGGAGGCTGCTTTCACTAAAGCTAGGGTAAGACTGGAAATTAGGGAGAGAGTTTGGAGAAGGCTCATGAGATGGGTAGTTTTGTGGTGGCGGCATGTGTTGTGGGGGATCTTGGTGGTATGATTGATGGTTGTAAGGATGGGGGTAAGGGGAGTCTGATGGTCCCGTGGGAGGCGGAATGAGATCGTTGGAAGGGTAAGAAGATGGTGGTGGAGGTGGGGCATCTGTTGGATAATTGTTGTTAGGATTGTCATGAAACCTGGGAGGAAGATGATGTTGTGGCACTTCAGGGAAATGGTGGTGGCTTGAGTCATCATTCGAGTCATGGGATGGACCAGGCTCTGTTCTATGCTGACTTGGTACGTTGGTATCACTTGCACCAAGATCCTGTAGATTATGAAAATGTGAATGATGAATCGATTACGTTGATGCAGATGTTCATACCTAACATTTGCGCCAACATCTAGATATTCCAAAACTATTAATTGCCAAGTAGAGAAACTTACATAGGAGCCACTAGGACCGCTTGATGGGATGGATAAATCACTTTCATCATCAACAGGGTCACCTGGAGTGGGTTTCCTTCCTTCTTTAATGGCTTTCCTTATGTCAGCAGCCTTCCAAGCAGCATACTTCTGTTTCTGCTCTATCTGTTCATGGTCCATTACATATAAATATAGTCAAGCATCTAATAAGAAGATGCCTCTTAAGGTGCGAAATTTCTGTTTGAGATGTTAAATGAACAAAAAGTAGGAACTCACATCAGGAGGAACCGGGCCAAACTGGCTCAGAATCTCAAAGAAGATGTTTGCAGCATAGAAAGTTTTGGCAGTGCCCCTGTCAAAAATATCGCAACGAAGTTTAATATGGATAAACTCCTTAAAAGTGTCTGTAAAGGAGTCACATAAATGCAGCTGTTAACCCTTCTAAATTAATGGGCATTAATTGAGCTAATATCAAGAATTACAGATAGAGACACTTAAAAAAGCAGAACTGTTAGAGGGAAACAAGACTAGGATGCATCCGATTCGTTACCGGTTATCTTATGCGTGTCTGTATATATACATATATATATATTACTGCAACTCGAAATACATCATTAGACGATGTATGGAGCCATGGAGGAAGGTGTCACCTAAAAAACTATGTGCTTACTGTAAAAATATGTACTTATATGTTCTTTTCAATATTGGCAATAACAATACTAGACAGAGAATGAATCTGGAGAAACGGAATAATTCGAACCCATTGAGCTAGTGATGATGGTGGACATACTAATGCTGACTGATGCTCAATGAATAAACAGTACTAAAACCTTACTAGTGTCGAATGTTATTCAATATAATAATCAGATGCAAGACAAAAAGAAAAAGCTTACAAGTCAGCTCTTCCTGCACGATCCTGCTTGTCAGCCTTTGCAAAGACATTCAGTGCAAACCCCTCTACATGCATATTGTCATCTGGGGACAGAGTCAATGATTTCTTATCCTGGAGTTACACACAAGAAATCTCGGTAAGAAACTGGAACAAGTCAGGAAACTGCCTCGTGATTAACAAGATGATCATAGATGGTACATGTGGCTAAGAACGCACATGACAGCAATGGCAGACGAAAAAATTAAAAATTTACCAAATTCACCATCAAACTTGCAAAAAAAAAAAAAACTACAAGAGCATAGATAATAGGCCACAGAAACAGGGGAGAGAAAAACCTAATCAACCCCCCCAAGGCTGAGTATATATGTTCTTGCTTTCACATATGTTTTTTTTTCAGTCACGTCTTAACAACAAAATCTAAGGTAAGATTAAAGGCTTAGCTTCCCAAATATAAGCATACATACACTATCCAGCCTTGTGACATCAGTTATAATAATCAAAGCCAAACAGATCATGAAAATTACTAAGAATCAGGTAGCAAAAAATTAAGCTAGATGATTAAAAGGTGAAACCTTTTCGAGCTGATTAATGAGGGACATGAGAATCGAATTGGTGGTTTTAGTTCTCTCGCTCTGAGGAATCTTCAATCCTCGTTCCATCGCGTATAGCCGACCTAATCAAATCAATCAATCAATCATCCCCACAACCAAATCAGTTTTCAAAAGATCCATATCAGTACTCAATCGCTTGGACAATCATCTAGGTTTTGTTAAATCAAAAGAGATAGAGAAGACAACAACACAAACTTACAGTAATAAGCAACAAGAGGTTCATGTTTCTGCAACTCATCAGCGCGTTGCAAGTAAGGTAGAAGAGCTTTCGCTGGTTCGTTTGTGTTCGACATCGATTCTCTGACGAGCTTCGTTGCTTTTTCTCAGATTGTTAAGAGACAACAACTAAAATAAGGAAGTATTATTCCTAGTTTGTACGCGCTTGTGATTGTCAAATACGGAACGATGTCGTTGAATAGACAAAGTCCTGATCCCCTTGGGAAAACCCCTCCAAGTTCTTAAAATATTTGCACCTCTCCTCCAACCTTTTAAATTATTCAATAACCCCCCCCCCCCAAACATCTTTAACTATATTACGATTTTTCCCCACATAAAAAATATAACTCCATTTAGAACCCTAACTTTTCTTCATTAAACCGGTTACTAGTCATTACCAATGCTTAGAAAAAAATTATGAGTCAATTAATGATACAGAGACATAGAATCTAAGTAAACATTCTACTCTCATTGTCTTGCCTTGTTTCTAAAGTGTTTGTTTCACAAAACATCAGTCTTTTCCTAATAGCAACTAACAAAGACTGGAGATACTACTGTCACGGTGAGGCTACAACTGGAGATGCAGCATCCTCTTTAGAGATGGCAACAGGGTTAGAAGGTGATGTTAGCTTGTTGAGACTGTCTCTTTTGGACTTGCTTCCGTTCATGGATAAGCGCCTAGCAGGCGTTTCGTTACTACCTCCTCCGTTAGCTCGTGTTCCCACAGGTTTCTTGGCACTGACGGGTCTTGCAGGAGGACTCGGTTTAGACCCAAAGGCGGATGAGTCTTGATCTGTGTGTGGCTGTTCTTGCTGCTTTTTCTGTCCCTGTTCATTAAAAAAAAAAGGCAAAGATTAGTTTATAAGAAGTTATGTTATACAACAACAGTATGAGAAACTAACTAACCTTCTGCCTCCGCTTCTCCTCTTCTCGTGCTTGCCTCAGTATAGTGTATTCATCTAACATAGCGAGCAGAGGAACACCATCATACTCAAAGGATATACTCTTGTCCTCTTCCCACGCCCGAGTTTTAGCAACCAATGTGTCAACCATTGCTTGTACAAAACAAAAGATGACAAATCTGTCAGTCTCCGTGCATTGTGAAAATATATAAAGAATCTTGGAAAGTTAGTTACCGGTAATCTTGCTGACTAGAATCCGAGCTTTCTCAGCTCTCTTGAGATTCAAATGCGCACCACGACTTGCACTATACTTGTTCTGATCCTGTTTTCAACAACAAAAAGAACCAATACATTAAAATGCATGTCTTACTAGTAATGAGTTTGATCCTCTTATGCATTTACCAGATTGTATTCCTCGAGCCAGCTCTCTTCCTCACAAGCTGACATCCACTTCTCAACTCGGTCTAATATTTCTTTTCTACTAAAGGCTTCTTCCTTAGCCTTTGCAATCTCACTATCCATTTGAGCTATAAGCTCAGTAGGTTCAGTGTTTCCAGAATCAATCAACGACATGATCCTCTCACGAACCACCTCTGGTTTAATCTCTATATGAGCGCGAGCGTATATCTCCTCCAGCTCGGTCTGCTTCTTGAATGCAATCTCCTTCATTCTGCTAGCTTTCAGTTTGTCAAGCCTATCCACTTCAACCTCAGCCTTCATGTTTTTAAACAAACAGTTACTAATTATAAGCATTGGTGGATCTAATATAATACAACTCACAATACCTGCTCGATCAGATCAAATGCTAGAGCACCAAAGACGGTCACTTCATGAACTGAAGCTGACATGTGACAAGTAACATGGTCGAAAAGCTCCCTTTCCTCATCAGGAGTGTCCATTAGATTCCAGAGATCAGTTAGCTGAGTAGCTAGCTCTTGAAGCTTCACAAAAACCAAGATTCATTAGATCATTTCAGAGATCTAAAAGACCATGATTTTGACTAACCTTTTTGAGTCTTTGATTCTTATCCTCTTTAAGAGTCAAAACAGTCTTAGCCAAACTTGAAAGTGTCTCATTACTAATGCTCTTGTTTTGAACACCATTCGCCTCATCTAAGCTTGGATGAACTTCAGTGACTGTGCTCAAGAAATCTAAACCAAGGACGGAACATAGATCATGCACTGTGCTCACAAACTCGAGCACTTTGTTCAACCTATCACTCTGTCCAAACACAAATGGAGTTTTAATTTTGGTCTGAAAGCAAACATATAGGCCACAACTAATATATATACCTTCTCTTTCTGGAGCTCTTGGAGTTTGCTCTTGTAGTCATCCAATCTCTTCAGGGACAAGTCAGACTCATCTACCACAAGAGGTCCATTGCTCAACCCACCAGCAATCTCTTCACATATCTTCTGGATCTGTGATTGAACACCAGAAAACTCTCGGACCCTTTTATCTTTTTGTTGCCAAAGTTGTTCAAGGGCAGGTGCTATTGCAGAAAGTTGCTCTTTGATCGTTCCCGAAGTATTATCTGGCTGCAATCAAGACAAACATATCTGAATAACTCTATAACCATGTCATGTCTAAAAAAAAATAGACGTGGGAGAGTACTTACAATGCCGATATAGCTTTTGTCACCAAGAGAAGCTATGAGATTGGAAAGTTCAACATTGGCATCCGACAAGGTCTGAAGAAGCTCTGCGCGAGATTTAGCGGCAAGCTCAACCTTCCTCTTGTAAACATTAAGACACTCTTCCTCTATCTGAAGAAGCAGTTTGTCTCGTTCCTCCTCACTCTCACCAACTTCATCCCATATTTCCTGGAACAAGGTTTGTCCAGTGAGTTTACAGAACCATACTTTTAGATGAGTGTTCTGAGAAATTACCTGTAACTTTTGGAGTAAAGTGCCACAAGTGATTTCTCCAAGAAGAGGATTATCTGCTTCTGTCACTGCCATTCTTGTGAAATCACAAGGTTTCCTTCGTAAAGAAAAAAACATAAAACATAAAACATTAGAACAGAACTGAAACTACTACCGAAAATAGAAGAGTTGCAATCTTTGCCAAAAAAAATAAACACTCAATCACTCTAATTAAAGTAAGGTAACTCCAAGACCCATTTTCAATCAGAGACACAGAATCTTGAACTTACGAAGCTCAAAACCCATTTCTAGCAAGAACCAAAGAAGCAAGTACATTGAAAGCAGAAGAAGCTCGAAAAGAGATGAAGATCTCAAGCTGTCACAGTTAATAACACTGAACTTTACAGAAATCTAACAGCATTGGTGCTAAAACCAAAGCAATAATCCAACAGTTACACTAATCTAACAAAAAAGAAAGTAGAAGATGATTTTTCTTTACCGAGATCGTTGTCGGATCCTAGGGTTTTATCTGAGTATTTCCTCTTCTTTTCTAGATCTGAAGCTCTCTGACGAATAGTCAGTCTCAAGTAAGAGAGAGAGATAGTTCAGTAGTATCATAGGAAACAGAAATCTCAAACTATGTTATGGAGGTTGGAAACTGGGAAAAGTGGGACCCATGTTCATTTATGTCCGAACGTCAATAAAATTAAACAGAACCTAAATAAGGCCTGATGGGCTTAAATATATTCCGACCCAGCCCAAATAGAATTAAAACACGTGTCGTTCATTTCTAAATGCAAACGTGACTCTCCACCCAAGAGAAGCGGCACGAATAGTTTATTTGATTCCTGTCTTCTGATTCGACAAAAGTTGATGAAACATCTCCGGTAAGTGCTCCTCCTCCATCTTCTTCTTCTTCTTCTCTCTCTCACCTTTGACATTCTTCTCATTTTCCTCTTAATTAGGGCTCCGCTTCTCAACCACCAGACAGAGAAGGCTGATATTCTGTAAGTTATGCTTGATCTCTTTTGCCAACCTCTGTTCTATCTGAAATTTTTGTGTCTTTTTCTTTTTATAATGATCATCTCTTTGTGGTTTGATGAATCTTTAATATGTATATATGCTTACACATTCAAATTTAAATCCTCTGCTGATGCGTGTCATCCAAGTAATCTGTGATTAACGTATGTGTGTATTAGATCAATGATATTAGTATGATTCACTGAGTTTGAAGAACCTAAATGCAGGAACTTGGCATTGTGAGAAAAGCATTTTCGGAGGGTAATGGAGAACTCTCCACGAATCAGGAAGCTAAGGGATAATGGTTATCCTTCTAACCCTAACACACCAACCTCTCGGATGAGCAATAACCAAAGAGACAACCATCCAAACTCTCCAAGGGATTACAATCATACTCCTAGCTCTCCAACAGCTCGCCTTCGTTGGAGAAACAGATCAAATGAGGTGTATCTATATCTATACATTGTCTTTTCGGTTTACATGTTCTAATATTCTTGGAATGTCTTTAGATTCCATCTGAGGTGAAAAGAGGCAATGCAAGCAATGTAAGGAATCTCTTACTTGGTGATAAGAACAAGTACAAATCAATGTGGATAAGGACATGCTCGTCCCTCTGGATGCTTGGAGGAGTTGTGTTTATAATCTACATGGGTCATCTCTACATATGGGCAATGGTTGTTGGTATACAGATATTCATGGCGAAAGAGCTCTTCTTTCTTCTCAGAAGAGCTCATGAAGACCGTCGCTTACCTGGCTTCAGGCTCTTGAATTGGCACTTCTTCTTCACTGCTATGTTGTTTGTATATGGACGTATACTTCAACAGCAGCTTGTCAACACTGTTTCTTCGGATAGGTTTATCTACAAGCTTGTTAGTGGTTTGATCAAGTACCAGATGGTTATCTGCTACTTCTTGTACATTGCAGGTTTGTGTGTCTTCTTCTTCACCAATTTCACCATCTTGAATAGCCACTTATGAGTTTAAAAACTGCAATCAGGTTTCATGTGGTTTATACTTACGTTGAAGAAGAAGATGTATAAGTATCAGTTTGGGCAATATGCTTGGACGCATATGATCCTCATCGTTGTGTTTACTCAATCTTCTTTCACTGTTGCCAATATTTTTGAAGGGATCTTCTGGTACACATGAGTTTATATATATCCACTGAAACGTATCGTTTGGACCTGTTCTGGTAACTTGATGATAAGATGGATATATATGCAGGTTTCTTCTTCCAGCTGCGCTGATTGCTATGAACGATGTAGCAGCTTACTTCTTTGGTTTCTATTTCGGGAAGACTCCTTTGATAAAACTGTCTCCCAAGAAAACATGGGAAGGTTTTATTGGAGCATTAGTGGCAACTACAATCTCTGCGTTTCTTGTAAGTAATCATCTTCTATCATTTGATCCGTTCATAACACTTTCTTTTGGTCTTGAGACTGATAAATTATATGCTTCTTACAACAGTTTGCAAACGTCTTAGGCCAGTTCCAGTGGCTTACATGTCCAAGGAAGGTAACAAAAGAATAAAATGTCCATCACTATATTTCATTGTAGTCTTTACTCGATTATTTATGATGCATCTTGTGCAGGATTTGTCTACTGGTTGGCTTTATTGTGATCCAGGCCCTCTGTTCAGGCCAGAGTATTACCCACTACCCTCTTGGATTGCTCCGTTTGTAAGCAACTAATTAACTTTTCTTATGAACAAACCAATGATGGTATCTTATACAAGTCTTGGCTTTGAAAACTTTGCTTAACAGTCTCCATGGAAAGAGATATCGATTCTACCAGTGCAGTGGCACGCTTTCTCTCTCGGTCTATTTGCATCTGTTATAGCTCCTTTTGGTGGTTTCTTTGCAAGCGGTTTCAAAAGAGCTTTCAAGATCAAGGTTAGACATTTTCGAGTAGTGATAAGCTTTGCATCTACAGATCCAAGAATGAATCCTTACATGGTTTGGTGGTTTTGACAGGACTTTGGAGACAGCATACCAGGACATGGAGGATTTACTGACAGAATGGATTGCCACGTAAGAGCAACTAACTAATACAGAATTATTGCAATATGATGATTATCCTCATTGTTATAACCGAGTCTGGTTGCATAAATTCAGATGGTTATGGCGATTTTTGCATACATCTACATACAATCTTTCATTGTTCATCAGGACTACACTGTCGAGATGATCCTAGACCATGTAAGAATTATCAGCACTCACTCAATACCATTATGAGACATATATCTTTGATTGTATGATACTTGCAGATATCGAGGAGCCTAGGACATGAAGAACAGAAAATGCTTTATGCAAAGCTAGGGGATATTCTCCGACACAAATCGCAAGGCGGGTTTTAACAAGAGAGTGTAGGTTTGTTTTGTCACTTTGTTTTCAGTTTCTGTTCTTTTGTTTATTTTCTGATTGCATTAGACTATGTAAAACCCTTTACTTGTATCTGATTAATTTATCAAAAGAGACTTGGTAGAGTGTGTTACAACGAGAGAAAACTATGAATGTTATCAAATCATGTTGCTCGAAACAAAGAACAGTAGCAAAACTTATAAAAGCAGCTTAACTTCTTTTTAAGCATCTGACTCTTTCTTGTCTTCTTCGCTCTCTCCTCCTTGGGTAACACCAACCTCAGCTGGTCTTATAACTCGATCAAACAACGTGTATCCAGACTGTATATATCGACACCCATCGTCAGTAGTTGGCGTGAAAACAATAGAACATGGAATAAAAAAAAAAAGAAAGAGAAAGTTTCATATATTTACCTTGAGGACATGAGCAACTGTGCCTTCTGGCTTAGAAGCATCAGGTACTTGAAAAACTGCGTTATGTCTGTTTGGATCAAATGGCTCGTTGATAGGATCATACTTCTCCATACCAAATTTCTTAAATACCTGCAGCAAACACACAGATTTGGTCAGTCTCATCAACACTGCTTACTTTAGATCTTACAACTACATTAAATCCACACACAAAAAATGTTGATGTATATACCTCAGCTAGCTGCTTCTCAGTCATCTCCACACCTTCTAAGAGCGTCTTTAAGAGTGGAGTAGCTCCAGCCGAATCTTCTTTAGTAGTGTCAAGCTTTGAGAAGCTTTCTTTGACAACCGAAGAAGCTCTTCCAAGATTATCCGCCACATCCAAAAGGCTCTTTGCAAAATTCTGCATATACACATTTACACACAGATTCTCAGCAAACTATCACATTCAAAACGAAAGATATCCACAAAAATCTCTAGTAGGCAAACCTGTATGGCGTACTTCTTAGTGTTCTCAGCATCACGTCTTGTTCTATCCATAACATTCTCCATCTCTGCGTAAGTGCGAAGAACTTTATCTTTCATTTGCTTAATCTCTTCCTCTTTTCCAGATAGTAACTCTTCCTTCTCAGCCACAAGCTTCATCAAGTCATCCATTGACAACTCCTCATCATCATCATCATCATCACTCCCGGAATCTGAATCAGATACTGCACCTCGTTTAGCACCCTTCCCCCTTCTCGAATCTTTGGTGGATTCTGAGTCAGGACCTGATTCGTTTGCATCAGCTGTAGCTTTCTCTCCAGATGTCTTCGAGGCCTCCGTGTTGCTCTCCTTTTCATTTGATTCAGGCGTGGTGGAGAAAGAAAAAGAGAGCCTTTGGAGTGGAAACGAACCAAGAGGTAGCACCTGAGATGCAAAATGGATGAATCAGCCAAAAAACCCTAATAGAGAATCTAAGGCAAGAGTGTGAAAGCGTCAAGTCATTTTATACACACATGGGGAAGATTCAAACATTACGAGATCAACGAAAGGCGCATCCTTTCTAAAAACCCTAGCGATTAAAACACTCAACTGAGATTCAAATCCTTAAACCCTAACAAAACCCTGAACTACAATTCGGTAGGGATAGTGATAAATTTTGAGTTAAAAATCAAACCTTTAGTGAGAATTCGTGAACGATGGAGTGATACCGGCTCAAGAGTATAGGAGCCTGGCTCCTCGCCGGAAAGGCGGCGGCGGAGAGAGAGGAGCGTAAGCCCGCGCTGCGGGAAACTCGCGATACAATTCTCGAAACAAACATCAGCGAAGGCACAGAGAAAGCAAGGCAGAGATCAAGAAGAAGGCGAGAAGATAACTGAATTGTGTTTTGAGGAAGATGCTCAGGTTCAGAGGCGGAGGAGGCGCACACAGAGAGACGTGGTTTAGTGTGGAGAAGAGTGTGCTTGTTTACGTAAATACCCCCACCGATGCACGGATGGTGGCTGAGCTTGTGAGGGTATTATTGTCAATATAGCAACTAGGAGATTTGAGAAACCTCTTCTAGAGTCAGAGGCACTCGTCCTAGTGTTTTTTTTTTGAGACAGACAAAGACCAACTCTTTCGACCAAACATCTCATAAAAGCTGTACGATGTAATTAAATTATACAAAGTGTATAGCTAATAAGCTACCTAGAAACGGTACATCTTACTAATAATGTGTTTCTCTGAAGAAAGATTTGTAGTTTTTGCTGATGATTTTTGGGTATATATCGCTGCTGAAAGTTGTCACACTCCCATAAAATATACGTACGTTCTGGAACATGGCTTGTGTCGGTGTTGTCTTTCGTATACGTGGTAGCACAAGCTATATCCTTATTATGATGCTCTCTTGTTACAAGGAGCAAATTGATCCTTGGCTATATAAAGTAGTCAGGAACTCAAGGATATTAGACCATCAGTGTTTTTGCTTTCACTCAAGGATTTTCAAGTTCTTAGTAATTATGTTTTCTGAAAACATGATTAGTAGTTTTTCGTGATGATGATGAATTGATGATGATGCTTTCACTTCGCAAAATGATCATATTTAATGCAATTTACTACTCCCTACGTTTTATTATAAGTGTCATTTTAGAATTGTGCACACGGATTAAAAAAACATTTAATTTTACATAGTTCATATATAAAAACACAATTACCAATACATCTAACCACATTTTAACCAACATAAAAAAAAGTTACATAATAAAGTTAATAAATATATAATTGAAAACCAAAAAACGACATTTATTTTGTAACGGAAAAAGTTCTCTATAACGACACTTTATATGGAACGGAGGGAGTATTTTAAAAGGTAAAAGTTGTCATTGCCTAATAACATTAAACATGTATAAAATAGAATTACATTTTGGTTGCAATAATGTTAATTTAATTATAGTAGTTGAGTAGGTCCTGACTTCTTTTGAATGGGACTAAGTGAAACTTAATGTTCAACTACTTATTAGGTATATAACTCAACAGCTAAATAGCCTGTTAATGGCTAAACACTCGGCCGAATATCAAAGAATATTGCTAGATCTGTTTTTTTTCATTCAATGTGTTTCTAATAAGAGAAATATTGGTACAAAAAACAATGAAATCGTGTTAATTAATAACACCTCTCAGCAGGTTACAAATCAAAACCTAACCACATTTAGTTTCAAGGAAAAAAAAAGTTATACAAAATCAAGAGAAAAAATGAACTTTAGTTGAACTAAAAGAAACAAAGTAACTTTAACGCTCATTGTCACATTTGACGCATGAGATACACTTTCTTGCCGTTACTTGTTATTGTCGCTGCACCAACCAAACTATATGGGTGAACCAAAAAAGCCCCAAAACGTGCAAAACATAGATTACAAAGCATCCAAGCGTTAAAAATAAACCAAACTCCATTGGATACCTAAGCTTTCTTTGTCATGTACACAACCAGTTTTGTGCGTGAAACTGGTAAGAGGAAGATGCGTTACTATACACCTGAAGCTTGCAAAACACTATGAATCCTCCTTCTTCAAGTAAGTCTTCTCTCTCTTTTTTTCTGTAGCTATTTAATACAGTCTCTTTGGTGCATACTATTAATGAGTCTTATCATTTTCGGCTCATTACTCACCTCAACCAACTCCAGACCCATCTCTGTGGCCAAAATTAAACATAGGCAACACACAAAAATAAGGAGTATTAAATAAGCATTATCTAATCAAGGGGCCAAGCTATTTTAGTGAGTACAAAAAGAAGAGAAAACTTGTCTGATTCGGTATCAAGTACCTATCCTTCCTCCAGTTATATGTTTGCTCTAGTTGTTCTTCCCAATCACTTGTGAGAGTCTCACTTGCAGAAACAAGAAGTTGAATAATTTTACGTAAAAAGCATGCTGCAAAACAGAGTTCTTGCTTTCTTGTTCCTCGCAACACACCTCTTGGTGGAAATACCTGACACGAGTGCCAAAGTTCCAGCACTTATAGTATTTGGGGACTCAACTGTGGACTCAGGGAACAACAACCAGATCTCTACGGTTCTAAAGAGTAACTTCGAGCCTTATGGCCGGGACTATTTTGACGGCAAAGCAACTGGGAGATTCTCAAATGGTCGGATAGCTCCAGATTTCATCTCTGAAGGTTTAGGACTCAAGAACGCAGTCCCTGCTTACCTAGATCCAGCTTACAACATCAAAGACTTTGCCACTGGTGTCTGCTTTGCTTCAGCTGGAACAGGCCTAGACAATGCAACCTCTGATGTACTAGTAAGTCAACCATAGCTCCATATCTTCAAATTCATACATATATATTATAATACTTCTTCAGTTTCATATCATATATTATATGATGTTTTTGAAGTTTTTTGGTGTTTCAAAATGTAAATTAGATTAACTTTAATTTTATTGAAATTATTCAACCAAATATATTTACAATTCTTTTTATTACTGGTTAAATCATTTTTAACGATGTTTTTATAGACAAGTAAGTTTCTTAATATTTGTGATTTTAGCCATAACATCTTCTTATATTATGAAAACGGAGAGAATATAAAATCAGTGTAATATTACTGACATGGTTTATTTGAAATGTCAAAGTCTGTGATGCCACTTTGGAAGGAAGTGGAGTACTACAAAGAGTACCAGACCAAGCTAAGAAGCTACTTGGGTGAAGAGAAAGCTAATGAAGTTATCAGAGAATCACTTTACCTGATTAGTATAGGAACCAACGATTTTCTTGAGAACTACTATCTTCTTCCTCGCAAGTTTCGCAAGTACTCTGTTGATGAGTACCAAAACTTCCTGATAGGACTCGCTGGAGAGTTCATGACTGATATTTACAGACTTGGAGCTCGTAAGATGTCTTTCTCTGGACTCTCTCCTTTTGGATGCTTGCCACTTGAAAGAACAACACAGATCTTTTATGGAAGCAAATGTATTGAAGAATACAACAATGCTGCTAGAGACTTCAACAAAAAGATGGAGGATAAAGTGTTTAAGTTGAATAAAGAGCTGAGTGGACTCCAGCTTGTGTTTTCAAACCCGTATGACCTTGTTGCAGACATCATACACCATCCTGAAGCATTTGGTGAGTACAAAGTTATAACACAAGCATTGAAATTTAAGAATTCAATTGTTAATGTTTATGATTGTGTCACAGGTTTTGACAATGTGAGGAGTGCATGCTGTGGAACAGGGTACTTTGAGATGAGCTACTTGTGTGATAAAATGAACCCTTTCACATGTAGTGATGCGAGCACATATGTGTTTTGGGACTCGTTTCATCCAACAGAGAAGACAAACGCAATAGTAGCAAGCCATATTCTGAAGTATGACTTAGCTCGGTTTCAGTGATATATCAGAAGTGTCATAACCCAATGAAAATAATTTTTACCTTACTACATTCTTTCTCCTACATGGTTTCTGTTACCAAAGTCTTAGTCAAGTTTCTTGATATTTCATCAAGCTTCTAGAGTGTTGTAAAAGAATCATTTTAATTTGTGTTCATGTTACATGTAACTAGTTAAACATGCTACTGTAATGTTGTTATCAAGACGGATCAGATCTTAGTATGAAGAAATAATGCAGAAATGGAATTGAATCCTGAAGCCAGAAACTAAAACCGTTGACTGATGTACCTCTCAGTGTATTCTACTATCATGAGTAACATATATCAATATGATACCAGAAAAAAAGGGGGAATGTTGGTGATAAGTAAACAATATGGTGAAGTTGAGAGGCTCACTAGAATGCATATCAGTTTCAATGGTTGAATTATTTAAATTTTTAATTTTATTTATTTTATAATTTTATAATTTCTGTTAAATTCATGTTTTATTAATTTTATAATTTATAAATAATACTACAAATTATGTGTGTATTATCATACATATTTAGTGAATTTGGAAATATTTCATATAAATATTTAAATTTAAAAAAACCCTCTAAATTTCTAAATATATTTAAAATATAAATTTTATATTTGGAATTCCATAAATTTTACTTGATTTTACCAGCTTTATAAATTAATTAAAATACAAATAAATACCATTCTTGAAATTGTACAAACCGAACCGGTTTTTAAAAACCCGTTTTAAATCGACTGGTTAATTAATCCATCCGGTTCCAATACAAACCAAAACCCTAAAAACCTTGACTGTCCGTTAACCGGTTATTCCTCTCTTGCGCCTTCTCTGTCTCAGTCCTCAGTCTCTCAAAACCCAAATGTACCCTCCTAGGGTTTAGGGTTTATGGTCGAGCAACTCAATTTGGGAGCGAACCCAAACTCAATCCGAAGGAACAGTCGATTGGATGCGGTGGCCGATCCCGACTGCGACGGCCAAGGCGTTTCTTCACCGACAATTCCTGAAGAACCGTATCCCTCCTTCGTTTCGACTTCGCAAGTTCCAACCTTTCTCTACCACCGTCAACTACCGAGAGATACTGAGAAGTGGGCTTCACGGTATCGAGCATGATGAAGCTGTGGACTTGTTCGGTTACATGGTTCAATCTAAACCCCTCCCTAACATTATTGAGTTCAATAAAGTATTGACTGTTATTGCAAAGATGAAGAGTTACGAAACTGTGATTAAGCTCTGGAGTTATATGGAGAAGGAAGAAGATATAGAGATCTCACCTGATATATATACTTGCAACATCTTAGTGAAGTGTTTTTGTGGCTGTTGTGGACCTTTTGTTGCTTTGTCTTTTCTTGGGAAGATGATGAAGCTTGGTGTTGAGGCGGATGTTGTTACGGATAGCTTGTTGGTTAATGGGTTTTGTCAGATTAATAGAAATGATGAGGCTTTCTATGTGTTTGAGCAGATGAAGAGGATGGGTGTTGCCCCTAATGTTGTAGTCTACACTATTCTTATTGATGGTCTCTGTAGGAATAGGTTTTTGAATGAGGCGGTTAGGCTTTTTGGTCGTATGGAGAAGGAAGGAGTTACTCCGAATGTGTTTACATACACTTCTCTCATTAGTGGTCTTTGTAACGCATGTAAGTTGAGGGAAGCGTCTCATCTACTGCGCCAGATGGTGTCCAGGAAAATTGATCCTAATGTAGTCACTTTCACTGCACTGATCAATGCGTATGTGAAAGCTCGGAAGTTTTCAGAGGCTAGAGATTTGTATGAGGAGATGATCAAGATGTCTATAGATCCTAATGTTTTCACTTACACTTCACTGATTAATGGGTTGTGCATGCACAATCGTGTAGATATGGCCGTAAAAGAGTATAAAAATATGCTACGCAATGGGTGCGCCCCAAATGTATTGACTTACTCTACTCTTGCAAATGGATTTTTCAAGTCGAACAGGTTCAAGGAAGGGATTGAACTTTTTGAAGATATGTTTGACAGAGGAGTTGCTGAAAACACAGTCTCTCGCAACACCCTTATCCAAGGGTGTTTTCTAGCAGGAAAAGTCAGTTCTGCCATAAAACTTCTACACAAGATGCCTTCTGATGGTCTGTCTCCCAATATTAGGAGCTACAACATTGCCTTAGCTGGTTTATTTTATAATGGGAAGGTAGAGCAAGCATCGAAACTATTTAAACAGATGGAAGAGAATAGAAATGATCTTGATATTGTTACATATACTATCATCATTCATTGGATGTGCAAGAATGGTAAGGCGGAGGAAGCATATGATGATCTGTTCTATAACCTGAGGCGCAACGGAGTGGAACCTGATGATAAAGCATACACGGCGATGATCTCAGGGTTAAAGAAGAACGGCCTGCTGGCTAGAGCGCATGCAGTGACAAGGCTTTACCAGGAATACCAGCGGAACAGAGGAAGTATATAGGAGATGAGATTCATTTACGGACTCGTAGCTCCTTAAGATATCTCTGTCCGTACTCCCGTATATGGTATGCCTGCTCCTGGAAAAAGCAACACTATCTGTTACGGAAGTAAGTGTATCACTGAAGAGGGCAGAGATTTGAAAAGGCAAGTTGGAGAATGAGCTGAACAGAATCCAGCAGGTGTTTTCAAAATCCATACGACATTGGTCTTTGAAAACATAAAGAATCCTAACGCATTCGGTTAGTTGAGTTTTATGAGTGTTTCAACTACACTTGTATCAATAATTCTGATTGTGTTCTCAAACCTCTTGCAGGTTCCAAAGTGTAACGGGATACTTCGAGATGACCTACTTGCCTGATAGAATTGAAGCATGTCACATGTTTCAGATGCGAGCAAATAATGTATTTTGGGACTTAACATATCATAAACTGACGGGTTTACAACTTGCATTCTTTCTTCTGCTAACCTTTTTCTGTTGTTCTTACAATTTTGTAGCTTGTACCAATGATCAGTCAGGTTTGCTTGGTCTAATTTTAACCAAGCTTCCAACATGTTGTAAAGAACCATTTTTTCTCACTATATGTTTGTGTAAGTACTTAAAAGATGACAATTTGATGTTATAAAGACATCAGGTCAACACCAGACAGAGAGCAATGGAATTTGATCCAGAAAACAGAAACGTTGAAGCCACTCGTATCTCTCTATGCAAACCATAAAGATATGAAAACAAACAAACGATAAATGCTCTTCAGCTAATTTGACTTTGGTGTCTTGGTGAAATGCAACTTGATAAGAGAAGGAAGATCAACAAGCTCCACTCGCTGCTTCCCAAGCAAAATGCTCTTCAGCTTCTCATCACAGTTAACCACATTCTTGTTCTTTGGATCCTTTTTAAGAAAACAACAATAAAACAATCAGTCAATGATGCAAACAAAAACAAAGATACTGTTGTCGTTAACACATAACTAAATGATCCCTTGTTTCTAACCTGAAGATTGTTGGTCTTGATATAAGACCAGACACGCATGAAACAACCAAGACGAGAACTCTGAGACTGACCAAGAAACTCACGTAGAGTAGATGGAAGGTTCACGAGGTCAATCAAATTCCCAAGCTTCTTAGGGTTATCAGTTATCGCCTTCTTCAACCTCTGCGGCTGCATCTTGATTCTTAATCCAACGACTACTTCAAAAACCCAATCAACACAAAAAAATTCAACTACTGATTCTCTTTGGGGAATTTTGTCGAGCACTTAGTGTGCAATGAAAAGAAAGCGAAGCTCAACTTAAACTTACACGGGGAGATGGTTAGTGTAAACTAAACGCAACAAGGAAACGCAAAGTAACGGGAGCTTTGACACAGTAACAGTCAAAAGTTTTTAAGGCTTCAAACGTTGAAGATATATTATCGCGTTTAAAACGCTGTAGGGTGCGACTGTAATAGGAAAGGTCCTCGCAAGTACAGCCAATACCTTCTAAACGAGAAAGAGGTATTTCTCGAATACGTGTGTTGGGCTACACTGATTAATGGGCCGAATACGAGGTATATCCACTCTCTAAGATTCGATTGAATTTTTTTAATTAGTGGAAGAATATCTATTCGTAAAGCACTCTCAGCCGTAGGATTAAAAAGAGAATATGAACCGTCCGATAGATGCCCTACGACTCCCCTCCCCACTTTATGATAAAAGAGGAATCCGATGCGTCCTTACAAATTCGCGGCGAAGTAAATTTTATCTGTTTATAAATCTCTCAGCCATCACTGTTTCTAAAACCATTCACTTTCGTCTCTGGTTTTGCTCTCGGAGAATCAATAAAAAGTAAGGATGTCTGCAACACAGGAAGAAGACAAGAAGCCTGGAGACGGAGGAGGAGCTCACATCAACCTCAAGGTCAAGGGTCAGGTAATAATAACTTCTCTTTTTCTTTTTTAGCTTGTGTTTTGCCCTAAGATCTCGTCTAGGTTGCGATTAGTGTTTATTACTAGCGTTTAGTGTTAGTAAAGTATGTTTAAGGTTTGCTTTCTCTTTGTTAATTGTTTGTCATATATATCTGAAACTGTAACCGTAGTTGTTTGTTGTTGTTGATGTCCGAAGGGTTTTTTACCCTTTCAAAAGAATAAAGTTGAAATCCTTTTTGATTTGTTTTGACGATTGTAAACTATGCTGCAAAATAAAGCTAAATCCTTTTTTTAAGTTTATTGCAAGTTTTAGTTTGCGAACATTGATGAAGTTTTATTGTCTATAGTGTATGTTTTAACTTTTAATACTTTGTGTTTGTTTTGTGTGTAGGATGGAAATGAGGTGTTCTTTAGGATCAAGAGAAGCACACAGCTGAAGAAGCTGATGAATGCTTACTGTGACAGGCAATCTGTGGACATGAACGCTATTGCGTTCTTGTTTGATGGTCGTCGTCTGCGTGCTGAGCAGACTCCCGATGAGGTATAAACTAATCCATCTAGCTAGTCTATTGTTTTTCCCTTGGAAGTTTGCACCTTTTGTAATTGTTAAATCTTTTGATACTACAGCTTGACATGGAGGATGGTGATGAGATTGATGCTATGCTTCATCAGACTGGTGGCTGTGGTCGTGGTGTTGGCCTGACATTTATCTGGGTTTAGGGTTTAGGAATGGTTAAGGAGTAATCGGCATTAGGATTTGCAGACTTGTTTTTTTTTTAATCGTGACCATTGTTGTTAGAAAAACTAATATGGTCTTGAATGTTAAAAACCCTTTTGTTAATTGTTGGTCTTGTTCCTTTGGTATTGGATCCTACTATCCTATAATAACTATTTGCGCTTAATGTTATTATTTAACCTGTTTGTCTAATATTACTGGGAGAGTTCTTAGTCGTAAAGTTTATCTTTTATCTATCCAAAGTTGAAAACAATTAAAGTTGAAAACAATTAAAGTTGAAAAAGAGATAATGAAACGCTCATGTATGGAGGAAGTCATATATTAAACTCCAATTAGCCTCATCTTAGCATCCACTTATGGGGTTTGTTAGTGGTCAAATCTTGTGGAAGTCTTCAATTTTAGTCGGTCAAATCTTGTGGAAGTCTTCAATTTTAGTCATTGGAATTGGTAAACCTGGGCTTACGTGTTACTGTATCACTTTCCGAAGCTGGAGTAACTGTAATACAGCTTTGGCTTTCCCATTCAACAGCCAATAATCAAGTATAGTGTTTGTTGAACAGAGGTCATGATATGAGGCGGGTCTTCCCAATGTGCAGTTGTGTGGAGGCGATTCAACTTTCAATAAGCAGCGTTCAAAAATCTGGAGTATGATACGGTACTCTTCTCTTGAGCCTCTGTTTGACAGAACACTAAGGTGTACCATGATAGATTACAAGACCGATTCACATCTGTTCTCTTTACAGCCGTTCATATGTTACTGCCTTAATGACAATACCCACTAAACCTGCTTCCTACTGATTCAAGAATCACCAGTGAAGAGTTGAGAGTGTTCTTCCTTCTCATCACACCATATAAGATTGTCACTCCCCCTGTAATCAACTTATTAATCGTATATGTTTTTTATCCACCAATAATCTCGAGCTTTCTTGTGGGAAACGGAATAAGTTGAAACATTAACTCTATTTATAACTGATGCCAGAAAAAATAACTTAGGACGAAGACATATACAATCATCCACGAGACCGGGACATATAAGATGTTCGAACTTATTCCATAATGATCATCATCACGGAGTCCAAAACATAAACTTACAACCAAGTAAAAGAGCCAGCAAGTCTAGGACACAACACCCATAACCATCATAAGAAAACAACAAGAAGTTTCAAATGCAACTACCAAGAGAGTTTGCTTATTTATGTATTATAGATTTTAATTATACATAAAAACCACCGGGCGGCAGCTGTTCACTGAAGGACAATGCACTCAGAGGCAGTCCCGTTCGTGATAGGACCTCCATGGGTTCGGTTGCTTTTCTGGTTAACACTGCCACTAGGGTTGTCCTGTTGAGCTATGGTTCCTTCAAGCTCCTCCTCTTGGTAACTACAACCTATGGCTTCAAAGATGAGAGTGTAAACCTCCTTGAACCTTTCCTCTGACAAAGAAGCTTCTGCAAGTAGCCTCCATGCGTTTTCCTCCGAAGCTCCTTCGTAATCATCTTTCCTCTTCAGCACCATGTGACCACTTATCTCCCACACAGCTGGGTTCACTTGCGTTTCCAACACCTCGGGGCTTACTTCACCTAGAGCCTGCTTCTCCGCGTAACACTGAAATTTACACAATGGAGCTGTTATGTACTTTCATTCGATGGAATCAGAACCCAAGTTATCTAACTGTTTGCAAATTAAAGTTATACCTGTGGCATCAGGAAGATCTGCCTTCCACAATCAGCGATGAGAATGTTGAAAGGAATGTTGTTGTTCTGGAGGAAAACGCAGGCATCTGATACAGTATCAGATAGGTCTTGCATGGAGCTTCCTCCTTCAAAGAGAAGACTTCTCACAGGGTAACTCAGAAGCTCTGAGATTTTCACACCATTAACAGTGGTAACCATCTTGTTGGAAGGAGCTTTCTCTAAGGGAAAAGGCATGGCCAAGTAATATGCCTGTTTCCAAAATAATCACCACCAAAACAATCAGAACAAAGCTCATCTGAGACAGTTGAGAGGGAAACATAAAGCACCCAAACACTAATGGGAAAAGCATGGCAGGGTATACCTGAAAGTGAAGATGGTTGATAGTAGCAAAAGCACCCAAGCTATTGTAACCGAGTCTGAAGTAAGGATTAGCAGCCTCAGAAGCCATGTGAAGTGCAAGTAAAAGGCTTTTGTGATCAATCCTTTGAGGCAAGCAGTCAAGAACACGAGGAATCAGCAGCACATGACCATACTCAATTGGACTAACCTGTTAAAAACAATAACGAATTAGTCTTTTGCTAGTAGATAACAAATACTATCAAAAACAAGTAAAGGTCTCAGCATAGATTCTTTACATTGATGGCAACAACACTGGGAGAATTCTCAGAGTCAAGAGGCATGCACGGGAAGAACTGAGCTTCACTATCTTCACCAGCTTCAAACTGGAAGAGTAACTCCTCTTGGCCAACTTTAGTGAAGTTGAATTTGTTGCCATCAAAAGACTGCAAAACCTTGTCCACACGAAACTCCGTCGGCCTCTTCTTCAGGTGACGACCCTCGTTTAGCTGAGCAACGAAACCATACTTCCCTGGGATCACCTAAACCAACAACCAGAAAGACAATCTTAAGAACAATGATAAATAAACACATCTTCAAATTCCACAGAAACAAACAAACAGTCTTCAGAGGTAAACCATAAAGTTAAGAAAGACAATTACTTTGGTCTCGCAGGCAGTGACATCATAGCGAAAGAGTCCTCTTTGGAACCTATCCTCCCACTAAGTCACAAACAAGTAGTATTAATAATGATTAGCCTCACTCAAACCACATAATCTACCAACAAGTCTTATATATGAATTACCTCTCCTAGGACGAGAGACTCAAGAAAAGCCACCGGAGGCTCTTTAGCTTCACCGCTGATCACCAGCTTCTCTCCGGCGTCAGATTTCTCCAGCTTCTTGCAAGCATACAACGGAAGCCTTGCCCCTGAACAAAACCCCACCAACAGAAACCTTCAAAGAGATGAATCAAAGCTTAACAAAAACCAACAATTCAGCTTCAAAAGCATACCGTTAAGGCAACAAGCACCGAGACAATTCCGTCCACACCCAACAGATTCATCAGAAGCCTCATCCTTCTGGTAATTAGACACAACAGTCGGAACCCTCTTAATCTTCAACATTCTCAGACACAAAAGAAAAGACTTCCCCCACACGAAACAGCAAACAAAAAAGGAAACAAACAAAAGTAGAAACCCTAAAAACCTAAAACCTAATGAGAAAGGAAAGAGATGAATTCGAAACCGCCTCCGGCTAAAAAGAGGAGATCAGAAGGGCTGCCGCCTTCAGACGGCAGAGCTCCACGTCCTCCGTGCGGCAAAGGATTAGTCTCTATCAAACAACCCTTGCGTACAAGATGGACATGAAAGCTAACACCCCGTGATATCCCGTGTATAGCCGTGATTGCCGAAGATCAAACGCCGTAGAAAGATGAACGGAACCCGACCCTCAAAACAGCTGAATCTACGGCGAGACGGAATGTAAAACTCGTAAAGGAGAGATCTTTCGATGTGGGTTTTCGATTTTAGGCAGAGATTTAACTTCCTTTTTTTGGGGTATTTTGGTGGTGATAGTATGTTTCGGGAGATTGAATGGCTTTAAATAGATAAGGAGATGAGTGAACCATAGAAGAGATACGTCACAATTAATTTTATTTTTTATTTGAACTTTTTGTGTGGTTGTAGTTCGGACGTCACGTGTTTTATTAGGTCTTTTCTTCGTGAGTTTCCTTTTCTTTACTAAATTTATATATTTTCTCTTTCGAAATAATTTTGTTAGTTGTTACTTATTAAGGTAAAAATAGTTGAATGATATAATAAATTTATGAGAAATTGTTAATATATTTTATTATTAAAATGAAAATATGAAAAATCTATTGACTTTTTTTTTTTGATAATTCAGTATCCGACCACCGGGTCTAAACTCATGCCATTACAGGATTTTTAAGCCTCCACTTAAAGGCCCTTGATTACGCGAAGTAGTCTGGAGGGCGAGAGCAACCCATATGAATACCCTCGTGGTCCGGGCAAATGTTTGCAGCTGTGGGGATTCGAAGCAAGAGTATTGAGGCCGAAGCTCTCTCAACTGGACATCGTCCAACCACTAGCCCAATTGCGCGGGTTAAAATCTATTGACTTAAAAATAGTATTCATTTTATAATTAGCTAACATGTTGTAATTAATTTTTTTTAAAATAGAGTTAATTGGATAAAGTACCCTATATGCCACCTATAATTAGTGAATTAACCTTGATTTGACTGTTGCTTTTCGTGTGACGATTTTGTCCTTCTCTACACTCTCTCTCCTCTCTTTGATATTTCTCCCTTTTTTTTCTCTTCAATCCCTAATTATTTTACAAATCTCTATCATTCTATATACAATTAAATTTTAAATTTCATTATTTTTTCATAAGTGGCTTTGAATCCTCAATTTTTTTACCTTTTTTTTTCTCTCTAATCCCTAATTATTTTACAAATCTCTATCATTCTATATACAATTAAATTTTAATTTTCATTATTTTTTTCATAAGTGGCTTTGAATCTTCAATTTTTTGATGATATCAATTTTCTGGGTTTTAGATTCGACGTCGTGTTAGCGGTTAACAAATATTGTAAACGTTAACAGAAGTGTTAGTTGTTAACAATTATTTTTACGCTTCGCGTTAATAAATGTGTTCGCTGTTAACAAATATTGTAGACGTTAACAAAAGTATTAACTGTTAACAATAATTTTTACGCTTCGCGGTAATAAATGTGTTGGCTGTTAACAAATATTGTAGACGTTAACAGAAGTGTTATATGTTAACAAATGTTTTTACGCTTCGTGTTAATGAGAGGAAAGAGAAAGGGCATTCTCGGCATTTCCTTGCCAAATGGTTGTGTTAGTGTCCTTCATGTCCAATCAATAGTATTTTGCTAATTTGAGCTTCAAATATGGGTAGTTCACTAAATCACTCTTTAAAATAATGTAAGATCACAATACCCTTCATTAACCATGTAACCTAATTTTTACACCAAAGATTTAGTTTAGCCGGCTAAAAGACATCAGTTTGAAGATTTTTTTTTTTTTTCTCATCAGTTGAATCGACAATGTCTTATCTAATAATTGATCCTCCAACGAGAAGAAAACGTGACTTATTTGAATCAATGAATTCTGATGAAATTATCACACATGTGAACATTTAACAACTTGACTACATACATTTCATAGACAAACAAACAGAGAAAAAGAGTCATAGAACATTATTATTATTTTGTTTGAACATAGGAAGGTGTTGTTATAAGTTGCATTTAGATTTTATATGGTCATGCTTTCTCTTCGGACGTTGTGTGGTCGTAGCAACTACTGCAAGGCTCAGTATGGGGCATGTGAGGACCAAGTAACCAACGTTTGGTTGATATTTTGTGAACCATATCTTTTTGGAGGTTTTGTTTTTATGTCATAACAAAGTTACAAAATGAACAATAAAATGGGGGAAACGCATAATTGAAGATTCGGAATCTAAGGAGAGGAGATAACTCTTGAAACCACATAATTGCTACGTGGTCCATTACTCTTGTTTGGCAATATATACCATTGGTACGCCCACCTTACTTTACCAATACCCAAATCGCTTCAATGCACATTATCATCCATATGTGAACAAACACAAACACGTTACTAATAAAGTATTATAATCTCAGGTACTAAAAAAAAACTTGATTACACATCCTGAGAATAAAGATTCAAGGCACACTATTTTTGCTGTTTTCCAATGGTCTGCTAAGAGTTATTAGTGACAGAGAGGGTAAAACTAGAAAACAGATAGACATTTGAGAATAGTAAGAAAAGAAAAAAAAACAAAGGTTAGTTATTGATGGCAAAACAAACTAATAAAGCATTCAAATGAAACTAGGTTCAGTTGAAGGTTATGCATAGGTCAGTTAGTAATTGACAAAACAAACTACTAAAGCATTCATGAAACTTGGTTCAAGATGTTGATTTCATTGATAACAATGTGTTGATTTTTTGTATAAAGTAACTTGTGAATACACATTGTGTTTGCCACAGATGAATAAAATATACATAATCTTACAAGATCAACAAGTGTTTTGAGCAATGTAGTATAGCTAAGTTGATTTTTTGGGGTAATCTCTTGGTCCGAAAATTGTGGAACCAACCCTCACATTGGTGCTTCCCATCTCAATCTGCAGTTCCATAAGTTTTAAAAGAAAGTCAAAGATCATCTTACACCTTAATAGTCCCTCGAAAGAAAGTTAGAAGCGAAGCACACATTCAAAATGATTATATGTCCCCTTGGTTGCATTCTTCAAGTGGGTATTATAAGAGAGAATAAGATATTACCGCTTGTTCGAAGTCACCGGACATGCCCATAGACAGTTCAAATTGATCCTCAGACACTCCAAGTTCCTTGCAGACCTCAGCTCGACAGTTTGTAAGTGTCTGGTCCAGATTATGGCCGAAAAGAACAACACTTTGTGTAAGCAAATTTATCAAGAAAAAGCAAATGTTATGTTGTGGTCGTTGAACAAGAGCATTATTTGAAACTCAAAAAACAAGGGTACCACAGAGAAAGAAGTACTCAACAGAGTAGATAAAGTAACATACCCTAAAGTTCTCTGGAGTAGAAGTATAGTCAGGCATCCCAATAGTCATTAAACCAGAGAACACCAGATTCGGACAGTGCATATTCACGTGTCTTGCTAACTTCACAACACTAGAAGGTTCTACTCCAGATTTAGCTGCAACGATTTTCAGAAACACACAGTTTAGCCATTGTATGGAGAAGCTGAAGAAAAGAAACGAAAGCTCGGTGGATGGATGTACACTAACAAGCTTCTCCGCTTGTATTAACTTGGACCAAAACCTTAAGTGGATGTCTCCCAAGACTTGAAACAGCTCGATCAAGATGATTTGCTACCTGTAGACAATTTGCACCAAAATAACATCTTAGCAAACCGAAATGTGCATGTTAGAAGTCACATTTGTCAACGTTCCAACCTCGAAATATAATACTCTGTAACGTAAAAACAGGACGCAAAGTAGTTTCAGGAACTAACTAACTCACACAACATAACTCGAGTTCCTTGAAGAATCTAATCATACAATACAAGTGACTTATCAGAGAATGTAAGATTACCTTCTCTCCATCAACACCATGAACCATTGCCAAGTTTGGGACTCCAGCTGCAAACATTTAATTAAAAAAAGACTCCCACTTTCACTTAACTCCTAAATCAATGAACTCAATCACAAAACTTGAAGATTCATTAATCAAGATAAGGAGGATAAAAGTCACACACCTAGTAAAGTTTTGGCTTTGTTGCTCTGTAGATGCCCCACGAAATGCCACTCTATATCTTCCGGAAGCTGAACCATCATCAAAAGAGAAACGAGAATAAGCTCCGTTAGCATCAAAAAGAACCAAACAACAAAGTAAGCAGAAGATTTGATGCTTCAATCAGTGAACCAACACTAAGATTTTTTTTTGTTTACCAAAAATGAGGAAACTTTGAGGATTAGAGAGAGAGAGGAAACCTGTGGAGCTTTGTCGATGAACTCTTGAACGTAATTCTCACCGAAGCAGCGATGACCAGCGTCGTAGATTTGGCGGATAAGTGAGACCGGTTTAGTCTTCGAGACCGCGACGACTCTTACTCGCTCCGGATCTCTTCCTACACGCTCCGCAGCATTACGAGCCCTGAGAATGACGGAGCGTAGAGCGGTTGCGGCGGTTGCCTCCGCCGCAGGAGCTGCCATCGACAATCGCTAGGGGCTTTTTCGGGAATAAACGAAATTTGACCGGTTCACTCAATTTCTCAGTTGGTTTTGTAACCACATGACGTTTTGAATAATCACTTTATTTGGATTAGTATGTGAATGGTTTCTAATGTTTTTAGGTGGCTCCATATGGAACATGTGTTACTTTATTCTTTCAATATCTTTTTTTGTGTTAATCTTACAAACTTTAATACATAGTTTTTCTATGAAGTAAGCACAATGAAACGACATAGATTTTTTTTGGCCAAACTTAAAAAGTTAATACAATTTATATCTATAGCTCATTAGTAATAAGATTCATATAAATGTCGTTTAATTATATGACAAACTATATAACATGTGTGTATTATTTGAAGAGGATGTTCTTCAAAATCGTCTCTTTTTTCATTTCTCCAAAACGTAATTAATGGGATTGATCAGCACCACTTATTTAATCAATTGGACGAAACATCAAATATTGTAAATACAAGTTCACGTATAAATAGACTTTTAATTAGCTTTACTTTCTTTGTTAGTAGAATACGCCGCCACCCGATGGATCGATCATGCGTAGTTACAGAGACCGTAGACGCAGAGCTCGCCAAACTCACACGGATGGTTACATTGTCCACAATGGCGTTTGTCGTAACTCAAGTAAACGCATTGGCCTCGGCAACACGTCTGTGAGAACTTGCACTTGTTCTTACACGCGCCACAGTTCTTGTCGTCACTGGCCACGTCTATGCATTTGTTATTGCAACATGTCACGGTCGAGTTGCTTCCTCCGCCTCCATAGAAGCTACATATCTCAGGATCCTTGTTGCAATGGTCCGCCGCGTTAGGGTTTCGCTCGCCTACTTCCTTCTGAGTCAAGAACCTGCTCGGCTTTATAGTCAGCGTACCCGGTGCATCAAAGCTCGTGTGTTCCACGGTGGTGTTAGTTCTTGTGGTGATTACTGCGATTGTGATTGCGGTTGTTATTGCGATGGTCACAAGTAGCTTCACGAAGGCCATTTTCTTTTGATTTTTGTTTTTTTTTGGTTTGTGTGAGGGAAAGAGAGATAGAGGGAGGGTGATCGTTGGGATTGGTAAGGAAAGTATTAGGTGGACTTAGGGTTATATAGTTGATGTCGAGTAGAGTTGACGCTGGAAATGCGGTGAGAACAGATGATTACATATGTATTTTGCTTTTGGGGTTATAAATATTTTATGATTGTAGTTATAATACGCATTTAGACCAGAACAAAATGGATTTTAATTTACTGCAATAGATGATTAGTTTATTTAAGCAAATAAATTACATAGTTCAAGAATTCATGCCCCATAGGCCGATTTAAGGCAAGTTGAACGGAGAAGCAAAGGCGTCCATTCTTTTAATCAACTTATATTATTGTTGGTCGTGTGAATTAAAAAGGCATTGATTTTCATTTCTAGTATAGGCAAAATTATTCGACAAGATAGTTGTAACTTGTGTATTAAAACTCGTCCCTCTTTGTGATCTACAAACGGTAAAGATGCATGTTCATTGAAGATAGAAAATGTTACTGATGCATGCAGTTGTACGTTAAGTAGTTGAGAAGATTCGACGAGAGGAAGTTAACCTCGTCTTGACACGACTTGGTTGTTAGCTTTTGACTCAATTTCATCATTCACGTTTTTGTATTGTCATTCACCTCCTCTATGTCGTGTATAAGTTCAGTAATGTATAACCTAAACAACAATAATACTACTTAAAGCTGTTTTGATTAATTATCCAGTTAGTTGGTTAGAAAACTAAACTTATTATATAGCTGATAACAGACTTGGACCGAAGTACCATGGTTTCTTGATCCAAGTAAGTACAAAAATCACTACGACTAGTTAATGAGATAGAATTTGTCTAAAACGTTTCACATTATATAAGAGATATATTCAATTATCAGTTTAAAAATTATGTTGATGTTACTACGATTTCTTGTACGTCTATTGCCGAAATATAAAAAGTTCCGAATGTAACATTCTAAATGCCGAAAGTATAAAAGGGAAGTGGTCAACTATTTTCTCGCATTTGTTTCTCCTCAGCTTTACGTTTTAAAGTCAACATCTAATTTTCTATTGGACGTACTTTGACCTCTGCAAATTATACCGCACGTCTGCATATTTTATTAAAATTTTATAATACGAGGCATGATTTAAGGTTTTGTCAATCAACAAAGTTGAACAACAAATGGGTCATTATTCATGTAGTCGTAGGATATAATTGGGCTTGGGTTCAGAAATCAATTTTATAAATGTAATTTGGTTTTGCACCCAACATATACGATTGAGGTATTGATATGGCCATCTTCTAGAAATGTTCAAAGGGTTTATGGTTGTCGCCAAGAAAACTTAACTGAATAGTTTACAGTTGTTGCCTCTAAATTTCAACAATGTTGCAAGAAAACTTAATTGAATCTCTTGTGTTCTTCTAGTAGTATATGCTAGGTTCTAACAGAATTAACACGAAGCATGCATTGTTGCTGAAACATTTTTTTCACATATGATACAATATACCTTGGTACATAACAGATAGAAAAGTTATAGTGAAGAGTATCTAATGTAAGAATATCCTTTATACCTAGCTATTCAAGAATTGTATTATTCCATGCTTCATAGACTTACCTAGCTAAGACCATACAAATGTTTTGTCCCTTTTCCAGTAAAATATGATGCAATGATTAAAAAACATACAAAATTCAATTGGCAGAAGTCGCCTTCACTACAAACCGTCACCTAAGTAGAAAAAAGGTATAAACCATCAAGCCTTGTTTCATAAGGTAAAAGAGGTTAAATCCATATTGTTTTATGTTCAAGCCTCTGCCCCTAAACATAACTAATCAGTAGGCAATACACATTGTTTTCTTAACCTTTTATATCATATGGCCATCTTTATAGTTTTCCATATAAACACTTAATCCTGCGGTTAAAAATATATATGCACAGTCTGGCACACCTTTGTCCAAATCACATGCATGAATCCGCGTTTCCCATCCAAGTCCATAAAAAATACAATATTAAAATCTTTATAAAACTATATATTAAACTCATTTAATAACCGAAAACATGTAAACTCTGAATTCACAACTGTATTCTCGGAGCAAAAGCAAACACGAATAAATATTCACAGCTTGCATTCTAATTAAAGACATTATCATCTTCATTCACATTTAGATTCCACCACACATTTTTCTTCTTCTTTACAGCCGCATAAACAAATAATTAAATTTAAACTTTGATGCGTTAATAAACCCATGTTAAGTAAGGGCATCTCCAACCCAACTCCATTTTTTACTTCAAAATGGAGTAAAAGTGATTATGGAGTAAGAAATGCTCCAACCCCACTTCATTTCTTATTCCATAATGAGATTTACTCCATAAATGGAGTAATCTATTTTTTGTTTGTTCACTACTCCATTATGGAGTTACAAATAGAGTGGGGTTAGAGCATTTTTACTCCATAATCACTTTTACTCCATTTTGGAGGAAAAAATGGAGTTTTACATTGGAGATGCTCTAAGTGTGGCTTAATCTCGTTACCACGTTAAATGGTCTGTACTTGATTTGATCCACGCGCTTCCATCACGTGATTTAAAACTAATGACGGAGGATCGACGTAACGGCGCCGGCCACTCTGGCCTCATGCCGTCAAAGCTGTCTTTACACATTCCCCTCCCGCCACGGGCTCGTTTCACGCACTCGCTATTATATTGCCCCACACATATAGTGCTACCAGAATCTGTACGTTACTATATGCGAGGTTAGTATGTTAAATGCAACAATTAACTCTAAATAAACTCCACATTTAAGAGCAGCTGCAACGGTTGGATCGAAAGAGTCCTTGGCTCAGGAACATAGGTTCATACGTGTGGGATATTAATAAAAAAAGAGGTATTGGTTAACATTGCTATGGATCAGTCCGTAAATAAGGAATGGAAGGACTTGATCCTTAGAACACGTGGCGGTGAGAGATTGGGTATGAATCCAAGGACGAGAATCCGGTGGGAAGAGAAAGAGAGAGAGAGATAATCGTCGGCGAGCTTTGATTCAGTCCTCCGATTACCAAAGGTGTTAGCTTCTTCCTCGTCCGATTCATTATTATGTGATTATGTAGAAAACATTTGACTGTTCCTGCTTCTTCTTCGAATCTACAATCGTTTTTGTTCTAAATTCGCCTCTATGAGTTAGTTTTGCTCAGATTTTGATTGTAAGATGAACCAGAAAAAAAAATCATTACTTTATGAGTTTTCTAATCAAAAAAATCTGAATTTCAGTCTAGTGATTTAGTGATATCACTTTAGAATCAATGGATCGTTCATTCTTTGATTTTGTGTCAGGAAGAAGAAGAAATGATTGGGTTGTTTAAAGTAAAGGAAAAGCAAAGAGAACAAGCTCAGAATGCTAGCAGAGGTGGTGGAGCTTCTGTCAAGAAGCAATCTGCTGGTGAACTTCGTCTTCACAAAGGTATATACTTTGATTGTTTTTGCATTTTGTTTCTTCTTCAAGCTTCAGTTTTTTTTTCAATCTTTGAATGTGTAGATATATCAGAGTTGAATCTTCCAAGCTCTTGTACGATATCATTTCCTAATGGCAAAGATGATTTGATGAACTTTGAAGTCTCCATTAAACCTGATGATGGTTACTACCAGTTAAGTTAGAGCCTTCTTTCCATGCTCACTCTAAGAACGATTAGGAAACTCATTTGTTTCTTGTGGAATTATACAGCAATGGTACATTTACATCCTGTTTTTCTGTGTCTTATGTGTATCCTCACGAAGCTCCAAAAGTTAAATGCAAAACCAAGGTTAGATTATGAATATGATCCTCTTCTCTTCTGCTTTGCTTGTAGGTAGCTCCATCTTTACATCCTGTTTTTCTCCTTATTTAGGTTTATCATCCTAATATCGATTTGGAAGGAAACGTTTGCCTCAACATCTTACGTTAAGACTGGAAACCTGTTCTTAGCATTAACACTGTTATCTATGGTCTCTTCCATCTTTACACGGTAAAATAAATAATCAGCCTGAGAGTTACAGTGTTTGTGTTATTTGGTTTACTTAAACTCAGTGTTGTGTATTCACACAGGAACCCAACTCTGAAGATCCTTTGAACCATGACGCTGCTCAAGTTTTAAGAGATAATCCAAAGTTGTTTGAGACTAATGTCCGGAGAGCCATGACTGGTGGCTATGTTGGTCAGACGTTTTTCCCGCGCTGTATCTAACAAAAGCTCTGGTTCGTTGTTCTTCAAGCAAAAAGATAAGCAAACTCTCAGATCATTTCAATGTCTTTATAACTAGCGTTTTTCGCGTTCTCTCTATCTTTTCTGAAAACGAAATGCAAAGACGTGTAACAGAGACAACATAGCCCAAAGGGAACAGCCATCATAGACAAAAGCCCCTTGGAGAGAGCCTCAGCTTCACGCACAAACGAACCTTTCAAAGGATCAATACCTTTCGAGTCATACCCAAACATCTTCTCAGACAGGTTTAATGTGTTGATCTTTCTCGACATCAAAAAAGCTTTTGAAGGTTTAGTACTACAACTCATATTTTCTTGTCTATCATCAACACTACTACTGTCTTTCTAACACTTAAGTTTCACTCTTGATATGTCTATATATTCCTAAGAACTTCTAATTAAATAACACCATTGCACACACTTTTTTATTAGAATCCTTAACAATTTAAAAAAAACAAAAAAATTATTTTTTTAATCCTAAGGACTCTAACCACGAGTCCACCATTGCGGATGCCCTAAGTCAGCTGATTTAAGTATTACATTATCAATTAAATTTAATGCTAATGAACATGCAGCTCTTGGCAACATTGAAAGGTTCTTGATCAATCACAGGATGCTATTGCATTAAACGCAACACCATGCTGATTTGGGATGCCTAGTATCAATAGTATATTTAAATTTCCAGTTGTAATTTTTTTTTTTCCTTTTTCTAATAAAAGTATGGGTATCATTGTTATGAACTATGGAATCATGCTAAATATACTCGAAATTCATATTAAGTGACGTCTGTCTGTCATAATATTCAGTCATCTTGAGTTTTAAAGCTGATGTAACAGATAACACAAATAGTAATTTTAAACATAGATAAAGTGGAAGAGAAGGTAAAAGTATTGACCCTTAATAATTGGCCAAGAAGAAATCAAGAATAAAAAAAACTAGTATAAAGAATGTCGTCTCCGAGTTAAAACCAAAACCCATGCCAAAGTCACATACACACACTTCACCATACCCAAAACACATACACCCATACATAAACGAGTTTGTATATATATAATAAGCTTCTTACGAGCCATTTACTTAAAAAAAAATTCAAAACCTCTCTAAAAGATCATTCCTCCAAAACTCTCTAAACTCATACCTACTCTGTTTTTTTATGCTCTGTTCTAATGGATATCACTTGGACAAGAGGACCAATCATCGGTCGAGGCTCCACAGCCACCGTCTCACTAGCTGTTTCAAACTCCGGTGAGATGTTCGCCGTCAAATCCGCCGACTTCTCTTCCTCCACATTCTTGCAAAACGAGCAGTCGATTCTGTCTACATTGAGCTCTCCACACATAGTCAAGTACATAGGCTCCGATGTAACACGTGAGAAGCACGGATTGGTTTACAATCTCCTGATGGAGCACGTTTCCGGCGGGAGTCTTCACGATCTCATCAAAAACTCCGGCGGGAAGTTGCCGGAGCCGGTGATCAGATCGTACACGCGTCAGATTCTCAGGGGACTGTTGTATCTCCACGGGAGAGGGCTTGTCCACTGCGACTTGAAGAGCCAGAACGTTCTGGTCGAGGAAAACGGCGTCGTTTGCAAAATCGCTGATATGGGTTGCGCTAAACCGGTTTCAAAGAACGAATTTTCCGGTACACCGGCGTTCATGGCGCCAGAGGTGGCACGTGGTGAAGAACAGAGGTTTCCTGCTGATGTGTGGGCGTTAGGGTGTACGGTGATCGAGATGATGACTGGTTCAACCCCTTGGGGGAAGCTAAACGACGTCGTTGCTGCAATGTATAGGATTGGATTCTCCGGTGAGTCGCCGGAGATTCCTGAGTTTGTATCGGAGAAAGGTAGAGACTTTCTTGTGAAATGTTTGGAGAAGGATCGAAAACAGAGGTGGACAGTGGAAGAGTTGCTTAAACATCCTTTCCTCGACGAATATGGAGACGAAGAGTCTCGTCTCCATATTACGTCTTCTCCGAGCACTGTGTTGGATCAACGATTCTGGAACTCATCGCAAAGTTACTCTCTTTCGATGGATCAAGAGGACCCTTTTGCTGATTACTCTGTTTCACCGGCTGATCGGATCGAGCAACTCGCCGGAGATGAGTTTTCGAGTGTTCCGGATTGGGATAATGTAGATGATGGCGGCGGGTGGATTCGAGTCAGAGGCGACGTTGTTGGAGAAAGTGAGAAACGTGTCGGTTACGGTGACGAAGACGTGGTATGCGTCGAGGAAACGTCGTCGTCGCAAGTGATTGAAGTGGTTGGAGAATGGATTTTGGATCAAGACAGCTTGTTCGAGGAATATTCTGTTGACGACGTCATTACTGATTTTTACTCTAATGTTGCTATTCAAGGAAATGATATTGATTTTTATTATTATTGTGTGGGAGATCAAAATGTACTTTCTAATAATAATGAGAATAAAAAGAACATTTATCCGTCAAATTGCAAGTTCTTTCTAGTTCATCAACCAAGTCTGAACCACGATGTTCTATTAAGTCCTAAAAGTTAGTTTTGAACGTTAAAGCTTTGACATCTTTCTTTATCCGGTTAGGCTCAGCCAAACAAATGAACAATTGATATCTAGAAGATAGAAACTAAAATATTGTTTGTTAATAAAAATCGACTTGAATGGTTCTTAGTCAAGAACTTTCTTATAAAACATAAATCAAACTAATGAGGAGTGTCGGTCTATGTTTCTTGTAACATTTGTGATCGTTACTATTTCGAACTTTGTCTTTTTCTAGGATAAAATACTATTCCAAAGCTGGAAAAACAGAAGTCTTTGTGTTCTTCTTGGATGTCAAGTAAAGAAACAACTCTACAATATGAGATTTGACTATAGACAAAAGTCAAATATGTATTTGGTCCAAAATTTATCTACAGACGAAAGACCAGAGAAGACCCTGCGTGTGAACACAGACGACTCGGTTTCACACAAAAAAAGAACCGACTGATCATCCCTTACGGTCAACTTCCACCGTTTAATAACTAGAACACACGTATGCACCAATACCGATAGGCGATAGTTCTACAACTCTATAAACACCAATTGAACATTCCTACTTCGACACCGACACCTAACCAAATACAATTTGATATTTTTGTCAATGCCGTACGATTTTGTTAGGTACTTATCCAACTAGATATTCGTTTAAAACATTTTATAATTCTTTTGTATCCCGTACTTATCCAACTACAACGATTTAAAAGATTATATTACGAACAGTAACTCTTTGGTCGTCAGAAACTCTAGGTTACATTTACGAACAGAATAGTACAGTTACATTTTATCATTGATTAATTTTTTGTTTCTAAAAACATTCAGATGATCTTAAACTATTGTTCTAACTTCTAACTAGTTACCATACGATTGCCACTATCGCACTATCTTTTCATCGTTCTTGACCGACTGCATACCATAATTTTAATTTTTTTGTAATAAAAGCACACCATAAACTTTACCTCTAAGGTTTAAGAAGCTACTCACATTGGGAGAGGTAGAAGTTCATCACTAAAAAAAAAGTTTCTCTAACGTGAAAAAGACACGATGATTTTAATTGACGACTCAAGTCTGACGTCGTGATGGCTTCATAAAACACACAACATACAGAAACTACTTGTTTCAGAAATGGCGTGTTATATTAATAAGTGGTTAGGTTAATGGCCTAATTTCGACCACCGCATCACATAATTAAATCATTTTTAGAACTTTAAAACATTTAGTTTGCGATAAGCAAATTAGCGGGGTTGGTACCACTGCAAATAAAACTCTTGGTGAAAATCTCTACTGAATATTGGTAGTTGTTTATTCGGATAAATTTAATAAGAAATAAAAAAGGTTGACTTTTTTCTTGGCGTAGAAAAAGGTTGACTTGAGAAAAAAAGGATGGGACTCAATATCATACAAAGTCTACAACCTCTCTTTATTTTGTCCTTTTCTGTGTTTGCTCATCTTCCATGCCTTCCATTGGATGGTCGGAGTAGGTGAGCATATAAGCGACGACCCTAAGAGCAATTCCAATGCTAGAATTACAGCGAGAATATCACAAAAAAACTAACTAAAAAAAATAAGAAAGAGATTTTTGTGTGGAATATCTTTCAAAGAGTGTTTTGAGATATTTTTATTATTTTAAATTAGCCATGTGTCAATATATTATTGATTGCATTATTTTAAATAAAATAAAATAAAATATGTTTTATAAATATAGTAAGATACTAATATTTTGTACTTTTATACCCATTTGAAGATATTACGATTAAGGTTACTCTAATTCCAAAACCGTTATTTAATTTTGTTTATCCTTAATTTTTTTTCCGTCACACTTGTCATTTTTTCATACAAAATGGTAGGAATATGTTTCTTCCAACAAGACTTATGTATGTCTTATAATTTACTTGTCTTTTGATGTTATATACTTTGTATGTAAGTATATAACATGAAATGATTTTAAAAGTTAGTAAATATGTTTGAATTTTTTTTTAAACTATAAAATTAATTCTAGCAATAAATTTTAAAATATTTAACTTTTTATCCAAATTTATCTATATATTTTTTAAAAACTTCTTAATTTTTCTAATTTCTTAATTTCAAAGCTCAGTCAACAAAACTCACTCTTACTACTACGTTCAAATCTAAAGGGTGGAGCAAGTTAGAAATGACGTTATTTAATTCAAATAAAATCCAGGCCCAATATTTATTCTATGTTAAGATAAGTTCATAAATTACGAGTCCAATTCAAGGCCCAATTATTAGATTTATCACACTTAGAAACGACGACGTTAGAATGATTAGTTTAGTTTTGACCCTTGACAAGTGACAAGTGACAAGTGACGACGACGAGCTTTCGAATCAGCAATCGAAAACAGTCAGTCAAGTATCAATGGAGGCTACGACGACGGCGGCTCCATTCTCCTCCTTTGTCACTTCAAGACAAAACCTTTCTTCTTCCCCTTGTTCGTTGCTTCTCTCCCGGAAGAAAGTTAATCTCAAATTCAAATCTCCGAGAAGCCTCTCGGTTCGCGCATCTTCTTCCACCTCCGATTCTGGTAATCTCTACACTTCAAATTCAATAAAGTTTCACTCTTTCGATCTCAAAGCTTTCGTTTTTCTTTTCTGTGCGTCTCTAGTTGTGACTTTGCTTGACTACGGAGCTGGGAATGTCCGTAGCATCCGTAACGCTCTTCGTCACCTCGGTTTCACCATCAAAGACGTAACCTTTTTATTTTCTAATCTCTATGTTAAATGTAGTAGTGATATTGAAATTGATGTCATTAGGGGAACTTGATATGTTTAGGTTAAAACACCTGGTGACATTCTCAATGCTGATCGCCTCATCTTTCCCGGCGTTGGAGCTTTTGCACCTGCTATGGATGTACTTAACGAAACCGGGTAACCATCACTAACCTCCCTCTCTCTTTTTGATTGATGATAAAGCTTACAGTGAACATGTCTTATTTGATGTTTTGAAGGATGGGAGAAGCTTTGTGCACATATCTTGAGAATGACCGTCCCTTTCTAGGCATATGTCTTGGTCTACAACTGCTTTTCGACTCTAGTGAGGAGAATGGACCAGGTTTTGCTTTGATTGCTTTTGTCTTCTTGGATCTTTCTTTTAACATTATGATATCATATACTCAACTTTATATTTGTGTCAGTCAAAGGCCTTGGTGTGATACCGGGAACAGTTGGACGGTTTGACTCTTCAGCTGGTATAAGAGTACCTCACATTGGCTGGAATGCTTTGCAAGTTGGGAAGGATTCTGAAATTTTGGATGATGTTGGAAGTCGTCATGTGTATTTTGTTCATTCTTATAGGGCCATTCCGGTATGTATCTGAACATTCTCTTCTTTTTTTGCTGTCATTTTTTGTTTATGTGCCACTGTCTACCTCTTCTTCTTATGTTCTTAGTTTTGTGATTGTTGCAGTCAAATGAAAACAAGGATTGGATTTCGTCTACCTGCCATTACGGCGAATCCTTTATATCTTCCATAAGAAGAGGAAATGTGCATGCAGTACAATTCCATCCAGAGAAGAGCGGGGGTGTGATGTTTTACTCTAGCTATTTTGTTGTTGATATCTTCATGTATCTCATACTAATTCAGAATCTGGATATATTCTCAGAGGTGGGGCTTTCTGTTTTAAGAAGGTTCTTGAATCCAAAATCACCCCCGAAACAGGTAGGTTTCATTCTAGCCTTACAATCATAATTCATTCTTACTGACTTTTGGTTTGGCTAATGGAAACTACACTTCACTTGAAGACAGAAACCAATGGAAGGGAAGGCTTCAAAGCTTGCGAAGAGGGTAATAAATTTGTTCTTTTATTATCGTAGTGTCTTCTCCACAGCATTGCTGTTTAGTCTCTTCACTAGTTTTGCAGGATTTTTTCTCATGATACATATATTTTTCCTTTTCTCTAGGTGATTGCTTGTCTTGACGTGAGGACTAATGATAAAGGAGATCTTGTAGTAACTAAAGGGGACCAATATGATGTGAGAGAGCAATCTAACGAAAACGAGGTCTGTTGAAATCGCTTTAATGTCGTATCCTGGGCAGTGTTCTTTGTGGAAAGTGAAACATTGTTGGTATTTAGATGTTAACCTGAGTAGACTATACTAATCTGAGAGGTGCTGAAGTTAACTAGTTATTGTCTCCGTGACGTGAACTAATTAACCTTTCTTGTGCAGGTTCGAAATCTTGGAAAACCTGTGGATTTAGCTAGGCAGTATTACAAAGATGGTGCAGATGAGGTTTGTTTTCTTGTTGTTAGTTGCTCAAATACATCAGCTTTATTAGATTTTGTTTGCCATTAAACCATTCTTCCTTTGGGTGTTCAGATTAGCTTTTTAAACATAACTGGATTCCGCGATTTTCCTCTAGGGGATTTGCCGATGATTCAGGTACTAAGATTAGTTGCTATTGTTTTTCCTCATTAGAGTTTTAAAGTATTACTTATGTAGTTATGTTTTTTCTGATTTAGATCTTTTTACATGCTGTATAGGTTTTGAGGTATACATCAGAGAATGTCTTTGTACCACTAACCGTTGGAGGTGGTATTAGAGATTTTACAGATGCTACCGGCAGGTACATGTTAAGAGTTTTCTTTTAAGCCTGTTTCTTTTGAACATGTTCTCCATAACGATTAAATATCAAATTACTTTTGCTCAGGTACTATTCTAGCTTAGAAGTTGCTGCTGAGTATTTCAGATCCGGTGCTGATAAGATATCCATAGGAAGTGACGCTGTTTATGCTGCTGAAGAGTTTATCAAATCAGGGGTAAGCTTGTACTTGCCGTCTAATTTTGTCGAAGTTGTTGTCCATGCTAATCGCATTTTCTTGGTTTTCTCGTAGGTGAAGACAGGAAAGAGTAGTTTAGAACAAATATCCAGAGTTTATGGAAACCAGGTAGGATTTTTCCTAGTCCAGAGTAATTGGTCTTCTTTGTACGCAAACCTCATCTTGCAGAAAAAGGGATGTCAGTCGATATACGCTATAACTGTGAATATACATTTTACTGCGTTTGGATAGTTGTTTCTTATATTCCCATTTTACGTGTGAAACCAGAAGCAGCTCAGTTAATTGATGAGAGTTTTTCTCGTTACAGGCAGTGGTTGTAAGTATTGATCCTCGTAGAGTTTATGTGAACCATCCTGATGATGTGCCATACAAAGTCATTAAAGTAACTAACCCAGGTATGCCAGTGTTCTCACCTCCTTTATCTTTACTTTTTTCATGGTATAAACGAACATTGTTTGAGGCTGGCTACATATCATACATTCACATGGCAAAATTGGGCTGCATTGACAATTCAAGAAAAATACTTTGGAAGCTGTGTTAACTCTAGTTTCAGATGTTATGGTTCATCTTGCATCAATCTTTTTTGAGCTTTTCGTGTATAGCCTTGAGTTATTTGTACTGAACATTGAATAGAGTTTCTCTACCGATATTAACTTGCTGTTGTTAGGTCCGAATGGGGAAGAATATGCATGGTACCAGTGCACGGTAAAATTCCAGCCACCTTTTTTGCATGTTATTTTTGAATTTGTCTCATTCTGTAACTATTGGTTTCCTCGACTAACAGGTAAGTGGAGGGCGAGAAGGTCGGCCTATTGGAGCGTATGAGCTTGCAAAAGCGGTGGAAGAGTTAGGTGCTGGTGAAATTCTACTGAACTGCATAGACTGTGATGGTATGTACACTCAGAAGGTCCTTTTAAGTCTCTAAAGCCGCATTGTTTCAGATGTTAAAAATTCATTCTATGCTTAATTTTCTCTCCTTATGTTTGTGCCTCTATTCTCTGCGAGTTTCAGGTCAAGGGAAAGGATTTGACACCGACTTGGTGAAGCTCATCTCTGATTCTGTAGGCATACCTGTAATCGCAAGCAGTGGAGCAGGCACTCCTGAGCACTTTTCCGAGGTGTTTGAGACGACTAATGCATCTGCCGCGCTTGCTGCCGGCATTTTCCACCGGAAAGAGGTAACAACCTTCATATTCTCGTTATAAACCTTTAAATCTTAATCATAGTTTGCTAACTGTTCTATGCCTTTTTGTATGAAGGTACCAATCCAGTCTGTGAAAGAGCACTTGCTAGAGAAGAGCATAGAAGTCAGGATGTAAGAAGTTCTGGTTTTACAGTAAAGCCCGTTTCGGCGCACGACTTCACGAGTTACCATTATTCGTGTCACGCTTCAAACAAGAAGATTTGATTCCTGTCTTCAATAAGTTCTTATACGAACAGATTTATGGATCAATGATCATTTGGCTGCAGGAAGTAGATGAATTGTGTGTTACTTTTTTTCTCTGGGAATAAGAAAGCATATGTTTTCAAAATTATATACTTTCCAGTTTTCTCTCATCTAAAAAGTTATTAGAAAGAATGTGAATCTGACGATCCTGGCATAGGTCCGAGAAAAAAAAAGCAACGGCAATTCATTAATGTGCAAAGAACTCCAGACCTTCAGAGAAATGATATACAATGAAATAAAAAAGGAGACCAAAAAACACCTTTCTCATCTCAGTTAAAATATACATACACACAAAAATATCGCAAAGGTGTGTGTGTGTGTGTGTGTCTATACAACAAAACGTTGAGCGGATTTGTCTCTGTACTATTCTTCAATGTGTTTCTTCTGTTAAACTGTTCAGGAAAATGCAGCCAAGATAGCATTTGGGCCTTTTCCACACCAAGGCTGCGGGAAAGAACTCACTGGTTTATTGATGTATGTAAGACGCAAATTCCCTGGAAATTGCATAGAGCTGACCAGTGGCATTGCGGAAGTATTTGTTGCTTTCTTCTCCAAATTTCTAATACTCCGGTTCATGATATCTCACTCCTCTAAGAATGGAGACATGAATGTGGGGGATTCATTCGGTATCTTGCTAGTTCTGCTCCGAGCGTGACTGCAGAAACATCAGCAACAGATTTAACAGAAGTGAGCATAAGATGAGTAAAGACACCTATATTTACATGCACATCATCATTGTTCTGTTACCTGTCGGTGAAGAGAGTTCCCGCGCAGAAGAATCCGATACAGAGAAAGAAAGTCCATTTCTCTGAGACAAAACTCTTGGAAGCCGACGGCTCTATTCCTCTATGTCGCCTCAACGACATCTTAATGTGTGTATTCTAAGCAAAACCTCGATATAAGAGTGACTATGTCTGACTAATCGAACGAGGCCAAAAACCAAGAGCACCCATGTCTTTAACTACTTTAACCGCTTCCATGGTCAACTTAGAGTAACAAAGACACTGAATCAGCGTTTCATAAGAGTCTCTGTTTGGATATACACCATCCTTCTGCATTTCTAGCATCAGAGCTAAAGCATCACGCGGTCTTTCACTTTTACAGAGACCCTTAAGCAGAGTACTGTACATAACTCGATCCGCCTCGCAATCCGAGTCCTCAAACAAAGCTATAGCAGACTCAACGTCTCCTGCTTTGATATGAGCTTTCATCAGGATAGTGAAAGTCACCTGATTTGGAAGAACTCCTTCCTTTTGCATTGAGAGGAGATGGTTATAAGCTTCATCAAGCCTTCCTGCAGCACAGTACCCTGTTATAATGGCGTTGTGGAGGTATAAGTTAGGGACAATAGACGTTTTCACTTTCCCAATCACTTCCATTGCAAAGCTTTTTGATCCGTAGTTGCAAACAGAAGAGGGGATTGATGCTACAGGATTTGTCTGAAGAAGACGTTTAAGAAGCTCTTCTTTACCAGGCTCAACAAACATTCGTCTCTTTCTTGCCATTGCTCTCCATAAACCGCTAAGCAGTGTGATGTACGCAACGTGATCATGTTTTACCTCGTTTTCTCCCATTAAACCAAACAATGTAAGAGAAAACTTGAAGTCTCCCTTCTTCAGGAAATGACCAATGAGTGAAGTATACAGCACAACGTTCGGAGATAACCCGTCTTCGACCATCTTATCAAGATACTGACATCCTTTCTCGACCATACCAGTCTTCACAAACCCACTGATCAATACGGTGTAAGTAAAAGAGCTAGGTCGGACAAAAAGTCTGACGACTTCTTCAACTAACTCATTTGCTTCATTGATTCTTGCGTTTCTCGCATACGCATTGATCATAATCATGTAAGCAATCTCATCAGGTTGGATCCCAGATTCAAGCATCCTTGCAAAGGTCTCTTCTGCCTCAACAACTCTTCCTTGTCTGCCAAGAGAACCAATGATTGAACTGTAAATAGCAACCGTAGGTCTCAAACCAAGCTCCTCCATCACATCTACAACTGCAAAGGCAGCGTCTATGTCGTTATTCTTGCATAACTCATTCACAACTATCAAGTACGTATCAGGATCTGGAACGAATCCCCATTCTTGAATAAGATTGACTAAAGACCCAAAATCTCCTATAACACCTTCTTCAAATAGACATTTGATCACTGAGTTGTATGAAAAGGGTAAGGGTGTGCATCCAAGATTCACCATTTTCTTGATACGTGATAAAGCGGCGCTGAAGTTTCTTTGCGAACATAGAGCAGTTGTGACAACAGCAAGTCCCTTGGCAGCTAGCTTAGCATTTTTGCTAGCAACCTCTTCAAGCAAAGACTCAACTTTTACCTCAATGTTTTCAAGGTCATCAATAACCGGTGGATGTATCCCACATCCATTATCCACAATTGCTTGTAAGATAACCATAGCGTACTTAAGCTCATGGTATTTGGGAAGCATCTTCAAGAGTACAAAGTAAGTAATATGGTCAGGGACAACCCCATTGTCTAACATCCTCATCAACAAGCCAAGAGCTTTATCCAACCCACCCTTCTTATGAAACGCGGATATAAGATTTGTATAACAATGTACATTGCGTGATATATCTTCTACCCCTACGCTATTCTCGAAAAGCCTCAAAGCATAATCAACATTACCTTCTTTGCAGTAACTACCAATCATTATATGATACGTGAAAACATTCATTCCCACACCTTTTTTCATCATTTGACTAAACATAACTCGCCCTTTATCGAGTACACCCAACTTCACGAACCCATGAATCAACGTGTTGAAAATGTAAGTGTCAAGCTCACACCCTTTCTCAACCATCCGCAAGTAGAGCCGCATCGCCATCGACATATCATTCCCCTTGCAATACTCTTTCATCAAACAAGTGTACATGACCTTATCCACAAAGTAACCATCAGCTTCCATGTGATCAAACAGAGCCTCTGCTTCAGCAGCACATCCTCTTCTACAAAAACCGTAAAAGAGAGACTTATACAGATTAACCGGAAGAGGCATCCCTGCCATCCCACAAAGAGTATCCAACATCCCAACTGCTTCATCCAAGTGACCATGACCGCACAACCCTTTAAACAATCTCTTGCAACACCAAAGACGTAAACCACTCCCCTTCGCCTTCACTTGCTCAAAGTAAAGATACGCCTCAAGATACTGATCTTGATTACAAAGCTCATCAACTACTAAGCTACAAGCGTCATCACTAGGAACATAACCAGAAGCTAAAACTCTATCTAAACATGCTCTAGCCTCTTCAAATCTCCTTAACTTAACCAAACAAAGAACCATTGAACTCAAAACCGAAGCATCATCAGCAACAATACCGTTTCCGAGTACACGTTGGTTGTAGAAAGTCTTAGCCAATCCAGGCTGACCCATCTCAGTAAGCTTCCTTATCAATGCCGCGGAGCAGCAAGAGTCGAGTTCTATTCCATTGTTGAATGCAAAGTCGGTGACTAAAGCTGCCTCTGATATAGAAGAACAATTATTAATGACACGGCGAGTAACTTCTTGAGCAGAGTCCACGAGACCTCGTCGGCGAAGGTTAACTATCAAAGACAAACATCTTGACCTGTGGTCACTAGAAGCAGAGGTTGATGATGGGTCCGATGGAAGAGCGCAAGTCGTAGCCTTTCTCGATTGAACTAAGCGATAACATAAACCCTTCACCTTTAACATAGTTTTAAACCCACCAAAATCTCAAGTCTTCACGAACTCAGCTGAGTTGCAGAGATGAAAGAAAGAATGGAACTTTACAGTAGTTAATGAGGTGAAGATACGATTTTGAAGAGATTTGGCAAGAATAAACGGTCGACGAGGATGATTGAAGTGGAACGGTGAGAGAGGCAGAGTACTGGGTTTTGAAACAGAGTCGTACTAAAACCCTCGTCATCGTCTCTGTTAATTAAACCGGTCGAATTCGTTTTATGAATCTAAACCGGAGTTAGGCTAATTCAATTTTTTTTAACAAACTGAAAAATAGTTTTATTGGGCTTTTCTTATGGGCTATAATTAATCACTTTACATAACAATTAGTTTTAGAAAGTATTAATCGGGGCGGATCTTTATTCTAACCCGATATAACGAAACGTTGGTGGATCCGGATCCTAGACGGGGGAGGAGGAGAGCTTTGATCAGGGAACAAGCAATGTCGAAGCTATGGGCGAGAGTAGCCGGATTGTTCAAAAGCAAGAGTTTCATCGGAGCAGACAAGACTGGTAACAAGTACTTTGCCAGAATGGAGCAGATTGACGGTCTTGGCGAGTATTGTTCCTCTAATCTCAGTGTCTTTTGTTTTGTTCAAACCCATGAATTCAGAAAAACAAGCGTTTGGAACAATACTTATATGAAACTGGTAAACGATTGTTGTTTTGTGCAATAACATGTTCTGAGTTACTTGTTTTTTTTTTTTTTTTTTTAAACTTTTGCAGTAAAGGAGAAAAGATGGGTTGTCTTTAGACGAGAAGAGGACCCAACCTCTATTCCTGGTAACTTCTTCATTCTCTCTTGGGGTTTAAGATAGGCTTAGACCTGATTTTTTGTTAAAGCAAAGCAGTGATGTTAGGTTTTGTAACATAAGCCGATAGATATAGGATATGTTGCATAGATCTTGTTACATTTTTTTTTTTGTTTGATCAATGTTGTTGTAGTTGAATGGATATGTTGGCTTAATGGGCAGCGAAAGAGAGCTCCTACTCCAGAGGTGAGATCAACTTCTCTTTAATCTTATCTATTTCTAGTTACTAGGTTCACGGTTTCTTTGCATTTAGCATCAGGCCTTTGATGTTGGTGTTTCTTAATGGTCCAGGAAATGGCTGAACTTGATGCAAGGCGTGAGCGTGTGAAGCTTAATGTTGCTCGTAGGTTTTTCCACATTATTAATACGTTCTTTACAAGTTACCTATCCTTTTGCATGTGTCAACATTCATTTTTTCTTTCTTGGCTTCCCCTGATTCTTTCTGCCAACAGTTTATGACTTTTGGAATCTAGACGTCCTGAATGAACATAGTCACTGTTGTTATTGTTGTTTCTACGTGTATTAGCAAGTCAAGAAATTCTTGTGCGTTTATCCTTTATGTGTCGCTTCAGTTTCTTTGTAAATGTTTATTGTTTTTTCTTTTGCCTTCAATTCCTTTTCAAGTTCTCAAGAAAGAAGAGGAGGAGAAGAAAGCCAGAGAAGGAACTGGGCGGAAAATCACGAGCATCGGTAAATAACGTTTAAAGAGTTCACACAAACGTTGTTTAATTTATTTTCTTCACGTATGAAGTGGATATTTAAATTGACTCTCTTTGTATAAAGGTAAAGCTGAGGGTCCAGAATTGACAAGCTTTGTTCGCCATTTCCCAGCGGATTCGAAAGGTATTACATTTTCTCTGTATCAATTGATTAAGGGGAGCTGAAGACTAGCTTCGTAAGTTTTGTATTCTCCCGTTTTCGGAAATTTAATTGTTTGGTTTTGATAAAGATTGTTATGGACAAGCATGTACACTTCTTTGCGATATACCTAAATCTGTCTGAGGTTGATTCGGGTTCAGCTTTTATGTGTGTATCTATTGCAGTGATGATCATAGTAATTCTGTTGTGAACTTGAATGAGAAACATCATGTGCTTTGCTTTGTGAATTCTGTAGCTATGATGAAGTTCTCATAGTAAGTGTGTTCCATGTACGTCCATTTATGGTTGAGATAAGATTAGAAAGGGCAATAACAGTGGTTCACTTAATGTTATTTGTTGATTCTTAGGGTGATGTTTCTACTGTTGCTAGTTTTCATATAGCAATAAAGAACTTATTTAGTCTGCAATAAAGAACTCATGGAAGTGGGACTGACAGATTTTTTTGTTTGTTAATGCTTTAAGGTGATAAAGCAGAGGAAGCTAGTAAAGAAGCAGACCAATCAAGGTAAAATATCTATGCACAAATCATATCATCTGTTAAATCTTTTCATTTTACTGAATGCAAAACACATCATATTTCACACCATAACCAAATGTTCTACACATTGGTTTTACAGGGTCAAGGAACATGAACCCGAGATAGTTACTTCAGAACCACCTGAACCAATGTAAGTCCTACCTTTTTAAACCTAACACACATATTCAGTCTGACGAATATGAAACATGAAACGTTCTTTCTGATTGTTAGAAACCAGTAGCAAGCAGACTCCGTTCTCTATGAACATGATCTAATATATATATATATATATATATATATATATATATTTGGTATGGTTTAATCCAAACTAATAGCGATGATGATGATAACGCAGGACAACAGAGCCATCAGGGTCTGGATCATCATTTAGGCCAGGGACATGGCAGCCACCATCCTAAACACATCTCATGTTAACCAACAGAGTATCTTTTTTGGTCCAGTCATCTGTTTGTTGTAGTCTTACATTAACCGATTGGTTGGAGATGATTAAGAGAGCTATTGAGGACCGTTAAAGTTCTGGTCATTCAGGCTTTCATGTAGTTATTGAGGAGTTGGATGAGTAAAAAATGAGAAGTCATATCTACCCTTATGATTTGTTTTCTTTGCGCGTCTCATGGCATTTTGGCTTTGAGACTTCAAATTGCGTGTCCTTGATAGCTTCAGAATTACGTTTTTTCCTCGTTGACATTCTATTTATCAAATTTTAAAATTAAACATTTATGTCCTTTGACCAAATAAAAAACGATTAAACGATTAAACATTTATGTCCTTTGTCCTTCAACTCATATGGAAGGCGAATAGGAAGCGATAAAATGATGGCTCGTGGTACCTTCGCCAACGTTCGTCTTGTTAACAAACTCTTGAAAGAAGAAGTTGGCCCCAAGACTATTAGCGTTTCTGATGCAGAAAGTGTAAGTGCAAGTAATATTGTCACACAGCTTCGTATCTATCCCACTAATTAATTCCTTAACTGTTCACTCACATTACGTATTATTTCAGCAATACAAAACCGCTGGTGCTGAATATGGAAGTGGTAGCCCTCGGGATTGGGCTGCAAAGGGTCCTTTGCTTTCGGTAAGTTGACATTATTTACAACGTCTTCAGATGTTAAGTCATATCATGTGAGTACCTGTGTTTTAACTGAGGTGACCACAATTTAGGGAGTGAAAGCTGTAACTGAGGTGACCACAATTTAGGGAGTGAAAGCTGTAACTGCCAAGAGTCTTGAGAGAACTGTTAGGTATGAGGCCCTTCACCCTCCCAGTCTATAACAATACACAAAGAGGAAAGGCAAGGGTCGGAAGTCCCTTCAAGTGTCGTCTATGGCTGATGGGAATGACGTGGAGAAGGACGTCTAGAAGGCACAGAGCTTCAAGGAGAAAGAAGGATAAGGCACAAGGTATGATCTGTTGAAAATGCAGGTTAACGGATCACATCGGCTCTGTGTAGTGTGTTGTGTGACTTCATTATTTAGGTGAGAGTGAATGTAACGAGAGAGCATCAATTGATTTGATCAAATTTATAGGGGTCGGAGAGACTCCCAAATTTATTCTCTCAAACCCTGTAAACAGTTCATCATTTCAAATACAAATATCGATGTCACTCACCCAAAGAATGATATAATGTTTTCACATTCTACAACGGTTTTTTTATCCAATCCAACTCGACAAACCAATGAATCAAAAACCAGTAATAGCCAAAACCGAACAAAAAACCCCAGAACACATCTTTTTGTGAACCCTTCGTAGGTTGGAGAGGCAAAGAATAAAGGTATGAAACCAAAATATTGAGACTCTACTTATGGAAAGTGCCAAAGAAGCCATTAGGAACTGCAACTGGCATTGGCTGATTCGTCGGGAAAGGAGGCTGCATAACTGGATATTGGACGGGAACGCTGTAAGGTTGCAGTACACCCGTCGTGAACGGTTGGGAAACGCATAACTGCAGCGGCTGGCCAGCTGCAACTACACCTACATCACATAAAATGGTTCATTCTAGTTGACAGCAAAAAAAAAGGTATCTATTAAAGAGACTCAAGTATTTTACCTTGATGCTTCAGGTATGGGACATGTGGTGTGGGAGGTAAAGGTAGAGGGCGGGAAAGCATAGATGGAAGAGGCGGTATTCCCTGAACCTGATTCTGGAAATAAAGAGAAGACAGATGATTACATAAGACTTCTACGAAAGTTAAATCAATGGCTTAGTAGTTAGTAATACTATTTCCTCTTTCACTCAACGATACATGACAATACTACATCCTCATTAAATGTCACCAAATTAAGTTTATCTGGAGATACAAACAGCTATGAGCTAATTAATAATTATATACACCAAATTCTTACCTGAGAAACTGGTTGAACATATACAAGCTCTCCTGATCTACCAACCATTACCTGGAGGGCAGTATAAAAAATCATTTAGAAACATATAGACCAAGTAAAGCTCCTATAATAATTACGTTTTTAACAACAGTGAATCTTGGGATCCTCCTTGAAATACAACCTGAGGATTTGGATTAACAAACATTGGTGATGCTTGAACAGATTGGTACGGAGAGGTGAATCTCTGAGGTTGTGCATTGTTAACAATAGGCCCGATCATCTGCAAGAGAGTGGGATGCAAATAGAAGTATGATTCATTGATTACAAAAGAAACGAAGCATTTTATAAACTAAATCATGCTATTTAAAGAGATCTCTAATCTGGTCTTCCACACTGACATATGTTAAGATACGGCGCTTAGAGCTGAAACAGGTTACTCTCAACTATTAGATGATAAGCCCCCTTTCACATAATATGCCCAAAGAGACAAAGAGAGGCAGAGACAATATTGGAAAGATATACTTACGTGTTGAGGAAAATGAACACCGACAAGATTTCCAGCAGCCAAATTACCGTATGGCACAAACTTGGAAGGTGGATATGTTTGGGGCATATAAGGGTTGTTCCCAAGTTCTGTGTAAACAGCTTCAGGAACAGGTAGCATGGGAGCGTTGCTTGGTATATAAGCAATATTTCCAATGTCAGGCATAGTAATAGGAGCCGGTGAAAGACTTTTTGTATAAGATGGAGAAAAGTTTTTTGCCTCTGGATTCAACTTGAACTCCTGTAAGTATGTGGTCAAAGCATTAAAGATAGAAACTTGGTAATTAAGTACAGATAAATTAAAATGAACCTCAAACTAAGCATATACCAACGACTCCGAATCTGTTCTCAAAGAAAGGAATGGCTACCAAATCTTTAAGACTGAGCAATCAAACTAGCATAACCGTACTTAGGAATTACCTTAGCCTTTTTGACGGCCTGGTTAGGCACTGGTTCATTAGGAGGTGCCTCTAAACCCTGACACAACTCTGAGGTTTCATCAACGGTTGTACTTTGTGAGGATGAATTGTCAATGGAAGAGGGCCTTTTAGCAACATCGTGAAAACCATTACTTATAGGTTCCAGCACCAACTTATCTTCTTCTATTGGTTTAACTCGTTCGGACATACTATCCACTGGATCGTCGTTATTACGCATGATAAAAGTTAAGGAAAAGCATGTAAGAAAACACTTCACTGTCATAAAAGAAGCAGAAACAACTCTGCCACAGCAATAACACAACGGAGAAAACGAACTTACAGCTAGAACTAGAGCTTTGGATATCAATCTGCAACAGGAAAAAATAAAAATACGCAACTGTTAAGTAATGAATCGAGCAAATGAACTATCCATTGTGCAAGACTAACATTATCCAACTGGTGAACATCAGGAACTTTTTCACTACGGTTCAGAATCTTGGCTCCAGCCTGTCTGTCAACAGAACAATTCAAGAATGAAAAAGAAAGAAAGAAAGTTATCTAGGCAACATTAGCGTGACCAAGATGGTAACTGTTTACCTCCTATGATGATTACCCCTTCCTTCAAAGCAATTATTTTTAGACTTGTTTGCAGCAGAGAAGCGAGGCTCAGAATGTAAAGTCTCTGTGGCTGATCGAACGTTCGCAAACTCATTATTGCCTGTAATATTTGATGGAAGCGAGACTCCCTATCAATTCAAAGGATGTCACACTTTCATAAACCAAGCTCTAAGATTTAAAAGAAAAGAAAGTAAATAAAAGGACAGAGACCTCAGCAACTATTTGAACAATATCGGAAGACGTAATAACAAGAGTCTCGACCACACTTCCACTTGCTACATTCGCTTTACTCTTCCCCTTTTTAGTCATTTTCGCATCCTTCAAAACAATGCCTAAACAGAAACAAACAAAAACATATATAAATAGACAGACACATAAAATAAAACCATAGCAAAAAAAAAAAGTATCATTAATTAATTATCATTGTTTACACTGAACAAACAAAATTAACAGAATCTTCAATTCGATACGTAAGATTCCCATTCAGATCTCTACGATACGACAGTGTACCCAACTCACGAGAGAGAAGCACCAAATCAATCGAAAACAAATATTTGATCGACGAAAACCACAGTAAACCAAAAAGATGGGAACACACAAACCGAAGCCGTGATCGAGAGAAGCTGTGTAGAATAAACCGGAGAAAACCGAACCGTCCTTGACGTGAACATGAACCTGCAATCCGATGATGCACATCATCGTCGCAATTAACAGCTTTGAGTTATCCTCCTCCTGTTCCCTTGCGTATCCCATCCTTTTTAATCCTTCAATGCAAATTCAAATTCTTGATTTTCTCAGAAATTTTTCTAATCTATAGAAAGAAGTATCTAATCTATGTACATCAGCGTGTGCTAGAAAAGAAGTAAAAGAGAGATCTATATAATACGAGGGAAGCGACTCTTTCATTATTTTTCCCTCGTTCTTCAGAACGTAAATGGGCCCTCACTTCGTGTAACATTTACGGCCCACTTAAGAACGATAATAAACAGTAAATATTGGGCCTTATTGGGCTTACTTATATCTCGCCGGTATTTGTGGTTTGGTTACGCCTACACGACTTTGTGAATAAGAAAACTCATTTTACAAATTCAGAGTTATGGACAGTAGATTCAAGACTGTTTATGTAACACTTACGTTCTCAAACGATTCAACATTTATTGTTTCAAATTCCTAAAAAGCGGGTCTGGTCCCTTGAACAATCTGTTAATTAGTAGTCTTAACGGGGGATGCAAGAAAAACAATACAGAAACAGAAAAAAATAAGCATAAATGGTCGGAATTAGTCAAATGACAAAAAGCCTTTTGTTACGACTAGTACACTCAACAATAATAGTCTGTCACCCGAGAGAGAAATAAAACAAAAGAAAACAAAGTCTTGTAGAGAGAAACAGAGAGACAAAGAGCTAATACACATCCACTTCGATAATTCATTCACCATTTTGCAAACGGTGCTTCATCACCAGACAGCTTTCTGGAACTTCAGCTCCACACGACATACACATCATGCTTCACTGCATTTCGAAACAACAAACAGAGGAAAAAAATAAGTAAGCACTGAGCTCGCAACAGGACACTGATTAGCATTACTCAAACCTTTTCAATTTAAGACCTCAAAAATTTCCAAGTCGCAAAACAAAAGAAAGTACGTACCTGCTGTTGCTGCTGGTAGCCACCAGGCTGCTGCTGGTAGTTTCCATAGGCGGCACCAGGGTAGCCACCACCATAGTAGGCGTTAGGGTCCTGTGGAGGAGGTGCATATCCGTAACCTTCATATCCCTGAGGAGGATACCCATAGTATCCACCTCCACCACCATACTGAGCCTGATCAGGTTGAGTCTGTTTGTTGTTATTACTGCGACCCCATGAAAGACGAATGCTTTGTCCACCAAGTTGTGTTCCACTCAACTGGTTGAGTGCTTGCTCTGCACATGCCCTGAAGCATACAGGCAAGAGAAAATAAATGTTAAACACTTACTGAAAAAAAAAAAAAAAAAATTGAAGTTCATCTACACGGTCAGTCACACTACCTATTAGCATACTGAACAAATCCGCAACGTTTTCCTGCTGGTATTTTCACATGAACAAGTTCACCAAATTGACCAAAAACTGACTTTAAAATATCCTCTGTCACACTTTCATCCAAAGCTCCAACAAAAATCTGGTAAAAGCAAAAATCGACAGCTTAAATTCACTCACTATACTCTACATAGAACAAAAGACTAAGGGAAACCAAAACAAAGTACGTACCGTTGTGTTAGTTGGATCACTTTCTCCAGGATTTCCTTGAGTGTTCTGATATCCACCTGCTAATAACAGACGAGAAAACTTAGTGGAAAAAACTCATACTTCTATATTCTAAAGCAAACAGACACTAACGCAAACAGGCACAAACGACAGCAGTTGCAGAAGTATCCACATCAAGATCCAAAAGTATCATCAGCAGATAAAGCAAATGACATATTTGATGCAACTTGAAGATTAAGGTTTAAGAGATTCTGAAGTTAGTAGATAACTAATACTAATGGACAAAACATTAAAGCTATTCTAAGCTCAATGTGGATCCAACTTTGAAAAATTAGAGAATGGGACCAAAATTCTACGATGTCACAAGTAACCTTAAGTTCCTTTCATGGTCTGACACTCGTTACCACAGTAATCAACTTGCCGAACCAAGATTACTAAGTAACAACAAAGAAGTGTTACAAGCATAAATTTAGTGGAGAACAGTAAATGAAAGAAGGAAAAAAAATTTGTGACACTAACTACTGAAAGAAGATGAATTGAGAGGTATGAAGAAGATTTAAAAAGGATTTCATACTGGAAAAAAAAAAACGAAATGTAATGATAATGTATTACGAAATAAATTAACTTAAAGGCATGGCTTAAAAGTAAAAGAAAAGACTAAGGCTTGAAAAGTAAGGAGCTGAAAAAAATAAATTTGCGACTGTAAAGGCTACTTGTAAATTAACTTCTTCTGAAAACATAACCAACTGACCTAAATGAGGCCACGCATTAAGGTGGTATCATTTTCAGCTGAAATCAGTTCCAGGCAGAGCCTCTTGTTTTCCTGCTTTAAGACAACATGAGTTTTTTTCTTATAAGCTTTAGGATGTTTTTACGATTTTTCATTCTTTGGAAGTGCTGAAATTCAAGAAGCTGAAGGAAATGGACGGTATGAAATAAATTCTTAAAGGCGGTTAACTAATAGAACAAGCTTCACCAATCAGAAAGACAGAGGTACATGAATACCCCAAGGACACAGAATCAACTAACATAGACATAGCATCATCACTCAACATACTCAAGTCATCAGAAATCCTGTTCCTTAATAATAAAACATACCTGGTTGTTGCATAGTAAGAGGTTTCTTGTTAGCAGCTGGACCAGTACGCATAGGCCTAGACGAGCAGTATTGACCATTCATCTCCGTCATGGCACGAATCTGCTCACTCTCATCCCCAAATTTAACAAATCCATACCCCTTGGACCGTCCAGTGGTCCTATCAGTCACAACTTTAGCGCCCTTGACAGATGTATACACAGCCTTAAACGTTTCAGTAAGAACATAGTCAGTTACATCAGGCGCCAAATCCCCTACAAAAACCGTGTGCTCAGGGCCTTCACTCTGACGTCTCTCACCAGCTCCAAGCTGAGCCCAGTTCAACCTAAACGTCTGTTCAGAGCCAGGCATTGGAGTCCCATTGTAACTCTGCAAAATCCTCTCAGCTGCAGCGTGGCTCACAAACTCAATAAAACCATAACCTTCCGAGTATCCACTCTGCTTATTCTTAATCACTTTAGCTTTTTGAACCTAAAGAAAAAAAAGAAGAAAAAACAGAGTCTTTTAACTAACAGTCATCAAAACTTATAAAGGACAACACTTTCTTTACTTTAGACAAATAAAAGACAAAACTTTATTTCTTTCAAAGGATGAAATTAAGAGAAGGTTTTGATATTACCTCTCCGGTGATACCGAAGCTGTTAATGAGATAGTTCTCATCCATCCATGGTTGAAGGTCTCCGATCCACAAGGACTGGATCTCTCCACCTGATCCTGGATTCTGAGATCCACCAACGCCATACTGTTGCGGTTGACCAGGAGACGGAGAAGACTGAGGATTCCATCCTGCTGGCGGCTGACCCTGTTGTTGTTGCTGCATCATCATCCACTGCTGGTGGTGGTAAGCTTGCTGGTCCTGCCCTGATCCTGCGGAAGCACCGTTAGCGGCTGGAGGTGGCTGCTGCATCATGACGACGTTAAACCTAAAAAAAATGGAGGATGCCGCCGCCGCAGATTGCAGTTTGAGAGTTTATTCTCTCTCGGACAAAAGGGCAAAAGGACAGAGAGTTAAAGCTGTCTTGTTGCGTTTTTTATAGACAAAAGAAAGACAAAAGTATCTTATAATTTTGGACCTCATAAGGCCCAATATAAAAGGCTTTGGCCCATTATAATGCTAAACCGGTAGGAGGCGGTAAAATTTCGAGTGATGGTAACCGAAGATATAACTGGTTGGAGTCGGTTTTAGGGATTTAAAACCCTACTTTCAGCTGCAACACGTCGCCGGACTCTTCTCTCCTGTTAAACCCTTCACCTTTTCAGACATGGTGGAATTAACATCAGACATGGAAGAAGAAAAAGGTACGTTAAGACATTGAACTGTGCTTTAGCAAATTCTGTTTGATTTTGCAACCAAAAACAAAAAAAAAAAGTTTTGAACTTTGTTTTCTTTTTGCTTAAAAAGTTTTGACCTTTGTTTTGCTTAACAAAAAAAGTTTTGGTCTTTCGGTAGCTTTAGTCCTCTTGGCTAGATTTGTGCTAGTGAGGAGTAGTTTACTTTGTAACTTAGTCACCTGTTTGCCATTTCAGGAATGGTTGTGAACGGTGTTAATAGTAATCTTGAGGTGGGACAAGTCCCAGTGATGGCTTTTGGGCCGTCCCACGAAGCTAAACTTAGGGAACTGTTGCATAAGCTTTGCTCAGAGGAGATTAAGCTATGCTCTGATGCTGCAAAAGAGTTTGTCAAGTTACTAAAAGGAGAATCTGGCGGCGATTTGTTGCGTTTATATTTTCAGAAGTCACCTGAGTTTGCAGAGCTTCTAGAGGCATGGAAGATTCGACATGGAAAGAAAGGACTACAGTATATATTCTCGCTTATCCAGACGGTTTTGAGTCATCCAGAAGGGAAAGGTAGATTAACTGATATTGGAATAGCTCTTGACCGGTTCTGTTTGTTACTTAGTGAAGATAAACTTGACGAGATTTGCAAGGAGTTAAATAGCAAAGAGAGTAAGCAGCAGAATGCTGCGCTTGGACTGTTGACTTCGATGGTTAGACGTGGTCCACGCTTGGCGTCAGGAATAGCTGGGAAGTTTGATTTTAAGGGTTTTGCGAGACTGGCGGAGTATAAAATAATAAAAACGAGGAGGGCTTGTGTTGTGTTTGCAGTATCATTCCTCGAAGTTGGGCAGCCGAGGTTGTTAAGCGATGTTTTACAGCAGAAGGAAATGTATTCAAAAGTCCTACGAGGCCTTGGGAAAGACGATGATGACACTGTGGAGTATGTCTTGTCTACGTTGAAAAACAAGATCCTTGTCGAAGAATCAATGGTTCTTCCTAGTCTTAGGAGTGTTCTTTTTGGAATTGCTACGCTAGAGCAGCTAGCCAGCATTTCAGCAAGAGAGGATGGTGGGACCGTGAATGAGTTGGCCCATGATGTTCTCGTTAAAGTATGTACAGACCCATGTAATGGATTGATGCCAGATGAAAGGAGAAAGTTGACAGGAAATTTAGAAAGACTGCTAATGTTGATGAAGAAATTGAGAGCAACAGAGATTGTTTATCACAGGGATTTGCTTCTAGCAATTGTTAGGGGTAGACCGTCTTTAGCTTCTGCTTTCTTTGAAGAATTTCCATACAATGTGGAAAATTTTGCATCACCATCCTGGTTAGTCTTCTTTAGAGTACCATAGTGTATCTATATCTTTATTTTTAGTGCTGCATGTACAGTTAGATTTTTTGCTGTTTTTTTTTTTCTTTCTTTTTGCGTACTAACTGAAGTCATTGCAGGGCTTCTTCTATTTCCTTGGCATCAGATTTGGTATCTTCAGTAAGAAATTCATTTTCTTTTGAGTTCCTCAATCCAGATCAACGTTCTACCCCTCCTTCAGGTGGTTCAGAGAATCAGACTATCATGAAAGAAGTTCAGACTATCATGAAATGTATATGCCCCCGACCATTTAACCGGTTGTTGATCACCCGAGGGATGCTTTGCCCTAAATTTTTTGTGAAACATGGGACCTTGAGATTCCTCTCGGAAACGCTTTTGCTCTGGGATTCGTTTGTTACTGCTTCTCTTAGCTGCTCTGAGCAAATTCAGGCTTCTCTTGAGTGGGATGTCATGGGTGAGGTGAGAAGCTTTTTTCCAGATACTCAGGTGTTATTGACTGAACTGAAGTCTCAGAGCGATGCTAGTGGAATTCAAAAGCCGTCTTTGAAGAGAAAAGCAGTGTCGGAGAGTGGAGTAGTAGGTAGAGAAAAACGCATTAAAAGATCTGAGAAGGATGTTTTGGACGAAGTGGCTGGTGATATCGTCATTGGTGGGGTAGGTTTGACAGAGGATCCTGTGGATGCTCATATGGAAGATGGAAAGGAATATCTTCGGAATGTTTCAGAAATTTGGGCTTCAGAGCGTTGTTCCAAGCCTGTTGATTCAGTCGAACAAGCAGAGATGTACTTGCGCACAAAGATTATGGAAGTTCTTAAAACTTATGTGGTATGATGACTTCATTTTGTACAAATTTTGTTTACTCTTACTTAATGATTACTTAAATGATGACAGGGTTTCTTTTTCATTTTTGCAGCGTACTGTGCCTAATGTGCTTGAAGGATCATTTGATGTCTTCATGAAATTTCTTCCTAATCAACGTTCTTCATGGTTGCCAGCTGAAATGCAGAGAGCTGTCTTGTCTTTTCTAAATGAGTACATCAGCTGGACGCCAAGGTCCCGAAGTCAGAGCGCTCCTACAAGAATGCCACCACTTATGTACATGCAGCTGGATGTATTCGTGAATTTGTTTCTTTTCTCACCAGACGAAGAGGTGAAGGATCTAGCGTACAATTTAGCAATGGTAGCTATGAGTAGCACTGGTGCTTTTGACAAAAATCCAAGTGAAATTGGTGCATGGTTTCGGTCTCTTAAAGGTTTTGGAAATACTAAAGGACCTCTTAAGGTTCAGGAGGCTGTACAGAGCACGTCAGCTGTTGTCATCTCCTTTTTATATGATGCAGTTAGGACAGTTGGAAAGAATATGTTCAAGTACTGGGATATTACCAGAAGTAGCCTGTCCCATTTAAAAGGTATAGTTATTAGTGCCTTCAAAATCAGTGGTTTGGTATAGGTTTCATGTGTTTCACTCTTTTTTCTCAGGTTTTGCATCTTAGGTGTCTAATATGTTGATCTAGTGTTTGTTTATCTGCCTTATTTTCTGTAACTATTCCTGTGGACTTATGATAAACGTAGAGGAATTTATTGATTGGTCTATCTTCTATGTGTTGGTTGCAGGTGTATCATCAATTGGTCTCAGCCCCCTAATTGTTTGTGTACTGCAGAAATGTGTGAAGCTACTAACTGTATCTAAAAGCCTTACTTTCCCGGAGAAGTCAGAAATATCTCTGTACGTTTGCACCACGCTGAAATATCTTTTGCAATCTCAGGTAATTATACATCTGCAGATATATATATATATATATATATATATATATATATATATATATATTTATATATAACCCTTACCATGCAATATATTTTTAAACGTTACCATGCAATATATCTATATTCTACTTTTCATCGCTTAAGATAACAATACCTTTTCTGTATATTGATTATTGTAGGTAGATTCCAGACCACTCTCATGTTTGGTCGAGTCAGTTTTGTCTGAGGTGGTTGATGGATCTAAAGATTCTTTATGTGAATGGTGGCCATTGAGAGCGTTGCTGCTTTTCTCACAATCTTTGTCAAACAAAAAACCTTTGCATTCCAGAAGGACAACAGGTCGACTTGCCGATGCTTCTTTTGCAGATACTCTTGATGAGATCAAAGGGCTGGTGAAACGTAGTTCTCCGGATGAAATTGCTGGAATCGTTCAGTCGTTCTCTTCTGCATTGATATGTGCAAGACCTGAATCGATTTTGGAGAATTTTGATTCTGTGATGGCTATTTCTTGGACACTCTACGGAACATCATTCTCAATCTTACAGGCGATTGCCTTTCTAGAAGAAAACTTCCTCGGAGACCTTTCAAAGCTATCGCCTGACTTACTTGTGCGAGGAACAGTATATAGGGAAACTGGTTTTGATGACCACTCATCCATAACTGAAGAAATTAAAAGTAAGATGGACGTTTGCGTTACTGAATCTCCTGCCTTCCCTACGTTTTTAGAGCAGCTTCCTTTCCCTGAATTGCTTACCGCAATTAAAAACATGGATATATCTTGGTTACCAAGAGTATCAGAGTTACTGCTGCTAAAAGTTTCGCATCCTAAAAGTGATAGTCTCGAATCTATCAAGTTAATACTCTTCCATCTCTACCAGATACGATCATCTTACAAGGTTCAACCAGCTCCGGTACTCTGTCAACTCTCTGAGATCTGCTTACGAATCTTGAAGCACTTGTTCTCTCAAATATCAGAGCTGGAACCCTCTTCAGATCAAGTGGCCCAGATTGTTCTTTGCCACCCAGTTGTGTTGGCACTGTTGGAGAGTCCCTTGGATTGTGGCACATTACCTCTAGTGCAGAATGTTGAGATTTTTTCAGAAACGTCGCTGGCAACGGGCAGGATAGTTCTTAGTGAAATAGATCAGCACATCCTAGATGTATTGGCTTCTACTTGTGAGCAGTTTTTGTTTGATGAGAGACGCATTGTGAAGCAAGGGGAACTCAATGAAGATAAGTCAATTGTGGCTTTTAAAACCTTGGTTGAAACGCTTCTCTTGGAATTCAGAGGCAAGTTGGAGCTTTGTGTTGGTACTCAAAGCTACGTGCCGCTTCTACAACCATCACAAATAATTCACGCTTTGTTGAGGTTTATATCACCTTTTAAACTCTTAAATCTTGCACGTTCCATGCTAATTAATGTGGAAGAATTGGGAAGCCCAAATTTGAGTAAGATTGTCTGTTTGGGATTGGATATTGCTGGCGGGTCTTTTGAACTACTTTCGTTGTATTCACAGCAGCCGGCTGCTAAGAGAAGGATATATGATTTGCTGTGGGAGTTGGAAAAAACTAATTATGACAATAACCTCCTTGAGGAAGTCTATAGCCTGGCATGCAAGTTTTCTACCTCTTTTGGTTTGGTTTCGGCAGACACTTGTTTGCTTAAAGTTGGGGGTGGCATTTTCAGGGCGAAACATAACCAGCATAGTAGTGCCCACCTGTTGACCATGATAATCTCACAGATTGTTGGTAGAACCCCTGAAGACTTGACTATCCATTGCGTTAACCAGACAAGCATGATCAGAGCCAAGATATTGTTTTATCTTGTGGAGTCCAGTCCCTTGCATCTGTCAGTCTTTGGAAACTTTTTCTATAGTAAGCTAAGTAAGCAACAGGGTGACTCTGCGCTTACTGATGATCAGTTTCTCATGCTTCTGCCGGCTGTGCTATCATATCTCTCACCAGTTTTTGCTAAACCGGAGAAGCCGTGTAGTAGATGTTTGGATATAACTTCATTTTATTCAAGTATACTAATAAATGGTTTTCTACAGTGGCCGAGCTTTTCTTCCGGGTGCATCTTTGAAGAGAAATATGAAGAGATTCGTCTGTCAGCTACGGCTGAGGATATCGATACTATGTTTAAGGCGAGTCTTCTTGGGAAGGCAGTACGTATGTTTCAGGATCACTTGGCCTGGACTGAAAGTCCAACTAAAACCGAAGATCTCTTAAATGTATTCCAGTCCATGTTTCCTCACACTGGAAAAGAGATGTTGGATGACGAAAAAAAAGAAGTGGACGTTCAATCAGTAGACATTATGTTTAATGTTGCCATCCGTGAAGTTGCCAAAATCGAACTCTCAAGGATCTGTTTGTTTCCTGCGGATAGCAATTTTAAACGTCAAGCAGGAAGTTCCTCAGAAATGGGATCCAAGAAAGAGAGTTTGTTCACGCTGTTATTAGATTACTTAGTTGGTAAGTGGCATTGTGTTGTCAAGAGATCTGATGGTTCTTTTAAAGGGAATTCCGACAGGAAACAAGACAGATGTGGGTTCCTGTGCAAAAGTCTTGAGAACTTCATTCTGAGAAATATTCTAAAGCTTTTGGAACACATGTGCGAGGAGCTTGTTCATTTGGATTCCGTTTCTTTCCTGGAGAGACTGATGAAGTCAGTTCTTCTGTACAGATTTGAGGACTTGAGAACATTAAAGACACTGAGGCAAATTTTCTCTTTATTGTCTAGAGGAAAGTACTCGTATGCACCATATATACAACTCCTAATATCTCACTCTCAGTTTACACCGACTATCAGCTCTCTATCATCCTCGCACACTGGTGAATTATTTAGGCCTATCTCCAGCATTCTAAAACATCTTATCATCCCAAGTCCAAGTTCTGTCGGCGTTGGAAGTTGTTGTGTTCAAGCACCTGACTATGTGAGGCAATTGGAAATTATCAAAATTCTCAGAGTGCTTCTCTCCAAATGTGGAAAAGATTCAGGAATCATTCTGAAGGAACTGCACTTTCTTCTTTTGTGTTCTTATGGTGCAAGTCTAAGCGAAATCGACATAGAGCTCTACAAGTTGATACGTGATATCGAGTTGATTGATGACAAAAACACGCTAGATGTTTCTGAAACAGGTTATCTGTGGGGTAAAGCTGCCTTGAAAGTAAGAGAGGGGCTACGCCTCTCTCAGGATGCATCTGACGGTGGCGAAGATGATTTGGTGGAAGATCTCCGACAGAGACTTTTCAAAGAGAATCTTTGTATTGATCCCAAAACATGTGCTCTAACTGTTTTGTATTTTCCTTATCGACGAAGCGCAGAGGTATCGGATAACTCTTACCTATCTGATGATTCCATGAGCGAGGTACCTGTCTTTAATTATTATTCAGTTAAATATTATTGTCATTGCATTTTAAAACATTCGTTCAAACTAATCCCTCTTCCTTTTGTAGAAATGCTCACCTATAGTTGAGGACATTGAACGATATGATCCGGCTTTCATCCTGCGGTTCTCGATACAATCATTGTCCGTGGGATATATTGAACCTTTGGAACTCGTCAGTTTAGGCTTGCTTGCAGTTGCATTTGTGAGCATGTCTTCAGCAGATCTTGGGATGAGAAAATTGGCCTATGACACTCTTAAGATGTTTCTGGATGTTCTTGAGGTAATACTTATCTTATGTTAAACTTATTTGTATGCATTGCTTGTTTTGACTGTCTACTGATGTTCTTCTTAGAATTTCTCTAATAAATGGCACTTTTAGTAATTTAAACTGCACAGAGGGGTTGTAATTGCAACTGCTAGCTAGGAAAGTTTTTATTTTATTAATTGGTTTTGCGAAGGCTCATTGCTCAGATTTTTCCGATTATTCTAAAGTTAAATTGCTTCTTTTTTAACTAAAACTTTTTGATGTAGAGTGGTACGAGGAATAAGCAAGTAAAGTGGATTAGGTTTCTGCTGCTGTGTCTGAAAAATGTAGTTGAGGAACCATGGCAAAGGATCCCAACAGTTTCTGCTGTTTTTGCTGCTGAGGCATCTCTTATATTGTTGAATTCTTCTCACGAGCATTTTGTTCCCATTAAAAAACTGTTGAAGAGCTCGCGTTCACTGAATCTGAGGGTACTTATTCTCTGTTAACTATGAAATATCGTCATTATCCTTCACACTTTGCCAGCACTGAAACTGTTTTTTGCTTTCTCTCTTTGTTAGGGAATACCTTTGTTTCATGAATTTTTGTGGAGCAGTGCATTTAACTTTAGATCACAGAGGCTGTGGGAACTTCGCCTTGTGTGTGTGGGCTTGAAATCAGATGACGATGCTAAGCTCTACATTAGAAACTCCATCCTTGAGGATATGATGACTTTTTCGGCAACTCCTCTTGCTGATGATGAAACTAAAGGACTAATCCTTCAGGTGATACTTTCTTTTCTAAATGTCACTTTGTGTTTATTTTGCATTATACACTTCCTTCTTCAAACTTATTTCTGTGGTTCTTTTTCATTTTTGAGCTCTTAATCCAAGGCTACAAAATCTTAATTCTTTCACTTTTCAGGTTGTGAGGAAGTCAGCCAAATTCCATGAAATGGCCAGACATCTGGTTCAAAATTGTGGTCTGTTTTCATGGTGTTCATCATTTATCTCATCTTTTACTACAAAGCCCACTAAAGACGAAGATTTTCGTTTGGTTTTTGTCTTGGAGGTATGTACAGTATCAGTCCATTAATGCTATTAGTCATGGTCGAGCGTGCACATTGTTTTATTGAATCAAACCATGGTTATTGTCTATGTTGCATCAGAAGTCCTTATGTAGAATATTTGTTAATTGAATTGCTTTTTATATTGCTTTATCAGGTTATAACTGATGTTCTGGCCTCCAGAAGCGTTACAGAGTGGTTACAAGGCGAAGAGACAAGAGGGGCCTATGGAGAATGTGATAAGAAATCCATAGTAGAGGCCGACCCCAAAAACTTAACTGCATTTCCCCTCGAAGGGCTAATGGAAATCTCATCGCGTTTGTGCAGACTTGTTGGTGGTGGATTGGTTTCAATACAAGAAAATAGTACTTTGGTTGCTTTAATTCTGCAGATTCTGTCTGCTACTCTAAAGATATCACAGAAAGTACGAAAAATGTACCAGCCACATTTCACCGTCACTATCGATGGGATATTACGACTCTTTGAGGCTGTTGCTAATTGTGATTCTCCTGAAGTCGATGGTATTGCAGAGCGTGGCCTTGATACTATATTAATGAGCACCCCGCCATTTGAACTTATATGCATGGTATCTTTCTCCCTCCCTCTCTCTTTCTCTGCTTAATTAAGCATCCTTTCAATTTACTTTGAACAGTTCAAAAGTTTTTTTTATCATACTATATCTTTTCAGGACGTAGACAAGCTGAGAAGATTTCTTTTGTGGGGAACCTCGACAGCCTTGAAGAGTGATCTTAAAAAGAGATCTAAGCCAAATGAGTCTCATCAAGATACTAAAACACTCACTGAAGAAACACAAGAGGAGACTATGGTAGCAAAGTTTCTACGTTGGCTGTGTGCTTCTGTGATTCTTGGGAAGCTTTATACTAAAGCTAATGCTTCGGACCCGTCGGTCTTAAGTAAAACAAAGCCAGAAACTTTGCTGACGTTGTTAGAATACTTTAAGACAAGAAATCCCGAAGGTAGCGAGACAGAGTCAGAGCACATAATAGGGGAAGTAATCGTACACCTCCAACAGCTTTTGTCTACAAACTACAATCTTCTTCCCTCTGTTGTATGTGCACTTTCTTCCATGCTTCTTCGTAATGGCCTCGAAATTGCAGGTATGCTGCTTTTATATAACTCTTGTTTTGGGAATTGAACTTTGGAATGAAGTAGTTTTGATATTTGAATGAAGCTTGCGCATTGAATTTCAGTTGGTTAGAAATATCTGCTAAAACTATTCTCACGTGTTTCTGCCAACCAACATGTCTGTATGTTGAAATTTTGCTATTCTTCTGCATAGGTTCAGAGTCTAATGGCGATTACAAGCTCATCAAATCTCTGTGTTCTAGAATAAACGGTCCTCCTGAGGCTTCACCAGACTGGAGATGGTAAACGATTCCTCTATGTTTCAGTCACTTTGTAAAGCTTTGTTCATCATTCCAAAGCTTGACCTGATTTCTTATCCGCAGGTCATATTGTCAAGCATGGAAGGATGTTTCATCGGAACCAGCCACAGATCTGCAAAAGATAGATGAACGCCATGCTTGCCAACACCTTCTGCTGATATTCTCTGACATGCTAAGAGTAAAGCCAGGAGAATCTCCACAGGTGTTGCTTCATAAAAGTTTTGACATGTCGAGTGTATTTGATTGGGAAAGGGTTTAGTTAAGACCTAGTTATTTTTGTTTTATCATCCAAAATCAATCAGTTTTGCTTTATCAGTGACATAAGTTATTAATTGACACATGTGAAACAGTGTCTGGCTTTTGTAGTATCAATGATAAATGTTAACAAGCTTTGCAATTTTGAGTCCACCTTAGATAACTTCTGAACTATTTTATTTACAGAAGTATACATAATCTTCTTCCCAACGGTTTCTTTTCTTTGCAAATGTATTTGAAGTGAATATTTTTCACGTGATTCGCGGATCATTACACGAAGTCATTCCTAAAAAACAGACAAACACAGTTCATATGTTGGTTCTAGCAGTTCTTTGGTCTGTGGTACTTTGGAGGCAGAGACGGGCAGTGCTCGTTCATATGCGGGTATGGCTCCATAGTGTTGTAACCAGGAAGTTCCATTCTGTACTTCCCAAGTATTTGACAGTACGGAAGCTTTACATTGTCGTTGTCATTGCACCATGTGGGTAAACGGCTTGCATTGTTCTCGAAAAACTTGAGCATGTAAGCATCTTTGATCTGCAAAAATAGAATTCCCTGTTCAGTGTCTATTTGTGTGTGGTACCTTCTAGATTATGCGTAGGGTAATTCTCTTACCGTGAATTCAGTGACTTGGATGGAACTAGAGATTGGATCAAACAAGCCACCTTCTTTGTACATTTCTAGGATGAAAGCAATACAAGAAGTTGATTTCCCATCGCTATAAATCCAATCATCTTGTTCAGGAACTGCTAGCAACTCGTCAAAAGAGGATCCACGCTTTTCGACTTCCACGAGTACATCAGGAAGATCAAGACCCTGCCATTTCAGAACATCTTAAAGAAAGAACTAAAGAGAAAACGAATAGGATGGAAACAAAGAAGAATCTGAAGTCCTCTAAATAAGATTTTAAGTTGAGAATACAGCAGAATCAAGCAAATTGAACAAGTGAAATGAATGAACAAAACGCTAATACCTCTGTCCCGAGTCGCTTGTTAAGAGCTTCATTCCACATATTAGCAGCATAATCAGGCTGGATTTTGCTCCAAACTGTCATGACAGAAGCAACCTGGAAACATATAAAACAAAAGAAAAGAAGATTCAGGGCAAGGAGTCATTAACCTCCAAGAAAGAGACAAACTGAAGTTCATATTTTCATCAATGCTTAGATTTTAAGAGATGAAAAACTTACAAGATGAGCATCCAGAGGAGGTGGATAGTTCCCGCTGATGGTATCAATCCAGCTAAAGATCAAGTTGTGATAGCCATACGGTTTACCATCCATGCTGCGTGCATATTCCCATGCAGCTGTAACATTAAACTTGGCTCGATAATCAGGATGCAACGGTAGCAATGCAATATGGGGATTTGCGTCATCCTTGGTTTGTTCAAACTCCCACCACTCTTCCCATGGCAATACCGCTATTACATCTTCTCCCTATGAACATGCCATATCAAGTTATGAGTAACCAACCATTGCAATGATGTGTTCATCAAGCATTTCTTACCTTTTCATTTTCATTCCCGGATTCACCAACCCATAGTTTCCCATCAGAATCCCTCAAACAAACAGCAGTGTGGCCAGCATAAGCTCCACTTACCCACTTCTCCATAGTCTCAAAACCACCCCAACGCCCACGGATCTTTGAGATAGCTAGCATGTCTCCAGAGTGGATTTCATCAGTAGTGATGTTTGTAACCCAAGGTTGAGGACGAGCATAGAAATTAGCACCCATATGCTTCTCAAGAAACGCAATATTAGAATTCTCCCCCCAACCGGTATTGGTAAAGAGAGGGAAGACATCCCATAATGCTCTGAGGGTTCCCACCATCCCTGCTTCCATGAGGAATATAGAAACCCCTTTCTGCTTAACCTGATCAAATGTGAAAAGTCATTAGACAAATGAATATTAAAACATGCAAAAAAAAAAAACAAAATTAAATACAAAAACTGGAGCTTACATATTCATACTCAGCTTTTCCTTCCCACGCACTGAACTCCATGGTGTGCTCCCTTGAAACGAAGTACCAATCCCACGTCACACGATATGGTGTCACAAAGACATAAATATCCATGCAAGTCCAACTATGTGCCTTCTCAACCTGCATAAACACACTCAATAACTTGAATCAACCTTATGATACATCAATCAAAATTTCAAAACACAGTTTCACAATTCCGAAAATCAGTCTGAACCGCGTCTAAGAGACAAAAACGGACCTAATCGAAAAGATTTAACTAGAACATTTTTTAAAAAATCGGTTTAGGCGTTCAAAAAACGATCTAGTCGTCTGCCTAATCAATACTCTTCAATAAATCGCTTAATTACCGACAAATGATTTCTTGAACATTGGTTTCACATGATCATATACAAATACAGTAACAAATCAAATCAACAAGTCCGCCTAATCAATAATCCTCTATAAATCGTTTAATTACTGCCTAGTGATTTCTTCAACATTGGTTACACATGATCATATACAAATATAAAAACAAAGCAAATGAAAGTAAAATCAACCATTAAGTCTCTAACAAAAACCTCAAAACTCTAAACCCACATACAAAAAAACTTAACATAATATTCCCTCAAAAATCAAACCTTTGAAACATGCAAAAAAAAAAAGAAAAGATTAATCATTTCGTCACCTTAATGTGAAGTGTACCACCGCCAAACTCTGAACCGGACTTGTTATTGAGCTCCAACCAAGCCTTGTTCTCGTAAAAGCAAGATCCTTTCCACTCAACGGCGTCGTTTTTAATAGAGGCGGCGCCTATGTAAGTAGGGAGAAGGTCGACGGCGGAGTTTAGAGAGTCGAGAAGCGGCCACGAGAGTTGTCTAGGCAAGAGAGGAAGCAAATCCCGAGGGTGAAATGGTAATTTGACAGATGAGACGGCGAGGAGCGTCACTACGGTAACGGCGAAGATGATGGCCGGAGCTGACGAAGAAACCGCCATTGTTAATTGTCAAAGTGTGTCTCAGTTTCCGTGTCGAACTCGCAACTATTAAATGAGTTGGTTTAACGTATTTATTCGAGTATATTCTTTAGACACATACATGTAAGGGTGTAATGAAAACTTTATATTATATGTTTTGTTTTTTTTGGGGTCTAATAGCTCCTTTTGAAATGTTAGTGGTAGTTGGTGAATTTAGAAACTAAGAAGCCAAATTCTGAAACGTTTCTATAAGTTTCTTAGCTTGATACATCTCTAGTGATCACTATAATCCCACGCATCTCTTACGCACACCACAACATAACTTTAAAGTAATCTCTTCCATTTATCATTGGCTTAAGCTTTCATACAAATTTGGTGCCTTCCTTCCACACATCATTTCTTTCAAATTTCAATGGCTGTGTCATTTCAAACCAAGTATCCTCTAACACCCATCACCAACATCTCAAGAACTCACCGTCCTTCACTTCTCCATGTTCGTGTCACCTGCTCTGTTACTACCACCACCACCACCACCACCATCACAAAGACTCAGCCTAACCGTGAGAAGCTTGTGGTTGAGAAACGTTTTGTGAGTCCTCCTCTTTCCAACGACCCAACTCTGCAGTCTACATGGACTCATCGTTTATGGGTTGCAGCTGGTTGCACCACCTTGGTGGCCTCTTTAGCTAAGTCTATCATTGGAGGTGTTGGTTCTCATCTCTGGCTTGAACCAGCTTTAGCCGGTTATGCAGGGTACATCTTGGCTGATCTAGGCTCTGGTGTGTACCATTGGGCTATTGATAACTATGGTGATGAGTCAACGCCACTAGTAGGAGCACAAATCGAAGCGTTTCAGGGTCACCACAAGTGGCCTTGGACAATCACCAAAAGGCAGTTTGCCAACAATCTACACGCTCTGGCACGAGTCATAACCTTCACGGTGCTTCCTCTAGACCTTGCGTTTAATGACCCTGTGGTTCATGGCTTTGTGAGCACATTTGCTTTTTGCATAATGTTTAGCCAGCAGTTCCATGCTTGGGCTCATGGAACCAAGAGCAAGCTTCCACCTCTCGTGGTGGCCTTGCAGGACATGGGGGTGCTTGTTTCAAGGAAACAGCATGGGGAACATCACCGAGCACCGTATAACAACAATTACTGTATTGTGAGTGGGGCTTGGAACAAGGTTTTGGATGAAAGTAAGGCCTTTGAGGTATTGGAGATGGTGTTGTACTTCAAGCTAGGGGTGAGACCAAGGTCGTGGAGTGAGCCAAACTCTGAGTGGACAGAAGAAACCGATATCTCCAACAGCCATGCGTAACCAATAGTTACAAGGTGGCTCTATAGGTGTTGGAAAACACAATTATTTATACGTGTAAAAGAAATTTGATGGAATAAACTGATAAGATTATTTTGTACGTAATTTATATGTAATACAGAGTGTGTATTGATTACAAAAGAAACATGTAACAGTTTCAAGAATCAGATCCAACGAATGAGTAAACAGAAGAGACACAGGGGAACCAGTACTGACATTTTCCGTCTTTACTGCCATTGTCGATCATTGCAAGGCCCTCCTGTAAACAAGTTAGTAAGATTACAAAGTTTCAGAACCCACATTGGTTGGCTGCATTGCGTTTACCATATTGGAGAAATGAATACCTCTAACAAAGTTTCAAGAGCATCTATGACCCGACCAGATGTCCACGAGAGACGTCTTTGTACCTCTTCCACGGTCACAAAGCCTTGACCCTGTGGGGAAAGTATCATAGATCCTTGAGTTACTTTACTTAAAACTTCTATGATAACAAAGCATATGAAATTTCTTTTCTTTGTGAGGAAGAATGTATGTATATGATTATAAACCTGAGCCAGCTCCAAGATTTGGTTATGGTCTTTGTTCAGCTCAGTGGGGACTGAACGGACAAGCTTTTTTTTGCCAATTGTGATGACCTCAAATCCGCTACCCAATACCTACGGTAGAAAAGCTCAAGAAATTATCAAGAGGAGTTCAAAGTTTCCTTTTCTGTTGAAAATCTGAAGGAAAAAACAAAAGTCAGATAGATACCTTTAGCTTGCTAATAGCTCGAAGACAATCATCTTCGGTGACAGCTTCACGGTCTTTCTTCCTTCTTTGGCGAAGATGGTTGCAGAGCTCTTGCAAGCTGATCAAACCTCCGTTGAGTGACCTTGTAAGCATGCAAACTTCAATAATCTGAACTCCTGTTTGATCAATTTACTACTTTTCAGATTCATGTTGACCAACTTTCTAATATAACAGGTATGCCAGTATTTATATTCGTTATCCAGACATGGACTTAAGAACTCATAACAAAAAAAAATTAAGCATATCTTCTATGGCAGGTACTAGAAGAGTAACATGTCAGAGAAGAGAACAAACATACCAAGTTCATAGTAGAAGTCACCAATTCCCAGAAGCTCAGCCCAGAAGCCCTTGTTTGAAGCAAGTGGATCAACACCAACTTTAGCACACATCTCATGGAACTGAGCTCTAAAGGCTGGATTTTTACGGATGTCATTCTGCAACCAAAAAACAACAAAAAAATACTTCTTTTTCAATGAAATTAACCACACTAATCCATATTCTACATATAATATGATTAAATAGGCAATCAAGATAAAATGATGTATCAGAAAAACCATCATTTAGGAACAAATACATAAACTTGAACAAACAAAAAAATTGGACCTTGTGTTTACGAGCGAACTCTTCAAGCTGAGACTTGAAAGTGGCGAGCTGTTCTTTCATCATATCAGTTCGTAACTTGGCCACATTCTCTCCTAATAACCTGTACTGATCCTGTTTGATTTTTTCATAGAGATCATAAGCGTTTTAGCGAAAAACAATCAACATAAGGCAACCGATTAGAATATTAATATACAAATCTGGTTTAGAGGCAAAACCCGCGCAGCCGCGGCCTTTTGTAGCCCTCCGATTCCTGGTCGTCGCCGCATCTTTCTGTGTGTTTTGATCTTCGCAGTTCTCCGATTGGGAATAATAGTTTCAGTCAATGAAAGGGAATTGGAGACGACGACATAGCTACTGTTCATTAATTATGTAGTTTTGGAAGCTTTCAACAAATCAGAGTGGCGCAGCGGAAGCGTGGTGGGCCCATAACCCACAGGTCCCAGGATCGAAACCTGGCTCTGATATCTTCTTTTTTAATCTTTTTTTTTTTCAATTCACTCTTTCTCTTGCTTACGAAGGAAAGACAACAAATTTATTTCCAGTCGTTCTCATTATCTCAAAACATCTAAAACGATATATATTGAATACGCAGTTGATTTATGTTTATGTTATCATTATGATGGTGGTGTTCAGCAGTTTACGTCCACAGCAATATTTGATCGATTCAAGTTACCTATTACGAATCTTCTAAAAAGAAACAAAAAATTTGGAAGTCGACATTCATGATGGTACGAAAATTATGAACAACGGTTACTAAAGCCAAGCTTTGTTCCAACAATATTGTACCTCACAGACATAGGACATATGGTTAAGACAACTCTTAATGGACGAGAAACAAACAAAAAAAACAAAATATCTCACAAGCTCAAGTTTACTTGTCGAATTGTTGCAGATCGATTTCCCAAACTGAAGCCAACTGCATCACCAGCTCTTCCGGCGCGGGACCTTCCCAATCTTCAGGCGGGTCCATGGTGGAACATGCGTCTTGTAAGTTGAATAAGATGTCTGTCTTCAGTTCCATTGGAACTCCAAATGTGTCTGCACCGTCTTGTAAAACCAGTTCCAGTAACTGCAGAAGGCAAAACAAGAGAGAGAGAGACACACACATATTAAGATCAAAACATTCTATGATTCTTGGAACCTAATGTCATGTAAAAGAAGGTATACCTGTTGAATCCAAGATAAGCAAATGTCGTAGAGATTGTGATCCAAGAGAAACTGAGCGATGAAATTAAGAGCTTCGTTTGCAATCTCATTTGACATCTGGTCAAGAGAAGGTCCTGTCTTGTCCATCAGCTTGATAATCAAGTGCTGGTCACCGGCGCAAAGGACTTCTGCGTAAGCAGAATCAATGTCACCAACACGAAGTGAGTGCATTGCGTTACTCCATGAACTCCATATCGGGTCACGTTCCTGCCCTTCGCTTTCTTCATCTCCCATGGCTTCAGCTTCAGGGACAACAGCAACTCGGGTTGGACGCGTGACTGCACCATCCTCGCCAGCTACTCTAATAGCTTCAAGTGTAGCTTCATCCTTCGATGCTTGCCACACACTTCTTGCTGAGGGACCTTCACCATATCTAATAGTCCCAGCTGCTTTGTTATCCCAACCTCTCCTGCCATTCCCCATGTGCTCATTCTGATACTGTTCTGACCGGGGTGATCTTCTTGGCCCGTTTTGTCCGTTTCTGGAAGCACCATGTTGATGCATAAACCAGTCATCCGGCATGTCAGAACCCCACATCCTGCTCCTCATAGCTCCATCAGGTTGTGAGCCTCTATCTCCTGGACCCCGGCCATTATATTTTCCAGTGGAGTAGTTTGCAAAGCCATTATATTTGCCAAATCCAGCTGTGGGATTACCCCTACGACCTGATGATATCGAAAGATCTCTTGCCATGTCTTCAACAATCCTCTCTAAACCCCTTACCCTGCCCTCTAAGGTCACCATACTGTCATGTGAGCCACCAATAAACTCCTGGAGCATGTTCATAAGGTTAGTCTGTTGTCTCTCTAGCTGCAACAACTGCCTCTGGATCGCTGACCAATTTCCTCTGTTACTTGTGAAAGATCCGTCAGAATTGTGATCAGTATCGGTGACTGCAGCGTGATTTCCGGGTGTCTGCTTTCCATTTACAACATCAGCAGATGTCCCTGCCTGTGACATGTTCCCATCAGACCTACCTTTTACCTGTTTATCACTCGCAGACTCTAAGTTGTGGAACTTGGAATCTGGAAATCCATGATCATTTGATTGGATGTTCTTGAAGCGATTTGAAGATCCCATGGCATTGAGATCATCGAGTCCTGATTCTTCCTCCTCTTCGTTTTTACATCTACGAGGAACTACTACTTCCACCGATTGCCTTCTTTCTAGTCTTTGGAAAAATTCAGGATTAAACTCTTTGTCACTTAACGCAGGTGCTTTCTTCTTCAACATGACAACTGCTTTTTCGGGAAGGCCTCCTTTTGCTTTAGAAGCAGAATCAGGTGAAAGCATTGAACCATCGGATGCATCCTTTTTCATTAGATCAGCTTGATTAGACCTTTTATCCCCGTTCTTCTCTGAACCAAGCTGCTCACCAGATGAACTCTTTGATTCATCTGTAGCACCATCTACACATTTTCCAGAAATCTTTTTCCATAACTGTAGCGCCTCTGTCACACTTTCCCTGACAGGTTTAATCTATCCAAGAAAAAATGTCATCATTAAACTGTTTTGGGAAGATTAACACATAACCTAACTAATATATTTCCAATGAACGTAACACTTCACAAAACATTCACCCATTACAACGCTCACTAGTGAAAGAAAATGAATAGAACTGAAATAAATAAAAGAAAGTGCTCGGTGAGAAATCAAATGATGAGGATAGCCCACAACCACAAGCACCATCAACTACCAATTGATATGCCTGAGCTGCTTATGACATGTGACATTATTTCACAAACAATTATTTGAGGTTATGATGTTTTAAACACGGTCATAGTGAAATTGCATTTGTTCTTAACACTGCTCAGAGAAAGAGAACGTAGCTACCTTGTCAAACCGACAGGTCTCAAGCGCCGCAAGAGTAGAATCTGTTCTGTCCTTTAGCAAACTGCTGGAATGTGATGCCAATGCAGTCAAGGTCTCAGCCGCAGCCTTGCGCGTTACCCAATCTGTACTTCCAAGGCAATCATGAATACTTTCTAGCAATGACTCCAAGCTCTGAGGCGCAATGGCTCCTACCTGAAACCAGAGTTATTGCTGTTTTACTACTCTTTTTCATAGACAAGTTAAAACCACTGAACCTACTAACTAACAAAAGTAAAAAGAGAGAGAGAGAGATGCTTAAACCCCTCAAAATTTCACTTAATCTAGTTAACCGGAATGAAAAAAGATAAAATTCAGCAACGCCTAATTAAGAATAAACCTTAAAAATTGAGGCCAGGTCATAGAATGGATAAACATAGATACTTAATCTCAAGAACATCTATTTAACAACTGCAACATACAACTAAGCCCCCAACAATAAGATACTGATCTATTGACACTAAGTTTCCAACATGTTGACTAACATTGAGCGCACTGTCTACACATGACAAGAAGATTAAGTGTTCCGAGCAAACCTGAGAGAGACTCGAAATAACGAGTAAAAGAGAAGCCTTACATACATATTATCTCAAAAAATCTATCTAAGAAGGGCAACATACAACTCAACCTTAAACAATAAGATACTGATCTGTTGACACTGAGCTTCCTACAATGGCACTAAGTTCAACATTCAACACTTCACTACATTAAACATAGACTCCATTGTCACAAGGACACCAAGTGTTTTTCGGCAGCAAACCTGAGCCAAGCTCGAAACAACAGGCAAAAGAGAAGCCTTAGCCAAGAAACTAGAACTACTCAACAACTTGCAGATTCTAGGGCAAAGCTTCTGAAAAGAAGCAACAGGAGGAGTAGCAGCAGATTCCACCATCCTTGCCATACACATCGCCGCACCAGATTGCACCACTTTATTCTGCTCACCCATAGCCTCAAACAACGGCTTAACAAACAACCCAACCGCCAACGTATTACTCCCATCCTCCCTCCCCTTCAAATAAACCCCCGACAACGCACCAATCGTGTCCCTACACGCGTCCCTAACCCCCGAATCCGAATCCTTCAACCGTTTCACGATCTGAGCGATGATCCTCGTGAGGTGCGCGGCCGTGGAATCGGAGTGGAGGCTGGAGACGTAGGATAAGAGGTGGAGGCACTCTTTTTTGACGGAGGGTTTGGGATCGGAGCAGGAGTCGTAGAGGCAGTTGAGGAACATTGGTAGGGTTTCGTGGGTTAGGGATTGGATTGTTTTCTCGAGATCTTCCACGGCGATTTGGTACGTGTCGCGATCGGCGAGTTTTGAGATTGAGGTGAGGATCTTTTGCTTTTGCTCAACCATGGCTTGGAATGAAGTGAGGGAATTTGGATTGGGATTGGGATTGGAGGATGACCTAGCTGTTGTTGCGGTTGATGATTTTGATGGTCGTGTTGGCTTCGCGGATGTGGTTGGTGTGCTCATTGTGAGATTGGCGAGGGGGGGAGGAAGAGATGATTTTGAAGGAAGGAGGGGTGAGATCTGTTGTCAGTGGAGAGAGTAACAATGTTTTAAGACTGGGATTAGGGAAATGAGTTCTCGCTCAATCTTTAAGCTTTGTCAAACTTTTTGTTTTTTTCAAATTTTAAAAGGTAAAAAATAATTGTTTATTTCAGTGCTGGAATATCTATTATTTTGTTTTGCGGAAACGTGGGCTTTATCAGTATCCGCTCTGTTGTGAAAGGCCCAACAGATGTATCTCTGTTTTCTGTTGGATAAATATTTTACATTATTTTTTTATTTGTATAATAAAATCTTAACAGTATACATATTTGTTTCTTTTGTTTATTTCATCAATATAAACAAGCTTCATAGGAGTATTTTTTTTATTACTAACATATATAATACAGTCAGATTTAATATTTTTTTATCATTAAGTTGATATAAATAATGCGTTCTAGTTTCTATATGTGATTAACAATTATCTTCTTTATGACTAACATGACTACAATTAACATGTCAACGAATATCTTCTTTATGTTTATTATTTTCGTATAATAGATATTGATCAGCGTTTTGAAAGTACGAAATGATCTTTATGTTTATTATTTTGGACATTTAATTATTAACAACAATATCAACAACATTAGTTTTTTAAATAGATACACATAATTCAACATAAAATAATTTTTAATGCATGATTAAAAAGTAATATTGCGATAAATATAAGTATGGCATACTTGTAATATTTAAAAGAAATTATAGAAATGTAAAAATACTTCAATTTTAATTGTATAGATGACTAACATAAATAAATTGGTAAACTCATACACCCAAAATATATAAATTTTTATTTTATTTTCTCAATAAATCTTATCGGCTGATACAATCAGTATTGAAAGAAATGCAATTGGTATTATAGAGTGGATTAATTACCGTATCTTTTGATCTAAGTTTAGAGTGTCTCTCGACTAATACCATAAGATAAAATGATTATTTGTTACAACGAATTATTTTAAGCATCTAAACCGAAACTTAAACTTACACTAATAATATAATGAAAATTTAGTTTATAGTCGTATCAAACATATGACTAATGCAGATGAGTCCCAAGAATTATAGATATGTTAATATAAAAATAATACATCGTTTAACTTTCACATGTGACTAATGTGAGTTCTTCATCATATATATTTCTTATTGAGAAATTTGCCTCTATATATATAAAAAAATTCAAATTCACTACCTGACTAAAAAATTCTCTCTCTCTCTCTCCTTATTTTTTTCCTACCTCTTTTTAATCTATCACTAAAAATCTAATTATTTATTTTTTTGGTTATTTGGAAAATAAGCAATTTTCTTATTCATGTATATATTTGTGGTCAAAGTAAACAAAATTCATCATGTCATAACTAAATCTATTTGGTGTTTAAACAAACATTTTCATTTTGTAACTAAATCTGTAGTCAAATAATTAATAAACCCATCAAACTATATATATATGTTAAATTAAATGTATTTATGGTCAAAGATAATAAATAATTCAAAATATAATCAAAAATGTGATCAAAACATATAGAAATCTGTTCAAATTAAATAAATTTATGGTCAAAATTAACGAATCCTAATTAAATCTGTGAAATTCTAATAATTTATTTTAATAATTTATATAATTTTATTACTAAAAAATATTCAAAATTTAATGTAATTTTTAATTCTAATACCATTAATTCTTTTAAATATCTACAAATTTTACAGATATTATTTAGTTTTATTTTTTCATAATTATATACCTAACCAAAAATTTCTTAATTTTGAAGAGTTTGATTTAATATATTTTAACCAAACGAAATAGATAAAAAGTCTTTCCAAAATTATAACTTTAAGTATATATACATATTATAAAGAAAAAATAAAAATATTTCACTTTAGTTTTAATATATAACTAAAATAAAATTTAAAATTAAACTGAAGCAAATAATAAAATCTAAAAAGTTAACACAAACAAATAAAATATAATTTAAATTTTAAAACTTTATTTTTTGCACATTGTGGAGAAAAACACCTAGTCATCTTTATCTAGATTCAAATTTCATATTTGTCTAGATTCAAATTAATCTTTATATTTATCTAGATTTACAGAGAAATAAGTTCACCTTTATTTTGACCCAAACAAAAATATATATTCATCTTTATTTAGATTTAATTCTTCTGGATCTATACTTAAAGTTTATCTATTCTAACTTACTTTCTATTTTGCTTTCGGATGAGTGTTTATGTCAGTCCAACATCAAATTTAAATGAGATAGGTTTAATCTTATCTCATATATTATGTTTGGTATGTTTATTTTTAAACGTGCTCACACCGTAATACTATAAATTCACATTCTTGTAGGATTTTCCACAGTAAACATGCTTTCTATTGCTATCTCAAACAAAAAGATACACACACATAACTAAAACATGGCGAAGTCAATTTCTTCACTTGTTATCCCTATCATATGCCTTGTTATGTTTGCCCTAGGTAATATCTATCTTTTTGTTTTTCAGATTTTTAAAAAATTAAAATAATCAAACACAATTTGTCAGATACCAATCATACCATACATTTGTATATATGCCAAGCATAATGTTAATGCACATGAGATAGGTTTAATATATAGTGCACAATGTATTTACATCTTCTTTGCAAAATTACTATGTAATATAAGTATTACTGTTCTTATCTAAGTACGAAAATGGTATTTGATGTATATAGTTGAGGAAAATATGGGATGCGTTACATCCATTGGGATGTGCGCGGAGGACATCAAAGATTGCGATTCATCTTGCAAAACGAAATTTGGACAAAATGCCACTGGCTTTTGCAGCCTAAAGAAAAAATTTGGACAGTGTCTTTGCTCACACCCATGTTCATCTGATAGAGGTCGACGTCTTTTACAGCAAAGGGATTCGCCAAATGTATAAACTAATATCAAAATTCTCAAAATATAGTATTAAACGTGCTTCGTTGCTTGTAATATGTCAAAATTTGACGTTTAATCATTAATAAAGATCCTACCTCCTTGCCATAAAATAAGACATTTTGAAATAGATTCGTTGTTCTAAAATATAAAATGTTTTATATTTTTAAGGTATTTTAATTTTATTGAGAATTGATTGATCAATAATATTTTATTGTATTATTTATGATTGGGTATCATATTTTAAATTTATTCATTTAATAATATTATCTTCTAAAATGTTAACTTTTTTAATTCTTATGTTTTATGCAAAAAAACTCACACTATGGAATGGAGGGAGTAATATCACAACGGATGCCAATTACGTGTCTTTAATTTCTTAATGATAAAGTGAGCGTTTTTCACAAAAGCGAAACGAGATGAAAACCGTTCGCAACATGTGTATATTGGATCATTTTGCAATATACAAACGTAAGTACTAATGTTCTATTGAAAGTTTGATGTTCTTATAAGAAGAGACTTGAATGATTTGTTGTTCACTAGCTTGGCTTTTTTTTGTTTCCTTGCCATCTTAATTTGACAAAAATAAAGCACTTCACTACAACCACATCACTTCACTAAACGTATTAGGAACACTAAGTTTGGTTTCATACTCTCTTATAGTTTGTCTTTCTGCTCACTTCAGCTTCTGTGTATTTTTTAGTCCAAATAAGGAGATGAAAGTCGTGAGAGAAGAAGCAATAAGAAACCAAGTGAAACAAGGTTTTAAAATTGAAACTATCATCCGACAACAGTTTAGATAATAATGTTGAGATTTGCAAAAAAACTAAATGCCAACCAAAAAAAAAAACAGATAATACTCAATTTGATCAAGCAGTGATCTCCTTCTTGAGTTTTGCAAGCTCTTGCCTGACAACGCCAGCTTTCTGCAAAAATAAACCAAACAAGCCAGTTACACACAGGCCAACACGGTCATAAAATTTTCAACAAATTAACAAAAATGACAAACCTTGATTTTGGCCAACATGATCTTGAACCTGTCAAAATCATTGAGGTTAGCTCTACGCTTCTGAACAATAAGCTTCCTTCCCCATGAGCTCTTTTCCCACTTGTTCTTCACGTCTACAAACACTTTCATTGATTAGAGATGGCAACAACTTACAAAATCACACATTTAACAACATCAATCACTCACCAGCTTTTTCCATTGCTTCGATCAAAGCCTTCTTCTTAGGCACTCGGTTAATCTCAATAACGATATCGGTAAGAGACAACCTCTTGAAGTTCATTTGAATCCTCTCCATATCAGGTGCGTCTACCAAAGCCTAAATGCCAAAAACAAAACCAACACTCATAAGGATACACAATACAACTAGAAAATAGACGAGTTTGTAACCGATGAGTTATCAATGGTAAAGGTAATGACTTTAGCGTTATGTATAAGTAAATTCATCACATTTCGATCAAAGAAACAAAAAAAATAAAGCAAATTTAATAAACTTTTCCTAGCTAATGAAATATATTCTCAGCTAACTAAACTTCACAACAAGAGATAGATAAAACATTTTTTGTTATGTAATAAAATAATCAACTTACTCTGTTCTGGTCAACGACGTCGACGATAACGACGAGCTTTCCATGGTCTTCTCCGTAGTTGACAAGTGCAACTCTCCCAATCTCAACGTACCTCTTGAACACCTAAACAATCACAAACCAAACATGAAAATATCTCAGTCACAAACCACTTAACTGAAGAAAACTAAACAAACCCTTTGTCCACTATAAAAATATAGAGAATAATAACAAATTCAGAAATGTATAAATCTCACCATTTTCGCGGCGGTGGCTTGGAAGGTAGAAGAAAGCAAAGAGGAGGAGGAGCTGAAGGCGTCTTACCTCTCGCTGAAGAGACTATTTAAACCTAAAAGCTTTTAGGGTTTTTTTATTTTGGGCCGGTTCTTTTAAAACAAAAGACTCAACAGGCCCAGATAATGGTCCAATAGAAATAAAAGCTCATTTATCAAAACGGCGTCGTTTTTTGGTGGCTTGGTTAGTTGCATTGCATTACGTTAATAATCAACTTCATCCATTATCTGCGACAGAAAGTTACAGAAGTCAGCGATTATTTTTAATTTTCATTGAATTATTTAATGATTCTGTTACAGAAATAAAAGGAGGAGGGTGACAGCAAGAAAATCGAAACTCGGACTAACTGTCATGACTAATGAGACCAGGTCATCGTTATCAGGAAAGAAGAAGATACCTACTTATTATAAACGACGACCAAACACCCCCAAAAAAAAAGACAAAAAAAAACTGAAACAAACCCAATAACAAAGTTTCTGTCTTTTCGACTCCAATTCACTGGGTCCCCCCCTTCAATTCTCGATTTTTTCTTCAATAAAAATCGACAATCTTTTGAGTTTTGAGGGGATCCGGATCCAGTGTATTTGGTTTCTGTTAAAGTTTCTAAGAAATTGTTTTCTTTCATTTCCTGGTAAAATTTGCGTGTATATTTTATTTGGTATCGAAGATGTGGGGAGCTGCAGCTGAGCCGGCTGATTCTTATTACAAAGTTCGTCCTGAGTGCACTGATGTGGCCAAAACTAGATTCAAAATCAAGGTTACATTTTTTTTCTCTTTACAAAAAATGGTGATTAATTACGAATACGATACGTGATTGCAGAATCCAGATTCATTTTTTTTATTGATCTCTCTGAAATTTTGGAATGCATTGTTTTTCTTTTTTTAGACTTGTTGGTTTTGTAGATCATTGTTTGTTTTTGGGTACCATGATCTCTCCTGGTGAGGACACATTGATCTTATGAAGCTGTTTAGCCTCTCAGATCTTAGTATTCATAATCACATTTTTCTATTTTTATTTTTTCCCAATTAGCTTCACTGATTTGTGTGCTTAGAGAAAGGCAGAGACTTGATTGTTTATCTCAACAGTAATTGAGAAGAAACTGTGTTTCTCATCGGTTATGCGTTTAATGTTTAGCACTATGTTGGATCATGGTCAAGCCACTCAAGTTTCTGACTTGTCATTTTTGTGGTGCAGCCAGGTAAAACTCTAAGTGTAAGAAAATGGCAAGCTGCGTTTGTCCAAGACGGCTCTCTTGATATTGGCAAGACTCTAAGACGAATCCGAAGAGGGGTATGTCACTTTTTTTTTGTCAAGACTTGTTTTATGGCTTGCTTTAATCTCTTTTACAATTGATCTGTAGGGAATCCATCCATCAATTAGAGGCGAAGTATGGGAGTTTCTACTTGGCTGTTATGACCCATCAAGTACTTTCGATGAAAGAGAGCATATCCGACAACGCAGAAGGTAAGATTATCTTGTCATTATTTCTTTTTATATGTGTACCAATCTTGCTGCTAACGTTGCTATATCTATGTGTTGATATCTCCTTTCAGAAAGCAGTATGCGTCTTGGAAGGAAGAGTGTAAGAAAATGTTTCCTGTGATTGGAAGTGGAAGTTTCATTACCGCACCTGTAGTTACTGAAAATGGTCAACCAAACCTTGATCCTCTTGTTCTTCAAGAAATAAACTTAGGTAAAAATAAAATATTTCTTCTTCCCTTTTTTCCCATTAGCTTAAGTTTTTCTAATTATTCATGTGTTTTCTCTCTTAGGTACAAACTCAAATGGTTCAATTTTCTTTAAAAAGCTCACAAGCCGTGGACCTCTCGATAAGAAAGTTGTTCAATGGCTACTATCACTTCACCAGATTGGTTAGTGTGACTTTATTATTATTATCATAGCTTCCTCTATCTCCACTGGTTCGCTCAGTTGTTTAGTTTTATATTTTTTCAGGTCTTGATGTGAACCGTACAGACAGGTCTTTGGAATTTTACGAGAAAAAGGAGAATATGTCGAAGCTTTGGGATATTCTCTCTGTATATGCCTGGATAGACCAAGATGTCGGTTACTGTCAAGGAATGAGTGATCTTTGTTCTCCAATGATTGTTCTTCTTGAAGACGAAGCTGATTCATTCTTTTGTTTTGAGAGACTTATGCGTCGATTGGTACTAATTTACTTTAAACATTACTTCGAACGTATCTTTTGTATTTGGTATGTTACTAAACATGTGTTTTCTTGTTTTTATCGAAATGAAAAGCGAGGAAACTTCCGTTGCACAGGGAGATCTGTTGGAGTTGAAGCTCAACTTACTCATTTGTCTTCAATCACTCAGGTCATGGATCCCAAACTTCACCAACATTTAGGTATTATTACTACTACTACTACAGCAGTTTCTTTGCCTCTATAGATACACATACTCATCGGTTAACCAAGATCTGGTTCTTGAAATGCAGATAAACTAGGTGGAGGTGACTATCTATTTGCCATTCGGATGTTAATGGTTCAATTCAGAAGAGAATTCTCGTTTTGCGACTCTTTGTATCTTTGGGAGGTAATGATTCTTGTCTCTCATTCACTCTTATAATGTATTAGTCTTTCTTCTTCATTCTTGTACTGATCTTGATGCCTCTACTTCACATAGATGATGTGGGCTCTTGAGTACGACCCTGATCTCTTTCACGTGTACGAGGCACATCAATGCGGGAGTGAGAAAACCGAAGTGCCCAACGGTAAACCAAAGTCGATGAGACAATGCGGAAAGTATGAGAGGCAAAACATGAGGAATGGAGGCAAAACTGCAGAAGGTCCTTTGCCTATATCGGTATTTCTAGTGGCTAGTGTCTTGAAAGACAAGAGTTATAAGCTCATGACTGAAGCTCGTGGACTTGATGACGTTGTTAAGGTTAAAACATAGATAATGTCTTCTTTTAACTTTTATTTTATTCTGGTGAATCATATTTACTCATCCTATTTTCCTTAATGTGATGCTCTTAGATACTTAACGACATGAGTGGAAACTTGGATGCTAAGAAAACATGTTCTGGAGCCATAAAGATTCACAAGAAATATCTGAGAAAGGTTACTTCATCTCTCTGGGCTTTTTGTGTTTCTCTGCCTGAAAGTCTTAATCTTATTTTGTGTTCTCTCTTATTGCAGGCTAAGAAATAGCACTGCCCAACATTTATGGTTCTCCTGCTTAAATCTGGGTGGAAAGTAACCTGGAAAATCTTGGAGCCTTACTACGCACATATACACACAAACACATACACAAATAAAAATATTTGTAAGCTGTTCATAAAATTTGATGTTGCATTTATATATGAACAACAAGATGTTTATTTTTTTGTATTTACCAAAGGGGAAATTAAGAAGGAAAAGACTGTTCTTATGTTCATAATGCTCACTTTCTATTATACAAAGAAGAAAAAGAATGTGTGCAATTGAATAGGTAGTATATGGTCTTCTAGACCAAAGCAGCACAACTTGTAGTAATGGTAAAAAGTGAACTAAGTGACAAACACATGAATGGATACAAGTTTATTAGATCAATAATGAGATATGTAAACGTTCTCTTCAAGTTAATTGACCATGGCTGAACAGAAAGCAACTTACATAATCAACTAATGCTCATCTCAGTTGCAGCATATGCATTTTCCAGCCATTGGACTTATGTTTTTGTTTGATGGACTCTGTGTTTTGATGTGCAAGAGTCGTTACCAATTATATCTTCTAGACCAAGACACAAGTTGTAGTAAAGGGAAAGAGTGTTAAAGTGAGAACACTATGCATCAGTTCCTTTTGACTAATAATGGATACAAGTTTCTTGGACCAAACAAATTTTACATAGAGATATATATAACAGTTCTCTTCAAATTACTTGACCATGGCTAAACAGAAAGCAACTTACAAAAATAACTAAGACCCATACCTAAAAACACAGCTTAAAACCAACACATAATCACTACAAATGTTGTGATCACCAGGAGAATTGAGTGCAAGAATCGTATACCAGATAGTCTCATCCCTGAACTCTTTTTAGGAAAGAACTTAGGAAGCGCACATTCTTCACCATTAAAGAAAACTCTCTTTGGGAATCCATCTCCTCCTGGAATATTGAAAGTCCCCAAATGCTTCTTAAACGATATAACCGACTGCATTTTCCCTGGAACCTTAGGGTCTCTAGGGTGCGTCCCATTTTTGAGACCAATCAAGAAGTTCATACCACGAAGTCCTTGAAAGAAAATAGTCTGGTTCTTAGGTGGAACTCTTGACCCATTAAACGAGTAAACATTTTCATACCCTAAACCAGCTTTACCCAAATCCACAGCAGCAAACCAATCCTCCACTGCATTAGCTCCCCAGTTAAAAACCGTCACCCTCGCAGACCATCCATCAGCGTAGTCCGAGTTAACATGCCAGTTTAAGCTGATTCCACAGTTATCAGGACAAGGAAGCTTCTTTGGAACAGACATGTGTTTCCTCTTTGCCCATACTTTCGCCTTTAACGTCCTGTTTCCAAAAGGTACCAAGAGCGAGTCTGGAGGGAGGAGAAGCTGTCTGGCGTTATCGTTGCATGTGTCTGTGTCGATATCTCCGCAACCGCAAGCACATGTGTTGCAAGGGATGGCTGAGTCGTTGTAGAAGGCTGAGTAAGAGACACAGCAACGAGCAGCTTTTGGTTTAGGTTTTGTTATGTTGCAGATGATTTGCCAGCTAGCTATTGCGTAGGTGGTGGCTTGGAGACCGCTCGGGTCAGGGAATCCGGTTGGATCCACTCTTACAGGTGGTCCACATTTGTACTGTGGATTGACTATACCGTCTATTTTCCAATGCTGAGGAGGGAAGAATGCTGTTCTGTTCTGATCAGGTGGCACCTTGTATACCTAAACCAAACACATACAAACCCTCTATGAAACACCTGAACACAATCAGGAACCGAAAAACCAAGCCATACCAAATTTCATAATAATCTGAATGCTTCATATATATCTAAAATCAAAACCGAACCGAAAACCAAATGAATATCTGAATATTAAAAAATATAGGTTATATATATAATATTAATTTTATTCATTTTAAATTAATCAGATATCCTAAAAAAAACTAATTATAAACTGAATTACCCAAAAATCGAACTCTCTAATGTTTTATTCGAAATTTTTAAATTAACCAAATTACTAACAATATTTAAAAAAAAAAAAAAAAATCTCTGATATTAGCTGGTTCTAAACTTTGTTACACGAACCAAATCTAAAACCGAATTAACCAAACAAAATTTCATTTCAAATACCGAATCGATCTATATCTCTTGAACCAGAAAACCAAAACCTAAAAAACTAACTGCCCATGCCTACTCCTAACTATTTATTCACCAAACACTATGCTTGTTCTGTCTTGGGGACTAACCTGTAACTGGAAGATGGCTCTGGCCTTAGAGGCATCCATGAGAGCTGGCAAGAGAGTTCCATTCTTGCAGCAGAAAGGCAACATCCCGAGTTGTTTATCTTCTTTACGCTCAGCCGGTAAGTCCTTGATAATAGGCTTCTTCTGGCAAGTAGCTACCTGAGAGAAATCAAGATCCCCATAGAACTGTCCTGCCTTGCTGTGCAAGCATTCTGACGGGTTCTTCTCAGCTGAGTAAGCTCCACGCAGGGAGTAGATGAACTCTCCTCGCATCCACTCCCATGTTAAATTCCAGTGGTCTAACCGTCCCAATGGACTATCATTGTCTATAGTTACCTGTTCAAAACATATCAGTCTTTCAGTCCCTTATGTATATATGAATCTCTCAATGTTATGTCAATAAAAGTAATGGATCTGGTGACTCACCTGCGCCATGTAGTTGCTTGTGTAAGCTTGAAGAACATCGTATATTATATTCAAGTCTCCATTTCGTCTACGCGCGAACTTGGTTTTGGTTTTCTTTTTAGCTTTAAACTTAGGGTTCCTCTTGCAGCAAACTTGCATTGTACCAGCTGAACAAAACAAACAGACAGAAGTAATAAGAAAACGGTCATTAAAACACCTTTCTTGCGTAACAAGAAACTAATGCGATTTTATGAGTTTAGGTTTAATTAACCTTTTGAAGTAGCAGCAGGGCATTGCCAACCATCATTAACAAGCTTGATCGATTTAGGCAACGGCGTAGCCGTGCCTCTACCACCAAAAAGCGTTCCTGTTATCTCAATATTCGTTGAGATCTTAGTATAGTCACCAGCTGTTTCAATCGAGGTCTTAAGATCCGTATTAGGAGAACCAATGAACGTTGTCCCATTACTTGCATCGTACGGAAAGTCACCATCAGATGAGACAGCTCCCGTAGCGGAAACAATGATCTCTTTATGGTTATACCCTACGAACATTTCCCAGCCTTTGACCTCTTCTATCCCCGTGTTCACGATCATAGCCGTTGCCTTGAAGGACCAGGCTTGAGCTGTCGCGTTCTTGGTGCGAGGGTATAGCTTCTCGCGGCCGCCGGAGTTGTATGACATGTAAACACCGTTGCAACGGGCGAGACCTGGTGGAGGTTTGTCTTTCTTCTCGGCATCTTCGCCGTAGTCTTGAGCGGAAGATAATGTCGGAAAGAGGAGAAGGTTGATTAGAGGTAGTAGAAGGAGAAGTAGGTTTAGACGAGCGTGACGTATCTTCATCTCTAACGTGTTTCTAAGTTTCTTAGGACGCAAGAAAGAGAAAATAGAGAAGAGGAAGAGAGATGGTCAAGAAGCTTAAGCGAATTAGAGAGGTAGAGCATAACTGTTTCTCTTCCTCTAGTTTTTTCCCCTGCTTCTCCGGAGAAACACAAAAAAATACAAAATATTTAAATTTGAGTAAAAGAAAACGTAAATTAATATCAGATTAATGTCAGATTTGGTTCAACCGGACATAAACAAAATGTACCAAAAAATGTCAGAAAATATGAGAAACCATTATCTCAGCCAAAAGCTTTTGTGGAACACCAAGTGAGCACTGATAACACGATGATTGAACAAAGTGTGACATTAATATATTGTTCTATACATGGAAAGGATCAACATGGACAAGCAGGGAGAAGAGTTTGTATATTTTGTTTGGATGTGACCATGTGGCTGGACGAAATTGGTTCAGGTCAACATTCTCTAAGATGAAAAATACTTTTGACTTAGTTCTGGCTGCGGGATTTGATCACGGTTTACATAACTCAAAAGTATTTTCCATCTTGAGATTGTTGTCCTGAGCAAAACTCGTTAATCTTAGTCAAACTGAGTTGGATACAGTCACTGATGTATTCTCTCCCACGTTTATTCAAAGTTTATATGCATCAGTTACAGCTTATTTAACGCAAAACTTTGAAGAATCGTTGAAGCACACACCACTGGCAGGCATGGAGGATGCGTGAAGCATGGTAGAGAACGAGATGGTGGGTTTGAAATATATAGAAAGAGTTCGAAAGTTGTTTTCAGAGTACGTTCACTCATTTAAGAGACATTGAAGTTTGCTCACTTTCTCTCAAATGTCATTATCATATCATATTGAATCTCCCTCCCACCTACCATAAGGTCCATAACCATTCTTATGGATACATAATAAATACACCCATTATCTTACCAACCTCCATTTTGTCTGTATTTTTCGACTTGTTTCAGCTTGAAACCAATGAGATATGTAAAAAAGATACTGTATGGTATATTTTAATGAACTGCATATATATGTAAGGATCCCATACAAGTAAAATCAGCACAAGGTCATATATATGATCAAACCAGTAAGTTTGAAGCGTGTCCCCAAGACTTTCTCTTACTAAGGATTTTACAAGAGAAACTGTGAATACGTCAACTAAGAAACGGATATCTCTTCCATGCCGCTGATTTCTTCAGTTAGCTGATCTTGTACTTTGGGCTCCAAGTCGATGAACTGATTTGACTTGCTTGCTAGATGTGAGATACTGACTCTTCCTTGACGTTTGATGTAATCTGCAACCGCATTCATCTCTTCCATTGATATGTAAATGTATTTTCCTCTATCATCCATAACACCCGAGAGCCGTCCTGGACAAAGTAAAAAGGATCTTCAGATCTTAAGAGTCCCCATTACGGTTTACAGTCGTCAAAGTTTCATCTGCATATTCATATTGCTTCGGCTTTGCTGTACTCATAATAAATCACAGAGTACTATACGAATTCTAGTTTTATGATTTTGAATGGAGAGAAAAATTACCAATGATCTCCAAAGAGGCGATCCTGTTAATGCATTCCTACAAAAAAAACAGTTGAATAAGACTTTAGACAATGGCAAAATGTAATCATTTATTTGCTACAGAAGATGATACCTGAGTTCGTAGATTAAATTCTGCGGCAAGGTCTTCAAGTGGAACACATTTCTGTTTCTGCAATTACATCACAAAAGTAAAATGAAGGCTCAGCATTTCTGCACATTGAAATGGGATGCGAGAAGACTTGTATATATACTTCATCGTTATGTTTGTTTCTAGTGGCAGAGTAACGATTAGAAAGGGAGATGGGAAAGTGATTGGTTATTCAAGATATACATGTATCTATACTTCATCGTTCATTATGTTTGTTTTTGTTGATAGAATAACAATTAGTATGGGAAAGTGTTTGGGTTATTCAAGATGTACCTTTATGTATTCAACAAACTCTGAAAGCAAATCTTGATTTCCACCCTGCACTTCCTCTGTAGTACCTTCAGCATCAACTGAGAACTCCCCTTTCCATTTGTCAAACTCTAACGCAGCTGCCTCTTCTTCCTTGGCTTGTCGTGCTTTTTCTTCTTCCTCCTACAAAACAGCCAAGTTGAGTTTTTACTAAAGCAGGACGCCTAAACAGAGACGAGAAGTGGAAATAAAGTAATTAACCCACCAACTTCCGCTCCTCTGCCTCACGCTCCTCATCCTTCTTCCTACGCATCTCTGCATACCAATCTTGTTTTGTACTCCTTGACTCGCGTGCAGCTTCTTCAGCCTTGAACAGAAAATATGAAGAAATTGTAAAGAAGAAAGTCTTGCCATGTACTATTCTGATCCAAGGGAAAATGCTCTATCCTTAAGCTACAATCTAAGACTGGTAAAATTTTATAATTTCCTGTACAGCTGTACTTAGTACTTGTAGAACATTAGACTGTTTAGGCTCACCTGTCTTTGTTCTTCTCGTTCTTGACGCTTCCTCTCCTTCTTCTTTGATGCTCTGGCTTGATTTCCAATAGCTTCATCTTCGTCTTCATCTTCACTCCCACTAATGTTTTCTGTTTCCACATTTACCCAAATAAATATCCTAAGGCCACTAGTTCATTTGTTTTCTAACACTCAGCTGGCTTTACAGCAAAATGAATAACAGGTTCCAAGTTTTTCGCTGGCTATATAGTAAACTCTTAACCAAGAAAACACACGTTTGTTAATACATAAAGTAGATATTCATCTGAAAACCATGTTTATTATTTGGTACTACCTTAACACCTGAACTACGTAAAAAGAATACAAGTAGCAACCTTGAACGTTAGATGCTGAGGAGGAGCTAGCACCAGCAGAAGGCCAGAAGCTGCAGGTCTCCGACGCATTCTACGCCCACCACCACCACCAGTAGCACGTACCACGTTTTCACGCGCCTGAGCCTTTTTTTTTTTTTAATTCATAGAACAAAAATATCTCAATTTAAATTTCGAAACAATGGCGTTAAATTTTTCTTGTTTTATAGAAACTTTACCAGTGGCGGTTGTGCATCAACTTGCTCACGTGATCGAGCATCTACCCGACGTTTCCACAAGAACAAAGGAATCACCGCAGCTATGAGTATCATCGACACTATCACAGCCAATATCACAGCTAATGAAATTGAAAGAGGACATATTTTCAGATTGTTCAACACTCTAACCTAATTGAGTTTTCTTGTCTTCTCTATTCGTAGTTTCACCTACACCGTATTGCTCGACGATTGCAGAGCTCCTAAAACCCTCTATGCGCCTCAGAGTCTTCGACGCTAATGTTCTATTGGATAAATAGCCCTAATGTTTTTTCTGAATAATATTTCTTTAGATGTGTGTTTTGCTATTAAGAAAAACTAGATCATAATCCGCCCGAGTGGATATGGATCCAACTTCACGTCTGCACAACGATGAACTTTGCAAGGGAAGAGACAAGAATTATAGTAACGCTGTAATGATAAACACATGAGATCTATCTTGGTAAGAAAGATACTGAGAGAAGAGACGAGATTAATGAAGATTTCTTAACAATCTCATATTAAAAAAGTGGCAAAGCCAAAGTACATATGATGGTAGTTTCTTAGTATCATACCAATGCGAATATTAAAAAACAGTAACACGAGATCAAAGATGAAAGTTGAAAGAAATGTTTTGGAACGAGAGGATAACAGTAAGGATCCACTAGAGCAGAATGCAGCAAACGTCCTAGGGGAAATGCAACACAAGCAGCTCAGAAACCATGGATCTTGATGTTGTCCTTCTTCACAAGCCCAGCCTGTTCCATGACATAAGTAAAAGAAATTAGTTAATGCAACAATGTTTTATGTTAGCTTTGTTCGTAAAAGAGTTTTGACTATCACCTGGACTAGGAACGTGGAGACGTTCTTCCTCTGGTCACCTTGAAGCTGAATAACCTACACATTTTGCACAGTAGCACGCATATAAAGGACTATCCTCTGAAAAAGCTAAGCTTTGCAAGCAGTATACCAATGGTAATACACCAACTATAAAGACAAACAGTAGTGGATGCACCACTCAAAAAACACGCACCTGTCCTAGTTCAGAGTCTTGAACCACGGTTCCGTTGCAACAAAACTCCTTCTTGAGGTCCTTAAGTATCTTGCTGTAGCTATACTCTTTCTTCAGACCCTGGACAGTTGTCAAGCTTTTCCTACCATTGCGCTGCTGCACACGTATGTGGACGTACTCCTTTGTTCCCGCACCTGAGTCCTCAGCATCCACATCAGCAAACGGGTCTGCATAAAAAACAAATAAGAAACTCATCACCTCATATCAAAAAATCATATGAGCTAGATATGCAGAGTTATTTCAATCAAACTATGCACCAAATTTACAATTGGAGCTTACCGAAGGCAGTAGGGACCTGGGAATCAAGTTCAGACATGAAACTTTGTTGATCTGATGGGCAAACTACTGAGAAACTGAAACCTGAGAAATAAAACCAACGTCACATAAGAATTTGACACAAACACACACACAGAGAAGGGTAACAACACATAATAGTAGAAGATGAAAAGTCTCAAACCAAAATCGACTTAGGTACTATGATTATAACTATTTTTCAAGATAATAGTTAAAGACCTGAAGCAAGCAACATAGTAAAAGAAACAGAGGTAAAATAAACATAACACGATAACAAATCAATAAACACACACAATTTCAGTACGCGCCACATTCAATTGGAGATTATTTGATAAATAATATTATATAATCCAATGGGAAACTAAAGATTATCATCTCCAACGGAAGATATGAGATGATTAAGATACCATCTGATCCTATTCCAGCAACCTAGTTGAGAAGATCTAGTTAAATTATCCAAACAATGTAAACAGAGAACATCAATCCATCAAAAGATTACGTTTTTTTTAATTCAGCTGCAATTCTAATAGATCATAAAGCTCTCTTTCGATCTTCAGACGAGGAAAAAAAAAGGAACCAGAAACGCAATCAATTTCACCTTGAAATTATCGAAATCAAGGAAACAAAAAGATGTAATTTGCGATGAGCTAAAGAAACAAGACGAAACGAGGATAGAGAAAGGGCAATTCTACCTGATTCGAGGAGTAGAGTTTCGAGGATCTGATTATCGGGAGAATAGAAGAATGAAACCCTAGATTCGGATAAAGTATGCAACTTCTGTTTCGGTGGAGGAGAGGAAGACGTAGTCTCTCAAATTATATTTTTTTAAGGTAGACTTGGGCTTTGTATTTGTCCTTTTAGTAACCATGGGCTTATACTTATCCCCTTTAGTGGGCTTAGAATTGGGCTTCACACGTAATCCCCTTGGTATATCTCATTTTCCACATCACCAGTTCGAAGACCATCAGATACATATCTCCACTCAAAATTATGGGATTTATTAGTTGACTTGAGTTTATTTGTCTTGAGCATCCCGCATTACATAGTTACGTGATACGAGAATAGGTCACACTCAGTAGCGGCCCTAAACATAAGTATTCGATTTTGACCCTTGATAAAATAACTAATGTTTCAGTCTATTTCTAAAATGTGCAAATACATATATAAAATGGTCAAAAGAGCTGTTAACTCATCCAAAGATGACAGGTTCAACGCCACTTGGCCATAGTCTGATATTTGTTTACCATCATACCATATAATTAATTATTGGGTTAGTTTATCAGTGCCATAGTCTTCTGATATTTTCTTCTCAAATGGCCTAACTTGAATTAACTAAATGTTCAAAAGAAAATTCGGTTTTGTAAAATATTCGACATGTCAGAATATGAGCTACACATCATACATGCATAGTTGCATTGCATGTAGACGCGGAGACTTGTCGCTCCTCCACACTTGAGTTTCCAACACCTAATCGCTACAAAAAAACTTAAGCATCTACATTTCTCCCAAACAAACAAACACATTCATGCAATGTTGTTACACGTAATCTCCATGCAAAGCCTCTTTCACGCCTATAAATACCAACCAACACTCCACTTCCCTCTTCACTCAAACCATCACAAGAACAAGAAAACCATACACACAAATGGCGAACAAGCTCTTCCTCGTCTCGGCAACTCTCGCCCTCTTCTTCCTTCTCACCAACGCCTCCATCTACCGTACGGTCGTGGAAGTCGACGAAGATGAAGCCACAAACCCATCCGGCCCATTTCAGCTTCCAAGATGCAGGAAGGAGTTTCAGCAAGCACAGCATCTAAGAGCTTGCCAGCAATGGCTCCACAAACAAGCAAGGCAGTCCGGTAGTCCTTACTGGACCCTCGACGGTGAGTTCGATTTTGAAGACGACATGGAGGAGAACCCCCAGGGCCGCCCACAGCAGAGACCACCGCTCCTCCAACAGTGCTGCAACGAGCTTCACCAGGAAGAGCCAATTTGCGTCTGCCCAACCTTGAAAAGAGCATCTAAAGCCGTTCGACAACAGATTCAACAACAGGGACAGCAGGGACAGCAAGGACAACAAGAGCAACAGATGGTGAGCCGTATCTACCAGACCGCTAAGCACTTACCTAATGTTTGCAACATCCCGCAAGTTAGCGTTTGTCCCTTCCGGAAGGCCAGCCCCTACTACTAGATCCATAAACGAAATCCTTGAATGTTTGATAAAAATGTAAGGTCTTATCTAGGATGTTTGAGGCTAATGTAATTAGCACTACTCCATAATAAAAGAGGCTTTTAATGTTTACTTTGGTGCACACGTGGTTCAAATATATATTTTAGTGGGTTACTTGATCAGTACATCAGCTTTTAAGGCATGCAAATTAAAACACCGTTCAAACTGATCTATGACTGCTCTCCACCGATCACGTATAGGTTTTAAGTTGCTTAATGGCATGGAGAATTTTACATGAACTCAACGTGTTAATTTGCTCTTTGTTAGCAACAAGAAATAACACATGCATGATCAAGAAGAATAGACAAGCCAAAAGTAAAATTTACATTAATTAACAACGGTCTCTTTAGTTCAAAAAAAAAATGTTATAGTTTTCTCCTCTCCTCTTCGTTATATATATGTATTCTATTGTCGACGCCTACACCACTCTCCTTTTTCCTAAGCAACGCATTTGTCTGCATGTCACCAACTAATACATCGCTAGAGCTCCATAAAACCCAACTAAATTTCTCTCTACACTTCCACAACCACGGCATCAAGTATTTTCTGTCTTTCGCTAGAGCTATAGCAGACGAATCCATTTGTCTCCGACGGTGGAAGCAGCCTTTTCTCCTTTTTATATAGTAGACATTAGTTTAAGATGAAAATGGTTACACAATTAAAAGCAATACAATTGGTGGATTTTCCCAAAAGGTTACCATTTGAAAAAGAAAAAACATTGCACATAATTCACCGAACTTTGTAAGAAAAAAAAAACTGAATTTGTTAAGAAAGTTTTTAAATGTTGTAACTATGCTTATAAAAAGAATGAAAAATAAGATTATTCCGCTAATCCTTATTCCACTAATTGTCTAGTGATCATCATTTGCACCTTTTACCTAAGTTTAATTATAAAGGGCGACGTATCACCTCCAAATTCTTTCAAAATATTGACTTAGTGTTATAAATGTAGTGAGAGAGATCTTGTTTTATACATAGTAAACCGTCTTCTTATTAGTTCTGGTATTATTACAAATTAGTACTGATTCCATATGAAAATTCATGAATCAAATAGGTTAGTCGCCCACCGTATTACTTTAACATTGTGTTGGACATATATGAGGTGCGATCAATACAAGAGTGTAAATTTTTTTGATGGGACGAAATAATGCTGTGAGATGGCCCTATTCTTATTACAAGATAGTAAAAAAGAACAAGGGTAACATATTTCTGTAGCATCGATCATCGATATAGACTATTTTATTGATTGGTTACACAAGAGGCACTAGTGTATTTAGAGCATAACTAATCCTGGGTTCTTAAGGCGGGATTCTTAACGGAAACTAAGAAACTGTTTCTTAATTTTTAACTAAAAACGCTAAGAATTGGTTCTTAGACCATCCGCATTAGCGGTTTTAATGGGGTTCATAGAGAGAATATGCACGTTTACCGAGAGAACCCATCTCCTCTCACCTCTTCTGTATGAACCGGGTTCGCTGACGTCATGATGATGTCATGGGGACGCCACGACACGTGGCGGCTCCCCACTGGTCCAATTTTGTTTTGTTTTTTTTTTTTTTTGAAAAAGTAAACGAAAAAAAAAACAATAAAAAATAAAAAAAAACAGGTGGCGAACCCACCTCGATATCACTGATGCAAGTGCTCTTAAATAAGGATTTTAAGAACCGGTTCTTAGAGTTTTTAGTTAAAAGTTAAAAAACTATTTCTTAATTTCCGCTAAGAACCTAACCTTAAAAATTTGGGGTTAATCATGGTCTTACAAATTGTATGAGGCAAAAGTAATTTTGACTATGAGGGCATCTTTAACTGGGCAGCTAGTTTAATAATAAATGGGCTCCATTTCAAGTGAAGCAACCAGTGCTTCTTTTGCTTATTTAAGCGTCCGATTTTGGTGGTTGCTTGGTCTGTTCCGTGTGTCCTACGATACGTGGCGGTTCGCGATTATCCATTTTTATTTTTTTTTTAATCCAAAAAAAAAAAAATTTAAGTATCCCCTAATTAGATGCTGGAATAAAGATACTCTTACTTTTAACTTCTATGTCTCTGATTAAGCTCCTAATATATATTCCCAACCACACTGTCTCCAAAATAGATAGACACTCGATCCATTTTAAACTAATTTAGTGAGTCACTGAGTGTTTCTTATTTATGAATTTTAAGTTCTTGCCAACTTTTTAACAGATCGTTGATAAGGTGTCATGCCAGAACATCTGCTACACGTCACACATTGCATGCAGACCGTTTTGTTCGTCACTTGTCACTTACTCACTCACTTCAAACATATAAGAGCTTCTACTCACAGCACACACATATTGACATACATTCACATGCGTGCATGCATTATTACACGTGATCGCCATGCAAATCTTCTTTATCACCTATAAATTAACTCCTCAGCTTCACTCTTTACTCAAACCAATACTCATCATCTCAAACAAGGTTAAAAACATACACAAATGGCGAACAAGCTCTTCCTCGTCTCGGCAACTCTCGCCTTCTTTTTCCTTCTCACCAATGCCTCCATCTACAAGACCGTCGTTGAATTTGACGAAGATGACGCAACAAACCCATCCGGCCCATTTCAGCTTCCAAGATGCAGGAAGGAGTTTCAGCAAGCACAACACCTAAGAGCTTGCCAGCAATGGATTCACAAGCAGGCAATGCGATCCGGTGGCGGTAGCTGGGCCCTCGACGATGAGTTTGATCTTGAAGACGACATGGAGAACCCCCAGGGTCGCCCACAGCAGAGGCCACCTCTACTCCAGCAGTGCTGCAACGAGCTCCACCAAGAAGAGCCAATTTGCGTTTGCCCAACCTTGAAAGGAGCATCCAAAGCTGTTAGGTCCCGTGTTCAAGGACAGCAGGGACAGCAAGGACAGCACCAGCAACAGATGGTGAGTCGTATCTTCCAGACCGCTAAGCACTTACCTAACGTTTGCAACATCCCGCAAGTTAGCGTTTGTCCCTTCCGGAAGGCCAGCCCCTACTACTAGATCCCCAAACGAAACCCTCAAGAGTGTATATACCACGGTGATGAATGTGGGTGTTGATGTATGTTAACACCACGAAGTCATGGTGTGTGTTTCATAAATAATGTACTTTAAAATTGAGGCTAATGTAATAAGTACTTAATAAAAGAGAAGTTTCTTTATTTTTGTTACTCTTTCTACTTCATAAAAAGAGGATATGCCAAAAAGAACAAAACAATTAATTTATTCACAATGAAATAGTAGTCCAATTGTAATATGGCAAGATTAAGACTTTTCTGACTTTGTATTTCCTCCGGTGATGGAGGTTAAGACTTAAGACTAATGAAGTGTTGTTTGTCCCAAAAAAAAAGAGACTAATGTTAATTTACTTTGAGCCTAAAAATAAAATATCATCCACTGGGATTAATCAGTGACTCAAATCTGGTATGATCAGATACTTCAAAACTCTTGTTTATGCAAAATACTTCGACTCTTTTTGATCACCATATCTATCAATCTCATGTATCCACTAAATTCTTGCAACTATTAATTACTGATGTGAATTTTACTTATAAACAGTATACTGAGATAGCAAAGGTTGTAAATTTATCTACCTTTATCATCTATATACTATGTTACTATAATATTAACTCAGAGGCAAATCCAGAACATACACTCTAACATTTATGATACTATTGTTAAACACTTGGTGGATGATGGTTGGGACAAGAACATTCTCTTTATTCTGCGATACATGTTTCAGACACCGGTGTACACTATTCGGCGTGAACGTAACGGGAGGAAGCATGGAGAACAACATGAGCCTGCCTTCAACTTCAACATGTAGTTTTTTCTTTTTTGAACCGAAAAGGATTAAACCCAAATTTACATAATTAATAAGTAGATTTGTAATTAAATCCTAAGAACAGCCTTAAGAGGCGTTTCTCGCAGAAATGTTGCAGAGATACTCTCAAACAACAGTATACACAACTGAATCTTTCTGATTTCTCGATAAAAGTTAGAGAAAAAGATCCATTATGCATAAGTTAAAATCAAATATTAATACTACAAATAGTACTATTGAACTATGTTAAGTTACAATAAAATTAAAATATAAAAGAGATAAGATATCTAGTAAGCATGTCACCATTGGACTTAACAAATTTAAATTAGTTTCTTAACAAATTTTTATTTAAACTAGTACTATTATATTAGTGGGATATATACTTAATGAGTATCAAACCATTTAGGTTGCTCTAACAATTCAAACAATGGAATGAAACGGATTTGAGAAAGCAATGACTGCATGGTTTACTTATAGAAGAATATGGCACATGTAATACTGGTTGCTAGCTAGCTAGGTTAATTTTTACCCATTTTTGTTAGATTTAAACAATTTATTTTCACAAAATATTTAGTTTTTGAAAAATATTGGGCAGCCATACATTCTTCCTTGGTTGTTACACAAGAGGCACTAGTGCAGTTATATTACATATTGTAACTCAATTAATTTTGATCATGGCTAGAGATATCAACTTTAACTTATACATTTCTGATTAAGCTCCCAATTATATTCCCAACTTCATTACCTTCAATTTTTATAGACTCTCATCCCAATTTAAACCAACTTAGTGAAGAGATGTCATGCCAAAACAAGAGCAACACGTCAATATAGCATGCAGATGCGGATGACTGGTGTTGTTCGTCACTTGTCACTCACTTCAAACACCTACGAGCTTCTCTCTCACGGCACACACATACACTCACATGCGTGCATGCATTTATTACACGTGATCGCCATGCAAATCTCCTTTCTCGCCTATAAATTAACTCCTCAGCTTCACTCTTTTACTCAAACCAAAATTAATTCATCATTACAAACAAGGTTAAAAAACATACACACAAATGGCAAGCAAGCTCTTCCTCGTCTCGGCGACTCTCGCCTTCTTCTTCCTTCTCACCAACGCCTCCATGTACCGAACGGTCGTGGAAGTCGACGAAGATGATGCCACAAACCCATCCGGCCCATTTCAGCTTCCAAGATGCAGGAAGGAGTTTCAGCAAGCACAACACCTAAGAGCTTGCCAGCAATGGCTCCACAAGCAAGCAAGGCAGTCCAGGCGTCCCTGGACCCTCGACGGTGAGTTTGATTTTGAAGACGACATGGAGGAGAACCCCCAGGGTCGCCCACAGCAGAGACCACCGCTCCTCCAACAGTGCTGCAACGAGCTTCACCAGGAAGAGCCAATTTGCGTTTGCCCAACCTTGAAAAGAGCATCCAAAGCCGTTAGACAACAGGTTCAACAACAGGGACAACAGGGACAGCAAGGACAGCAGGGACAGCAACATCAACAAATGGTGAGCCGTATCTTCCAGACCGCTAAGCACTTACCTAGAGTTTGCAACATCCCGCAAGTCAGCGTTTGTCCCTTCCGGAAGGCCAGCCCCTACTACTAGATCCCCAAATGAAACCCTCAAGAGTGTATATACCACGGTGATGAATGTGGTTGTTGATGTATGTTAACACCACGAAGTCATGGTGTGTGTTTCATAAATAATGTTTGAGGTTAATGTAATAAGAACTACTCCGTAGACGGTAATAAAAGAGAAGTTTTTTTTTTTACACTTGCTACTTCCTATAAAGTGATAACTAACGACAGATACGCCAAAAAAGCAAAACAATTAATCTATTCACAATGAAGCAGTTGTCTAATAATGAACATGATAGACTAAATGTCTAATTAAGTCTTCATGACGAATGATAAAAAATCATCCATTTGGGATCAAATAATGACTCAAATATGGTTTGATCAGATACTTCAAAACTCTTTTTGGTCCCCACCCATCTGTCATTCCCATGTATCCACTAAATTCTGCAAGTGTTGTCTCATGTTCTAAAGCCACTTTTAGAAGCAAATAACGATAAGCAGTAATTAATTTAAATATGTCGTTTCAGTTTAAGATGTGTTGTCATCTTCACACCATAGTATGATTAACAATCATTTGACAAATATTGTATGATTTAATATAATTTTATTTATCTAATGTTTGTCTATTCAAGAGTTCGGAACTATAATGTACTTTTTTCCACGCATAAATCCTGCTGATCCAAGATATAAGTATATATAAAAGTATAACATACCCTTAAGGTTAATACAAGTTATATACAGATTAAGCACACCATTAACTCAAGTAGTGGCCACTGACCACGTTTAGGTATCAACATAACTTCTCTTGTTTCTGGCTTCAGAGAAGAAAATCTCATCCAAGACTCAAGCGATAATCTAACGGCTTGTTGTTAACTTGACGGTGTGCAGTTCCAATCTCACAAGCATTCACTCTTGCTGCGAATCTGAGAGAGCACAGAGACTCACCAGTTGAGGAAGGTTCCGGTGTGATGTTTACAAACATGAGGGTCTTCGAATCACCACCTAAGCATGGCTGGATAACAGAATTCGACAAAGTTTCATTTCTGCTCCAACATATGTGATAAGATTGGCATATGATCATGTAATTTTGTTCTTTACCTGAAGAAGATAAGTGAGCTTCGAGTTTCTGAAGGGTACGTGATCTTCTTTCTTGGCTAAGGCGAATATGACATCGCCTAGAGACGATAAGCTCTTGTTGATTGCCTGAGTAAGATTAAAAAGAATCATTAGGTCATGAGGTGTCTCTAAAGAATCTGTTGTTTTATTTATATTCTTGAGATATTACTTGAGTTTCTTTAAGTCTATCACCAGTGGATCCGCTCTTAGATAAACGCTCACTACCAGCAAGATCAATCAAGTTCAAGACACCTTGTACTTGTTGTTCTGTGCTCTGTAAGAAAGACAAAAGAAAAAAACAGGTTATGGTGTAAGTGAATCATATTGTTCTAGTAAGAAACTCAATTAGTACCTCGTTAAAACCAGTGATTCTTAATGTGAAAACGAAATGGCTTCTCGATGATTGCTCATTCATAGCTGTCTTCCCTACAGACCTGTACAAAATTTTAAAGAAACAGTTTGAATCATTAGCAGCGTCTCTCAAAGATGAATCATTCTTTCAAACAGATACTTACCTGTTCCGAGCTGCATGATCCAAGAGGAACGAAACCTCTCTGCTGCTTCTAACATCAACAACAGTAAGTTCCACAACATGTGTGTTCCCACTAGCATCATGTTTGATTGCATACTTCTGAGGAGAAACTCCATTATCTGCTCTCACAGCTTCCTTGTTTGTTGACAAGAGATCTCGAATTGTTTCGTTGTATATTTCCAACATAGAAACCTATCATAATAAACACATAACATAATCAATAATACTCTAAATGTACACTTATCTATCTCTAGTCTCTAGGAGATTTGTTACCTGCAGCTCATACTTCCAACCCTGTGCTCGAAGAGACTGCCTCGTTTGAAATATTTGCTCCAAACATCGAGGAATCAGTCCTTTTTCCTCAGGGTTTCCTGGCCTGCCCATCATTGTATAAGTTTTTCCAGATCCCGTTTGTCCATATGCGAAAATGCAAACCTGAAAATGTTTTAAAAGCCAGCTTTAGTCCAAGAATATGCAAGGAAACATAAATTGGTTAGAGAGGGAATGTAACAAAGCCAAAGAAGATAAAGTACCTTGTAACCATCAAGAGCGCTCTGAACAAGCTGAGAAATCTCTACAAAGATATCTTCTTGTGATGCATTAGGTACAAAAACCTTATCAAATGTGAAACAATGCTTTTGCCCTGTCCATATCAAAACATCAAATGAGTCTTTATCTTTTTGTGTTGTTTCAAGAATCAAATTTTTGTTTAAGAAGATTTAATCATTACCATTTTGCATCAAGTCAATGCCCCGACCAAGTGCTTCCAGAGATGTAGGGTAGGAAATAGTTTTGGCCTCCTCACTAGAATTCTCACCTGTTAATAGAGGTCTAACCCTACAGAACACGCGGATGTTTCCCTTCAGCTCCTGCAACATTTAAATGTTTCAGAATCAACATTTCACAAGAATTATGGACAGAAATGGCAAGTGCTAACCTGTATGGTATTGTGCAACTTCTTCCGTAGCTGTTCTCCTTCGATGAGTTTAAGTTCAGCTTTTTCTAAGCGAGCTTTCAGCTCGAGAATGCTTTCCTTTTGCTCTTCAAACTCGTTCATTTTTTCAAAGGTAGACAAATCGGCCACCTAACCAACATGAACAAATACAAAATAAGAATTTAAAAATTTTCATATAAAAAATCATTTATATATGGTAAACTCAAGAATGTGATGAGACCTGCAGTTTCCTCTCAGAAGCTACTAACTGGTCCTGTAACTCTTGTAGCTCCTTATTTTGAGAAGAACACTTACTCTGAAGAAAACAAGATTACATAATCATTTAGATATTATTTTTGGAACGTCCAGGAATGCATTCAAGGATGAAAACAAACCTCAAGCTCATTTATGGTTCCTTTGAAGTCATTTTGCTTGGTTGCTTCAGCTTGCAGATTTTTAACTTCAGTAATATGGCGGTCACGGTCATCCCTGACCTGCTGAATCTCCACTTTGAGACTCGCAATTTCATTCACCAATTCATCTTTTTGCTTCATGATATCATCTTGAGACGCCTAACAGAAAACAAGACACACACACAAGTCATGCCATGATCTAACAAAGAGTTATTTCTCTAGATGATTGAATAAACGGAGAATCAAATCACCTTGGAGGCAGCAAGCTGATCCTGCAGTGCTTTAAACTGACCCTTTAAGTTGCCAATGTTTTCTACAATGCTAGTCCGTTCTTTCTCTCCTCGCTTTATAGTTTCATGAGCTTCATCAAGATCACCTTGGATCTTGCTATTGTAGAGCTGCAAGCTGGAGTTGTACTCTTGCAAGAGTTTGTACATGTCATTGACAGCTTGTATCTGAAAAAACATTCAGTGTCAGTTTAAAACAAACCATTTCTCATTCTAAAGACTTTTAATAAATTTCTCACCCTCTGGTTAGCTGTTTGAAGGTCTCCTTGTGTTTTTCCCAGCTCTTCAGTGAGAGCAGCTTGCAACTTTTCAACAGCAAGTCTAGCTTCTCTCTCTTTTTCAAGCGAACCAGTTGCAGCCTTAAGCAGAACAAAACCAACTTATAAAACCACAAAAGATGAACTTAGCCACAAGTTATCTAGCAACTCCTTACCAATTTCTCAGCTTGTTCTTTGGCAAGTTGAACCTGAACAGAGGAAAAGTTCTTCCTCAGCTCATGGATAACCAAATTCAACTCCACTTCCTTCTCTTTCAAACTAACCTCTGCAAGCAAATGCAAACAAATTAAGTTTCTCTTTTTGTTAAATCCCAAAAAATGTCCATAAGAAGATCTAAATCCTGAAACACACCCAAGTCAGCACAATGCTTCTCGTTCAACTCCATAGCGTTCTTCAATTTCTCTTGCTCAAATGCATAGTCTAACTCAAGTTCTTGAAACCATCGAATGCAAAGCCTAAGCCTTTTCACATAGTCCATAGTATTCTCGCATCTCTCCTACAAAACCAAGCATAACACATATAGATTTAGCAACTACAAAAAAAAAAGGAAAACTCTTTTGATAAATAGACTTTTTAAGTAAATTGCATGAAACTGAGAGATCTCGATTTTTAAACCTTGTAGTTGTACTTGCTCTTGTACTTGATGCGTTCATGAAGAAGAGCATCAACATCTTCTCTAGTAAACTCAACGGGACCATACTCGGATCCTTCAGTGCTCGTCAGATCTCTAGCTCCGGGAAACGATTGCCGGATTCTTCCACCGTTGGTCATCTCCCCAACCATTTTTTTTTTGTTTTTGTTTTTTTGAGCTAAACAAGAAACACTATCAGTGAATAAAAAGAGATAATAAAGACAGAAACTTTCGGTGAATGGGAAAACAAAAAGAAGAACAGACATGCAGAGAGAGATTAGAAAGGAAAGAAGAGACCTTTTGTTGTCTTAAATGAGTTACGGTTAGAGATGGAGGCAGGCCCGTTCCTCCTTTAAGGCACGTAAAGCACAATCTTTAGGCCACATATTTTTTTTGAATTTTTTGGGGCCACATCTTATATTTTGTTAAAAAGAATTTTCCATTTATTTGACTTGATATCAATACTAAAAAGTTAAAACACCAGGATTGTCCGTATTTATCCTTCTGACTAGCTTCCATTTTTTAATGTTATAGCTATCAAAATAAAATTAGAAAAAAAAATTAACGTTTTTGTCAAACAAAATAAACTTTTCACAGCCATCACTATTAAAAAGTTTTGACCTTGTCCATAATTTTGTTTTGAGACAACGTTTTAAAGGAGACAATATATTGTTCTATGAAGGCCACATTTTTACAAATGCTTTAGGGCACCTAATTGTTTGGGACGGCACTGGATGGAGGTGAGTCTCCGTTGTGTTGTTGTTATCCCGTCGCTCTCTGGTGTTTGCTAACTTCTGTTTCCGTTTGTTGTTTGGAGAAAAGAGATGAATGTGGGGCCGTTGATTAGATCTGAGTTCACTATCACACCCGTTGATTTATTTATTGTTTTTTTTAAAAAACCTTTTTCACCTAATTAATTGAACATCTTTTAAATCATGAGAAACTTAATTATTTATTTTTGGTTTAAGGGATACACTGAAGGGAATGCAAATTTAATTTTTTGTGAACTTATCTCTTCGAAAAACTCAGAAAAGGTCAAACAGTGAAACAGATTCGTTGTATTTATATGTTTTTCCTTATTCCCAAGTGCTGCGTATTCCAGAATTCAAGAGTTTTTTTTCTATGGAAATCTGCTAGTTTTAAAATAAAAGTTAGTATTGATGAATTCAATGTGTTAACTACCGTCTAACGTTATACCTTGAAATTCAGCTGCAACTAAATAACTCTTAGAATTTCAGTTTTGAATCATTCTTGCACTTAGCTCATGTACAATGTGTGTAGGTGACAACCAAATCTATATATCTAACTAAATCTGTAACCTTGTCGTTCATGTTGTCCTTTTAAAAAAAGAATCTAACGTTTCTTGAGCTGTAGATTTTATTACGTAGTAGTAGTTGGAAAAGTTATATGTTTGTCAAAAGAAATGTTGGAAAGTTATATATAGTACGTACAACAAGAAAGTCTTCCTTCCTATTTATATATGGCACAGATTTTTAATATTTTCACTGATTAATTAATACTAGTAATACCACTACTGTAATAGCAGAAATTTCAAAGAGTAAAACATGGATGTGACACCACCAATAAGCGATAACAGTAACAATTAGGAAGAAAAGCTAACAGCATGTGTCGGTAAAGTTACTATACGTCGGCAACTTGGCAATTCAGACGAATAGAGATTCTTTTCAGAAAACTTCAGTTTTCTTTAAATTTACCTGAATTAGCCTTTTCTTTGATCTAAAATTACATGGCTCATTCACGCTTATGGACCTAGAGAGATATGGGCCGAACTGTCTAGTTACAAAACTCTTTTTTTCGATTCCGTCGTCTCAGATGCTTTGCAATGTGTACTCACGACTTCATGTGAAATCAGAGAAAAAAGCCAAAGCTGTTTCAGATTCTGTAATGGTCCCGTGAGGTCGTACGTAGTTTCGTAGAACTTACTTTCCTTTTGTGAAAAGCCTTTTTATAAAGAAAAGGCTTGTTGTGTGTTTGTCGCAACTGTGCAAAAGCTGTTGCCTGTTACTGTACGTACATATTATTACTTGAGGTTTATTCAAGGCTGTTCCACGTTTAAAGCTTCATTCTCGATCGAACCTTAGTATGTGTTGATGTTATAAACCATTTCTTTTTGTGCATTCTGGAATCTAAACCATGGCATAGTTCTTGTTACGTTATATGTGATTCCACCTGCATAATGGCCACTCAGCTTAACTAATTAGCTGTTAGTTATAGCCACGGTTAGCACAAATAGGAATGTATCCGTGGTAGAGTATGTAGAGTTGATCCCTTAACTATAATAGGTTTGTACCTGTTTTATTCTTGAAGTTTTCAGACATGGATGAAACTGAAAGGAAATATGATTCTCTATTGTTCCCTTCAAAAGATATCAGTATAAAGGAAAAGTTATTGCTTATCCAATGCCAAACAGAGGGTTTCATGGATGTGAAAACCTGTGAAGCCACAATGAACTTTACAAAGCTTCATATTTAAGCAGCAAGGTTGAAAAATGTAAAAGAATAAAGCGCCGAGTTAACTTGGTATCTTTTCAGAATAACAAGTACAGTACATTTAGGGTTGAGATTGGTATCTTTTTAAACAACTTGAGTTTAGTATGTGCCGCAAGCTTCAAACTATCAATGAGATAAACTTTTTCACTATCCCAAAACGGCTGGTGAGTGTTTGCTACGAGAAAGAGACTTGGGAGTGTCTTGAGATGTAATAGTCCCTCTACTTTAATAACTCTTGACCTTGTTTCAAGCAAATGAAGAACGCTCATGCTGAAACCTCACCAGTATTTATAATCACCTACTGTCTTCTCTTATGTGTTCAAGTGTGGATGTGCAAAACAATCTTGTTTACTTGGGTATGTTTTTAGTTAGTTCAAATCGTGAAAGTGTGAATGTGCAATTCTATATTAACAATGTTCCGATCGATGATGAATACCTTCTGAGTTATGTTTAAAAGAAGCCAAGCCACTGAATATTATTAGAGTACAACACCTAAAGGCAGGTAGATTCAGGAAACAGAGAGAAGAGTGTTCTTCATATATTCACACAAGAGAAACAAAATATCATTTGCTACTTGCTACTACATTGCTGCAGAGAGAAAGAAAAAAAGGATAACCGTATTCTACTATCATTGCTTGTTCACTCTGTCATCAAACCATTCTCCATTGTTATCAGGCTTTGTGACTTAGGATCTCCTAATCTTCATCGGTAGGCTTAGAGGAGCCAGCCTTCTTATTGGGGAGAAGAAGATTATGAATATTAGGCATCACTCCTCCATTAGCAATCGTCACATCTCCAAGTAACTTACTCAACTCCTCATCGTTCCTCACAGCAAGCTGAATGTGTCTAGGCACAATCCTCGTCTTCTTGTTATCTCTCGCCGCGTTCCCAGCTAGCTCAAGCACCTATACAAATCGCACGCACCAAGTTAACCAACACACATGTTTACAGATCTAAAACTCAATCAGACTCAAGATTAAAACTTTCCTATACAAGATCGAAAACCCAGAAACCTAGACTCACGAGATCGAGACAAGAGAGGCTGTGATTATTACCTCGGCGGCGAGATAAACCGGAGCTCCAGCTCCAACACGCTCGGCGTACTTTCCGGCTTTGAGGAATCTAAGGATACGACCCACAGGGAATTGGAGTCCCGCTTTGCTACTACGAGATGTAGCCTTCTTTGGCAAGTTGCACCTGAACAGAGGAAAAGTTCTTCCTCAGCTCATGGATAACCAAGTTCAACTCCACTTCCTTCTCTTTCAAACTAACCTCTGCAAGCAAAATGCATACAAGATAAGTTTCTTTTTTTGTTAAATCCCAAAAAATGTCCATAAAAAGATCTAAATCCTGAAACACACCCAAGTTGGCACAATGCTTCTCGTTCAACTCCATAGCGTTCTTCAACTTCAGCAGCAACTAACTAATCTCTTGGAATTTCAGATTTGAATAGATCTTGCACTTATTATTTCATGTACAACGTGCCTGGGTGACAACTAGAGATCTATGCATGGGTTCATTTGGATGAAAGAATCTAACGTTTCTTGAGCTATAGATTCTATTACGTAGTAGTTGGAAAAGTTATATACTATTGTCAAAAGAAAGTTGGAAAGTCTTCCTTCTTAATTTTTCTAACGATTGGATTATTGATTTGGTGGGCTGTAATGGGTTGGGTCTGAAAAACGTTAATTTATAGTTGATTGCAGACTTGATAATTTGGAATATAAACACTAAAGGAAAGGTTAGAGAAGAAAATTTGGAATATACACACTGAAGGTTAGAGTGAGAGAGAGGTAAAGAAGAAAGATATCTTGGCCAGCCAAATAGACCAAACTTCTTTAGATTGTGCTAAAGCCAAAGTCACCTTTGGAGCTCTGCAATCACGTTCCTGATGGGTTTGACTTTTGGAAACTGTAAAAAAAAATAGCCAAAAAAGATAAAATCATTTAAAATATAGATTAATGTTAACTAAAATGTGTAAGACTCTTAAACGTATGGTAAACCTTAAGGTTGAGCTTCTCGAAGTATGTATCAAATCCCACATCCGATGAAAAAGTTTGTCCTTGTCATGATATGGAAAACAGTTCAAACAAACGCATATGTATCTGGTGATTTAAGACACAATTTAAGCAAACTCACATGGTGATCAGGGGTGAAGCCAGTGCCAAGGCTAGGGTGGCACGTCCACCCGTAATTTTGTAAATATTAAACTTTTTGTATGTAAAAATATAAAGAAATTAGCTAGGTTAGATGGTTTGGTAGTGTTGTGTACCCTCTTCAAATCTCAAATTCGATTCCCCCTTAGACTTTTGTTATATTTTGCACCCACTGAAAATTTATTCTGGCTTCGCCCCTGATGGTGATTTAAGACTAACAATTCAAGTAAACCAATGTTAGACAAACTACTTCCCTCTTGAAAGGAAAGATTGGTTTTAACAAAAAAGGGATCTCCCTATGTTCAATCTATCATAACAAACAAATTTTTTTAGCATATTCTATGGAATATATTAACGCATATGGTGGTTTAAGACTCACAAACACATTTGGTGGTTTAAGACACAATTCAAGCAACACACATATGATGGTTTGGTTTAAGACACAATTCAAGTAAACGCATATTGGAAACAGTTCAAGCAAAAGGATATTGGAAACAATTCAAGACACAATGAGATGGAACCTTGTTTGCCTTTGTTAGTGTCATCTTCTTCGTTAGTGTCATCCTCCAAGATATCAATCATCACATCAATCTTCGCCTGATGGCCTCATCTGCTGCTTACTTCGCATCCGAATCCACTCTGAAATGCATAATACCACTACCACTTTTATTGAACTCAGCAATCACCTCCTCTGAATCCTTTTAGGAGGAAGGCCTCTCATGGCTGAATAAGCTTCTATCAACACTTCGCCCTTGTATCCATGCGCCTTGAGGAAAGCTTTGAACTGATTACCCACTGATCTTGAATATCTGATCGGAATCCTGTTGTTTTTGAGATCTCATAGCACTATGTTTAGGTTGTTCTCAGTCACCAGCGTTGCCTTATTTGCAACGGGAACCTTCATACCCCTTATCTTGATGTTGAACTTCCTCTCTTATTTTTTTTTTCTTCGGTATTTTTTGATCCGAATTCGTACGGGTATGATTTCATTTGCAAATAAGATCAAGTTCCAATTATATATAACTAAAATAACATGTATAAAATATTAACTGATTTATCATAAGTATATGTGTATGCATTAACAAATCATTAACACACTTGTTACTGATTAACGACAACACAAAAAAAAAATTGATTAGTTCTAAAGAATTACATTAATTTTAATTAGTTTACTGGAAAAGGAAAATAGTTTGAAGTTTTTCTGGTTTACGTCCTCATGTCTTGTTTATACCTTGAAATTCAGTTGCAACTAAATAACTCTTGGAATTTCAGATTTGAATCATTCTTGCACTTAGCTCATGTACAATGTTTGTAGGTGACAACTAAATCTATATATCTGTTCATTTGAATGAAAGAATCTAACTAAATCTGTAACCTTGTCGTTCATATTGTTCTTTTTAATATGAAAATCCTTTTAAAAAAAGAATCTAACGTTCCTTAAGCTATAGATTCTATTACGTAGTAGTTGGAAAAGTTATATATTTGTAAAAGAAATATTGGAAGAGTTATGTCATACAGTCAGAGGCGTGCCTACTATGTGTTGAAAAAGGCTTTTGCCCCAGGTTCCCAGATAAATATACAATTTTTGGGGCCTCAAAATTTAGAAAGATCATGTAGTAGTGTAGTGGTAGAGTGAAGTTGGTGTGTATCCAAGGGCCCCAAGTTCAAACTTTCCTCTATACAAATTTTTCTTTTTAAATTTTGTCTTAGGTCTCATATAACCTAAGCACGCCACTGCATACAGTACGTACAACAAAAAAGTCTACCTTCTTATTTATATATAGCATAAAAGTTTAATATTTTCATTGGTTAATACCACTATATCAGAGGAAAATTCAAAGAGTGAAACATGAATGTGACATCAATAAACGAATAGGAAGAAGAAAAGCTAACAGTATGTGTCGGTAAAATACTATAAGTCGGCAACATGGCATTTCAGGCGACAGATTCTCTTCAGAAAAGGTTGATTTTTTATTTTACCTGAATTACCCCTTTTCTTTTATCCAAACTATGTACATGGCTTATTCACGTTCATGGGCCTAAAGATTATGGCCAAGCTGTCCATTTACATAATGTTTTTTTTTAATCGATTCTGTCTCAGATGCTCGCAATGTGTCGTCATAATTTCATAGTCGCCGAGTTTTTGGGTTTACATTTTCTATCTTGATCGAATTTTTGGGGAAGAGTCTGATAATAAGCTCCAACTTTCCGCAATTGTGAAAGCGTTTCTGCCACTGTTTACACCCATCGTGTAGGTTTTCATCCATATTCGGGAATTTGTTAGGCGTTAAGCGTGCAGCGCATCTGGTCTAACGATTTTTCTGAAAAAGCGGAAAAAAATTCGGGGAATACTGAGGGAGAATTTTTTCCTATATATAATATCATTGATGTCTTTAAGCTTGGCCTCTCCGGTTTGTTCACTTAGTAAGTTTACTGGTAACATCTGCAACTAATCTATAAACTTATCATTTTAATATGTTACGTGGACAGTTTGGTGAATTGATGTTTTCGTCACTCTAACAAAAGAGTAAAATACTTGTTGAATGCTTGGCAGTGATAGTACTCGGAAAAGGTCAAGCAGATCCATTGTATTTATATGTTTTTCCTTGTTCGCAAGTGGCAAGTGCTATATTCCAGTTTTTAAGAGTCTTTTTCTATGAAAATTTTAAAAATAAAATAAAAGTTAGTATTGATGAATTCAATGTATTAACTACCGTCCAATGTTATATTTTGAAATTCAGGTGCAACTAAATAACTCTTGAAATTTCAGACTTGAATCATTATGCACTTAGTCATGTTATGTATCGGTTCATTTGGATGAAAGAATCTAACGTTTCTTATATTATCTCCATTTCGATCTACTTATCGTTATAGAGTAAAATTTTTATTTTAAAATAAATATTATTTTATGATTTCTATGAAATATTTATTAATTTTATATGTTTTTCTATTTTTATTGGTTGAAACATAGTTAAATTTATAGATAATATGTTTTATTTTGGAAATATACAAAATTAAATATGTTATTAATTTATGTATACAAATTTAAAATGACAACTATAAAATAATATGGAAAAATAGTCATCAGAAGAGAAGTTGGAAAGTTATGTTATATATAGTACTGTACAACCCGAAAGTCTTCATTGTTATTTATATATCATAGAAGTTTGATATTTTCATTGGTTAGTACCACTACTGTAATAATAACTAGATTTTGAACCCGCACATCCGTGCGGGTAATTTTTCATTTTATAAAAATATAACAAAATCTTTCAGATATATCATTTACATTTTATTTTATATTGTATAACTATAGAATCTTATTATTTTAATTATTTATATAATATATTGTTGTCATTTTTTAAAAATATCAAATATATTTTTTTAGATAATGTATTTGTTGTAAATTATAAAAATATATGTCAACTTTTTTGTATAAAAATATTACATGATTTAAAAAAATTAATATGTTTTAACAGTGAATAAAAGAAAATTTTAAAAGAAAATATTTTTCTTTACCAATTTAATAAATTTTTATATTAACTTCACATAGCATTTTATTTTAATATAATATAGAAAATCATTAAATTATAAAATATACCAATTTTTATTTTTAATTATTAATATATATATATATATATATATATATATTAATCACGAAATTAAATAATATATATTTTAGAAAAATATTTAACTTTCTTGGTAAGATCTTGTTAGATATTTTCTCAACAGATTTTGTTATAAATGAAATTAAAGATAACTTTATAGTTATATATTATTAAAATATTTCTTCAGTAATATATATTTGGTTGATTAATATAAATAATCAAATATGTTATATTAATGAAATAGTCCAATATGACTTTTTGTAATAGATATAAATGGTACTTCTCTTTTAATATAGAAGATATTACAGGAAAATTTGAAGAGTGAAACATGAATGTGACATCAATAAATCGTCATTTTATTTTAGTTTGAATGTAAAAGCGCTTAATTAGATATCTTTTGTAACTTGAAAAAGTTAGTCAGTTTTATTTTAATTTGAATGTATATTTCTTTTTTTTCCTTGCGAAAAGTACGTGCACGGGATTATTTGATTTCTTATACAAATCACAATTGGTTGATTATAACAGCACTATAGACTAATGGGTTTACTAGGAATATATATATCACACATAATAATAACCCAAGAGGCCTCAAGCTTATAATTATTATATTAAAACATACAGTGGAAGTAACAAAATTAACTTCATATATGGGATCAACTCAAATAAATAGTTCTCCATAATAAATACCTTCAGTACAACTGTCAATAAAATTATTTTGATGAACAATGCCAGCATCAGTCGCTAGTAAGTATAATAAGATTGCTGGGATATCATCCAAATCAAAGTATTGACTTTTATTGGCATTTTGCATTATTTTATACAGACTGGATGATAGTATGATACTAACTTAAATATGTTTGGAAGAAGTTAAAACATTTTAAGCTGGAAACTTAGAATAAAACAAATGCCTCAACGTGGAGATTCTCGTCTTTTCTCCCTCTCAAAAAAGTCTTGAGGGAAACGTTCAAAAGTCGCGGGTCGCATGATGTATATTGTATACCGTGGAACTTTATTAATACAAGTGATCGACTTCATTCCTTTCCTGTTAGCAAGCAACAAAGGTAATGGAACTAAATGGATGATCTCTTCACGTCATCTCCCTCATGCAAGAACTTTTCTGTTTAATCTCGCTTTGTCGCTCATGTAAGTTTCTTTTTGGGTCTGGCAGCACTTTTGTCGCTCATGTAAGTTTCTTTTTGGGTCTGGCAGCACTCATTTACATAATTATATATAGTACTCATTAAGTTTTTCATATATCGATTTTTGCAAATCTGAGAAATAAGTTCAAGCCAACTCATTCTTATTTATTTTTTTTTTTCCAACTCATTCATAAACCTTTTTATACCAGGGTGTAGGAATAGACTGGTGAAAAATGGATGCAGTTTTCTTTTTGTTCTGAGATTTTAATGTTTGCTTGTTCCGCAGATTTTAAAAAATCAAAATCAAAACTAATTTTCAGAAGTTCGATACAATGATTTTTTCAAATCTAACTCCTTGAAAATTTACTAAAAATATTATACTGATAGGTCAAAACTTGTCCATCCTATCGTTTCCAAGTGGTTCATTTTATGAGATGTATCCATGTATATCTTCTATCCTAGAAGAGTTTTGAATATTCCAAAAAAGGACAAATTTTCATGAGGTGCTTGAAAATTTTATTTTGATGAACTGGTGACTACTTAATGTTAATGTAATTTTGATTAACTTTTACAAGTGTTTGTTGTAAAAAAAAAAAATATTAATGTTGAAGTCTTGGTTAACACTTTAACTCCGAAAATCTCAATATATATATATATATATATATATATATATATATATATATATATATTAATATTAGACTTATGAGATTTTTAATTTATGAGAAACTTAATCTAAAATTTTTCTACATAGAATTTTTTGGTTAGATTTTTTCGTAAAATTAAGAACCTCACAATTAAATATTAATCTATACATATATATATATATATACCTTCTTTTTTTATATCCTTGGAACTAAAACCTCTTATTGGATTTGTTCTCACTTCAATCTTTTTATACATACTATCCTTTGTTTAGTTTCAAACCCGTCAAAATTCAGTCTGTTGAGCCCTCTTTATTTTTTTTTTATGAATACAATTTTTTGTCAATAGTCTTTTTCATATCTTAATATATTATTAACAATAAAATAGTAGTATTTGATTCCAAAACCTTATAATAAACATAAGTAAAAATTGAAGAAATTTTTTATATAAATTAAAAAAATAATTTTAATCAAATATTAAAAAATTAATCATATCATAAAGCTTTCAATCAAGTCTAATAGGTTTCAAATACAATTATAACATAAAGAATTCAAAACAGAACGCAGACTAAATATAACATAATTATTTTGTTTTGAAAATATGAATTACAAAAATTATGCCATTTTTAAAATTACCTTCAAGTTAGTTTTAATATTATAAATATAACTTTTTCTTTTCTTAAAAAGAATACTTATACACGAATCTAAATGGGTACAGTTGTTTATTTTATTTTTACATGGATTAGCAATTCCTTACTAGGCCTTAAGGCCCAATTTAAAGTATAATTTGCGCTTTTAGAAACAAAGTGTAGTAACTAAAACCTGTCCACTCTTCTTTATCCCTCGTGTACTCTGTTGATCTCTTTGATTTCGGTGGCCGGTGGCCTTAAAGTCGCCGCCGGTCGCCACTATTCTTTCCTCGGTTCGCTTGGCTCCTCCTCTTAGCCTCTTCGCCGTTATCGCTGCTCTTTGCTCGGTTTTTCTGGATTCTCGCAGGTCGTTCCCGGCGAGTCTAGTGTCCATATCCCCTATGGAGTTTCCGCCGAAGTATGACAGGTAAGGAGCCTTTGATTGCGCCCTCTTCGGCTCGTCGAACTCAGATCTTGGTAGAATCTAGCCGCAACAGCCGACCGAAATTTCGAGCTGTCGCTGTTTCCTCTTTCCTCCGCCTCGCTCTCTCGGGTTGCTCCAACGTTTTTTTGAGCTTCTCTACTCTGTACTGAGAATTGAGTAAACGCATTTGATCTCTTGACGGCAATCCATGTCGTCTTTCAGTCGGATCCTACGGGTTCTGAAGACTCTTTTCTTCACTCGTTTGCCTGATTTTGAGGATTCACTCTTTTCTTCACTCTTTTCTCCAAAACGAAGTCTCCGGGTGAAGATCTTTGGCCTCTTTTGATGTCTGCGCTTCATCTTCCCCGAGAATCCTCTAGGGGGTGTTGCCGGATTAGGGGTTTTAAACATCTGTCTGCTTGCGAGTCTATCCAGTTTCTACCAATAGCGTTGTCTTCTCTTGTGCGTCATTTGATCTCTCCCCTGTGGTCTTCTAGTAAAATATTAGGAGTCGGCTTCATCAAGCTCGCCATCCTCCTTCTTGGTGCTTCGTGGAGCTTACTGCGGCTTTAATATTTTTTGCAAGTCTGCCAGCAATTAAAGCCTTTGCGTCTTGGAGTAAATTTGATGTCTTTTGAATCTTTATTTTAGCTTTGCTCTATCAGACAAATGATGACTTAATAATGTTCCTATGATGATGAATGATGGCTGAGTGTGTTCGGGCCAAAATATTAGTTCTGAATTTCCTTTGGAAAGCTATCTTTATCATACTTAGTAAGCAGATTTTTAGTTTTAATATGTGAGACATCTAATAATTAGAATCCTAACTTACCATAAACTTCTCTTTAATGCAGAACTTGTAGCTTTTCTTGACGTACTGGGGTTGGCTTCTGCCTAGCTGCTTGTCTTTGTGAACTTTTCTTTGGTTCATCTGCAACTAAATCTCTTGTATGGAGTGTTTGTCCCCAATCTTGGGTGAGATTTTGCGTCCTATGTGTGACTCATTGTGCTCCCGGGTCGTTAATGCCACAAGGTTCAAATCAAACGTCCAGGCTCTTAACAATGTGATGGAGAGATTAGTTGAGCTTAAGGGCAACATAAATGAAGACCACAAAGATGAACCCTTTGGACTCAAGCTAATGGGGTGGCAAAGAAATGCTGAAGAGGTTATCATTAAAGCAAGGTTGAAACTTGAGGAACAGGTTTCATGTTGTATGTCCTTGAAATCCAGGCTGAGCAGGAAACTCTTCACGATTCTCACGGAAGCTAGAATGCTCGAAAAGGAAGGTTTAGATCTTTTAGACATGATAGCTGTGGCTACTGCACATGAAAGAGTTGAACATGTTCCAGGAATTTCGGTACTTCATCAAAAAACGGCTTCAGATATGTTACGTAAAATCACAAATGGTTTGAGGAGCAGTAAGGTTCAGAAGATTGGTATTTGGGGTATGGGTGGCGTAGGGAAAACGACATTGGTGAGAACGTTGAACAATAAGCTTCAGAGACAGGCTGCTACGCAACCATTTGGCTTGGTGATCTTTGCTACAGCATCCAAAGACTTTGATCCGAGAATGGTCCAAAAGCAGATCGCTGAGAGATTGGATATCGACACCAGGATTGAAGAAACTGTAGAGAGGCTGGCAAGAAGGATCTATGTGAGGCTTGAGAAAGAGACCAATTTCCTTCTCATTCTTGATGACGTGTGGAAAGATATTGATTTAGATCTTCTGGGCATTCCACGAACAGAAGACAAGAAGGATTCAAAAATCATTCTCACTTCCAGGTTTCTTGAAGTCTGTCGTAGCATGAGGACAGATCTTGATGTTAGGGTGGATTGCTTGTGCGAAGAAGAAGCATGGGAACTGTTTTGCCAGAATGCAGGAGAGGTTGCGAGATCAGATCTTATTAATCCCATTGCAAAAGCCATTTTACTTGAATGTGGCGGGTTGCCCTTGGCTATCATCACAGTCGGGACAGCTTTGAGGGGAAAGACAAATGTCAAGTTGTGGGAACACGCCTTGAATCAGCTAAGTAGATCGGTACCTTGGATCAGAAGCATTGAAGAGAAGATCTACCAGCCTTTGAAACTGAGCTATGACTTCTTGGAAGGACAGGCAAAATCTTGTTTTCTTCTCTGTGCTTTATTTCCTGAAGACTTCTCTATTGAAGTTACGGAGCTTGTGATGTATTGGATCGCGGAAGGATTCATGGAGGAACAAGGTTCCCACGAGGAGTCCTTGAACGAAGGAATCACAATTGTGGAGAGCTTAAAGGACTACTGCCTGTTAGAAGATGGTTCTCGCAGTGAAACAGTTAAAATGCATGATGTTGTCAGAGATTTTGCAATATGGATTATGTCTTCCTCACAAGATGATTGCCATTCCCTTGTCATGTCTGGTACAGGTTTGCAAGAGATTAGACAGGACAAATTTGCTCCTTCTCTTCGATGGGTTTCTTTGATGAACAATAAGCTCGAAAGGCTTCCTGGTCTCCCAGAAGAGTACTGCAGGGAAGCCTCAACCTTACTGCTACAGGGAAACTGTCTTCTACAAGAAGCATCGGAGGTGTTCTTGCAAGCATTCTCAGCTCTTAGGATCTTGAATCTAAGTGGGACACGCGTGAGCTCCCTGCCCCATTCTTGTTTGCAACTTTACAACCTTCATTCTCTCTTCTTAAGAAGATGTGCTATTCTTATAGACCTACCTTCTCTAGAAACTCTTACCAAACTTGAGCTACTGGATCTACATGGCTCCCATATCGAGGAATTCCCAAAAGGGCTAGAAAAGCTGGAGAGCTTTAAACACCTTGATCTTTCACGAACATTTCACCTCAAAACTATTCCAGCTAGAATTGTTTCGCGGTTATCAAGTTTGGAGACACTAAACATGAAATCAAGTAACTACCATTGGAGTGTAGAAGGAGAAGAACGAGAAGGAGAAGCAACAGTTGAAGAGCTTGCCTGCCTTGAATGTTTACAGGTGCTGTCCATAAGTCTTATTTGTTCGCTGTCTTCTCTAACGAAGAGCAACTCTTGGATCCAAAGATTAAAGAAATTTCAACTTGTTGTGGGCTCCGACAACGTTTTGCCTAAGAGACACGATAAGAGGAGGCTATCAGTAGGTAATCTCAACTTATCGCAAGTATCCCTGGAGTGGCTCTTTGCTTATACAACCTCTGTAGCACTGAACCGTTGTCAAGGGCTCCAAGAAATGATGAAGAAATTGGTCACTGGCAGCAAGATATTCGTGAATTTGAAATCTCTTACGATTGTGCACGCTAGCATCAACTTGAGTGGTGGAATAGAGAAGGCAACCACCAAAAATCCAAAAGGATCCTCAACAACTCGAGACATACTTCCATTTCTGGAAGAACTTTGTCTGGTCGGAGTTAACTTGGTATCCCTTTCGGAATTACAAGCACAGCTAGGGTTGAGATTGGTTGCTCTTAAACGACTTGAGGTCAGCATGTGCCATGGACTTACGAGACTTGGTGGGATCAAGTTCACTATGCCAAACCTGGAGGAGATAGAGATTAGCTACTGTGACATCTTGCGTAATCTACGCCAAAATGGTTCACAAAAACCTCTCCTACCAAAGTTACGTGTCATGAAACTGAGAAATCTTCCATGGCTGGAGAGTGTTTCCAACGAAAACGAGACTTGGGAGTGTCTTGAACAGGTGGAAATCATAAACTGTCCTGCTCTGTATAATTTACCCATAAGTTCCAAAACTTGTGGAAGAATCAAGGAAATAAAAGGAGATGTGAGTTGGTGGAAACGTTTGAGATGGGATGATCCTTCCACTTTAAAAACTCTTGATCCTTGTTTCAAAGTTGGTGAAGAAATGACACCCACTTTTAGGTCCAAAGATTTGTGGGACAGTTGATAAAGAATCCAGGTCCTTCATCCCAGGAGCAGTACTGTCTTTTCTTTTCTCTGTGTTCGAATACTTCAATTGTGGATGTGCAAAACTATCTCTTGTTTATTTGGGTGTCTTTCCTTTGTTCGAGTCTTGAAAGTCTGAGTGTGCAAAACTATTTATCAACAATGTTACGTTTTTGGATACCTTCTGGTTCATAACTTTAGTGTTTAAAAGAATAAACTTCAAGCCACGGCAATAAGTCAACAAAATAGAGTATTACAGTACGAATCCATAAATCAGGTAAGCGTCTGGAAATAAAGAGAAACATATTCTTATATTCACACAACAGAAACAAAGTATCATTTGCAACTACTACACCCACAGCTGTTGTGTAATCGTAATCTACTATCATTGCATGTTCCCTCTGATCTCAAACCATTATCCAGTGTCATCAGGCTTTGTCACTTACGATCTCCTAATCTTCATCGGTAGGCTTAGAGGAACCAGCCTTCTTATTGGGGAGAAGAAGATTATGAATATTAGGCATCACTCCTCCATTAGCAATCGTCACATCTCCAAGCAACTTACTCAACTCCTCATCGTTCCTCACAGCAAGCTGAATATGTCTAGGCACAATCCTCGTCTTCTTGTTATCTCTCGCCGCGTTCCCCGCTAGCTCAAGCACCTATAAAAAAACCCATCACAATACCAAATTAAAAAATAAAATAAAAAACCAATCTTTACAAATCCATCAAAAAAAAAAAAACTCAATCACACCCAAAGAACTAAACTTTCCTACACAAAATCGAAAACCCAGAAACCTAAACCCACGCGATCGAGACAAGAGAGGGCTGTGATTCTATTTTACCTCTGCGGCTAGGTATTCCAGAACGGCGGCGAGGTAAACCGGAGCTCCAGCTCCAACACGCTCGGCGTACTTTCCGGCTTTGAGGAATCGAGCGATACGACCCACGGGGAATTGGAGCCCGGCCTTGCTACTACGAGATGTAGCCTTCTTCGCCGCGCCAGATCCAAGCTGTTTTCCACGACCAGCCATCTCTATTGAAACTCTCTAGAAAGGCTAATAAAAAGAAAAGTATTATGATGGAGAAAGCGTAATTGAGACGGTAATAATGATGAGTTTGTGTTGGTTACAGCGAAACCCGCCATGAGTTATTGATATATAGTGGAGAAGATAAGTATTGCTGACCAATGATGTGATAGTGCGCGGATCGATGGTTGTGGCCGTTAGATTGATGTATATTTAAGGGATGAGATTTAGTTTTGTGCGGTTAGGCACTTTCTTTTTTGTTTCTCTTGAACTCTGGGACTGTTTCAATGGATGTAAATATGGGCTGGTTTGGGTTTTTTCGTTTTAGCTCGAAGTAGTACAATCTGTTATTTTAACATTTGTTGGCCCATGTTGCTTTGGGTCAAGTCCATGTGGACCATGTTCTATTATTTTTTCCTATGAATTAAAACAAATTTTGTATCATTGTCACTCATTATTTACAGTTTGGTTGGTAACATTCACACGACAATTTTTGTTCATTGAAGGTTTTGGACCAAAACCTAGTTTTATAATAAAATAGAAGATATTGTCACATTGTCTTCTAACCAAATGAGCAATTGCACCATCATTTTTCACTATTTTTTAGAGTATAAACATATTTAACCGTACCGCTCAAAATTCCTTAACCCCCTAATACATAAACTTTGTGCAATCCTAATTAACGTGCAAAAATGTTTATTCAATAAAATATTGTTTGTTTTGTTTTGTTTAAAAGGGTAACCAATTGTTGTTGTCGTTTTGAAAGAAAACAAAATTATGTTGTCAAAAATTGTTACCTTTTTAACAACATAATTTTATTAATTAGATTGTAACCAAATTAGCAAATACGTACATAATAATAAAAACACAAGAAATAACATAGGTAAAATGATAAATAAAATCATAGAACACACGTAATAGTTTGACAAGATGATTCTTTTTGAGAGGTCTTTGATAATAGAGTTGAAAATTCTATTAAATTTCTTGAGATCTTGAAATCTTTGTCACAGTATAAAACTGTTATGTGTTTATAGTGGTTCATTCTACGGGAAAAAGGAATTGGAGTTATCATTTAGCTACAGTTTCCGCTTAATTTCTCCAAAAATGGATAAGAAACAAAAGGAAACAGGATAGAGACATTCGAAAACTGCATGTCATGAGCGTGGTGGTGGGTTAGCCATGATGTTACCAACCTTTAAAACAAAAATAGGTGGATCACACTTATTAAACCGCTCATTAATGTGGGATGTAGAGATGTCTCATAAAAATCACAGCACAATTATTATGTGTTTACGTAATCAGATCATTTTCTAATGGTACTATTTGTATACAGAATCTTCCTCTGTCCATATTGTAAAATACTGTGAAACCTGTTAAATTTGATTTGTGTACTTGCTAGTATTGGTCAAATCAACTTTCCATTTTTTTGTTTCCTTACTCAGATTGCTGTCCGAAGGACAGTACATAACGTGGAAGAGTCCTTATGGTCCGACAGTAATGTGAAGATTTCACTATTCTAAATAAAATTCAAACTATACAAAATATTGGAAGCATTACATTTGGGAAATGTGAGGCTGTACTCGGATTTTTAGCCGAAGAGACAACCAAAAAATCATGTACAGTATAGCCTCGTGAGTGAGATAGTATCAAGCAACTTGACTATCTATGGTCCATAGATAGTTAAGTCTCCTAAGTACGATCTTCCTTGTCTCGCCAACTCATAGATAGTTAAGTTAGTTTAACTAGGATCACTATTGTGTCCATATAGTTAAGTTACCTAAGTACCATCACTATCTTGATAACTCTGTTATATTCAACCCTAGTTTTAAACTTTTACTTTTATGTATCTTTTTATCTTGACACAACAAAAGAAAACTCATGGTTTGGTCCCCTTCTTTTAGACCTTTTAAAAACTGAATATAGCAACACTATCTAACATTTCATTTCAATCATTCTTTTCGTTTTTGCTTCTTTCGTTCTCATATATCCTCCACATTACAAAACAGTGAAGAGAGAGAGGCTCTCAAACAATGGAAGTTTCAAGCACAAGAACCGATACGATGAAGAAGAAGAAAAACAAGAAGCTACCCAATGTTTGGTTTTCACTAAAGAAATCTCTCCACTGCAAATCTGATCCCTCTGAAGTCCACGACCCGAGTTCCACAAGAAAAGAGAGTGCTAATGCTACCACATCCACCAAGAGATCAACTTACCGATCCGGTTGCTCAAGATCCATAGCAAATCTCAAAGACGTAATCCACGGAAGCAACCGACATTTAGAAAAACCGACACCTTGCTCTAGCCCACGTTCCATCGGAAGCAGCGAGTTCCTCAACCCCATCACTCACGAGGTCATCATCAGCAACTCCACCTCCGAGCTCAAGATCACCGCCTCCGGTGACGTAGACTCCCCCACCGGAGCAAGAGAGTTCGTGGGGACTCTCAGACCAGGGACGCCGGTGCATTACTCATCTTCTAACAGGAGCCAAGCGTCGAGAAAGGCTTCCTCGGAGAGAGACAGGGGAGGAGAAGCAGCGTTTAAACAGAGCAGGAGAGACTCAGTCATCAACGCAGACGATTCCTCTGTTTCTTGTCATAAATGCGGTGAAAAGTTTAGTAAACTCGAAGCTGCAGAAACTCATCATCTCACCAAACACGCCGGTAATAACAACCACATTGCAAAAAAAACAAATCAAAAGTTTCGTACTTTATTTTTCTTTTATTTTATTTTACCAAAAAAAAAGTTTCGTACTTTAAATCATAAAGTTTTCAACTTTTTTTTTCTTACTAAATAAAGTTTCTAACTTTCAATCAAATTTTCCCAAAATTTTAATCTTTTGAGTTTCGCAGTGACAGAGCTCGTGGAAGGAGATTCGTCGAGAAAGATAGTGGAGATGATATGCAAAACAAGCTGTTTAAAAACAGATAACCAATGCGGGAGAATCGACCGTATCTTAAAAGTACACAACATGCAAAAGACTCTTGCAAGATTCGAGGAGTACAGAGACTCTGTCAAGAACAGAGCAAGCAAGCTACAGAAGAAGCACCCGAGATGTATCGCCGACGGGAACGAGCTGCTCAGGTTCCACGGAACCACCGTCTCGTGCGTTCTTGGGGTAAACGGGTGCACGAGTCTTTGCTCGTCTGAAAAGTGTTGTGTTTGTCGGATAATAAGAAACGGGTTCTCGGTGAAACGGGAGATGAATAACGGAATCGGGGTTTTCACGGCGTCGACGAGTGGGAGAGCGTTTGAGTCGATAGAGATGGACGGTGGTGGTGGTGATGGGACGAGGGAGAGGAAGGCGTTGATTGTGTGTAGGGTGATCGCAGGGAGGGTTCATAGGCCGGTGGAGAATGTGGAGGAGATGGGTGGTGGGTTGAATGGGTTTGATTCTTTGGCGGGTAAAGTTGGTTTGTATACTAATGTTGAAGAGCTTTATTTGCTTAACTCTCGAGCTTTGCTTCCTTGTTTTGTGGTTATCTGCAAGACCTGAATCAACATTTTTATTGGTTAAATTGTGTGGTATCAATATATTTTGAAGAACCTAAAGTTTGGATATTGATGTCACACTCTCAAAAGTGCTTAGCTGCTTAGAGCACCCCCATCAATGAACCGATGGGGGGAGGTTCACAAAAAAAAAAATTTAATTTTTTTCTTTTTTTTATTCCTTTGTTTACTTTTTTAAAAAAAAAAAAAAAAAAAAAATATGGACCACTCGCGGGCCGCCACGTGGCATGGGGCCCGCGGAATAGTGGTGAACTAGGTTCACCCCAGTGATACTCAGCAAGCCAGGTTCATAGTTTTTATTATATTTTATTTTTTTTGTTTCTTGGTTTTTGTGTGAAACTCCCCATTGAACCTTCAATGGGGGTGCTCTTAGCTTTTAGAAAGTATAAATTGTAATTGTGTTTACGTCAATTTGTTACTTTTGACATTCTTACGTATACTATTACTTCTTCTTTTTTTTCTTACTCAACAATTTTACAATTGATTATGATTTAACTTATTCAAGATGAAATAAGAATGAAAATTCATTGTTTTTCAGGTCTTCCTGTTACTTGGGTTTGATTTTGCTTTTTTGGAAACCAATACGAGGCGAAACATGCATGACTTTTAGGCTGGTTTGGTAAACTGAGCAAAGTTGGAATAGTTTCAACTAAAACCACATGATGTGGATGTCCTTAGATTTACACATAGATGATATTTGCAAACTTAAATTCAAAATGAAAAAAAACCACTACCAGGTTGTTTTGGCACTGATCTCTAAGTGGAAAGGACAGTATGTTTTGTTCGTAGTGGTGTTTATTGGCTATTAGATTCATGTGGAATGGGGGTTAAATGCAGAAAATAAAAAAAAAATGGAATGGAGGTTGACGAGCGTCAGAAAGATGCTTTTGTTTCACGGGTAGAGAATGCTGGTAAATGCCAAGGCAATAACTTCTAAACAAATAAAAACTCTGGGGCACGATATAATTGGTTAATCATGAGCTATTTGTTATTTTACGTACATCGTGTAAGAACTTTTGAATAAAAAAAATAATGAACACTAAGATGTTCTAATCGATGAAAATGGAGTTTGTGAAACTGTTTTTTTTTTTGGGTTTTTGGTTTTTACCAAGAGCGTATTAAGCTTGGATATTAATTAGCTAAAACCTTTAGTTAGCAAAAGAAAAATGAAAAGCTTATTAATGGATTCTTAACAATCACGACCACCTGATCAAAACTACAAGCAAAGGAAAAATAGACAAATTGTTGTCGATATCACTGCTTGACTTTGTGGTGCAAGGTAGGAACCCTAAAATTGTTAATTAATTAGAAGCATCAAGGGTTTGATTAATAATTTTGTCAATACCATATTCGTACTCAAACCCGAGTTCTCTTAACTTCTTTGAAGAAAACGTAGGCCCATCAAACTTTGTGTCTCGTCCAGATCATCATCTATTCTACAATATAAACCAAGAATGATGATCTTGTGAAATATTTAGTCTAAAACAAAAGGAAATAGTTGATAAAAGCATTTGATAATTTTAACATTTCAATTGCTTATGAGTTATGATACTCTCCGTAGAGAAGTGATTAAGCATCAACCCATGCATATGAATATCGTCAACAAAACATATGTATTGACCTTCAAGCCATCAGAAACAAATGCGCCATGCAAGTATCTTCAGTGGGTAACAAACCCAATCGAACCGATTCTTTTGTTCACTGCTGAATGCTGATAGTATCTTTAACAACTTGGAGTCACCTACAAAACAAAATGGTAATTAATTGTACCCAACATATCATTTTATATTTGATAACCAAAAAATATTACAAACACACCGCACCTGCTACTAGAGACAATAGAACTTGTAGGCTTGATGGGAGCTAGTAAGAAATGGACCCGAGACAGTTTTTGTAATGACTGAAACAAGATCAATTCCTCTCTCTCCAGCAGATCTAAATACCAGTGCTACGAATATATCAAGATTAAAGCTTTATACAGAATCACAGATCAAACCTTTTTCCCAAATGCCAATGCTGGTTTACACTTTACAATGTAGATTATTAATTTGGCATGTAACGCATACCAACGCTGTTTTTTGTCTGTGCTATTTTAATATTTCTTGTTTTTTCCCTGGTTTGGTGTTACCTTTGTATTTATGTTTTGACAAAAGTTGTGTGTTTCGAAAACCTGACACTTGGAAAACTACTAGACAAACCTTTTTGAGCATTTCATAACATTTGGTAAGATTGGATTATTGCAACATTGGCGGTGTTTTTTTTTTCTCTCGTATGGATGCAATATTAAAACCAACGTGACATACAAGCTGCATTACATAGTTGACAATAAAACGACACCAGAACCATCAGCCCACAAAAAGAGGCAACGTTCAAACAACGGAAACTTACAAGTTACAACCATTGGTGGTGTTATCGTACTGCAAGGGACCATTAGTGTTGTTATCATTGTGCATTTGGATATATAATACTATGGAAAATGAGAAATGCAAGAAGAGAAAGGTAAAAAAAAAAGATACAACATCACTAGATAAGACTCAAGAAGAAATAAGAAGCAGCTTTCGAAAGTTGATCGCCATTTCCGGCGAAGCGGCTAACTCTCGTGTTTGGTTTACCTCCTTATAATTCTCTACATCACGCAGAGAAGCATTCCAAGACATTTTGTAAGAAGGCTGGGATGCTATGGGCTTCACTGGTCTGGCCCATAGACAAACGCTTTTCCTAACAATGAAACTAAGATCATAGCAACACATGATAACTAATAAGCTTTGTAGTTCGACAAAATCTTTGAATTATTTCATACTAGGGGTTCACCGGCGCTACGCGCCGGATTTTATAGCATATTTTAAGTTTTTTTTTTGATTCACAATTTAGATATATATATGGTTTAGTTTTTAATGTTTATGTAGTTTTATAAATTTAGAGTATTTTTTCACAAAATTTTAGAAATAAATTATTTCTCTTGTTTTTCTTTGACAAAAATTAAACTATTTATCAAAGNACTAGGGGTTCACCGGCGCTACGCGCCGGATTTTATAGCATATTTTAAGTTTTTTTTTTGATTCACAATTTAGATATATATATGGTTTAGTTTTTAATGTTTATGTAGTTTTATAAATTTAGAGTATTTTTTCACAAAATTTTAGAAATAAATTATTTCTCTTGTTTTTCTTTGACAAAAATTAAACTATTTATCAAAGATATAAAAATATATTAATTTTATTATCAAGTCAACATAACTGATTGTAAGATGACTGCAAAGAAACTAAAGTCTAAATATATACATGATAATTTATCAAATATTTAGATAAAAGTATTCTTACCTTTTTATTAAAATATATAGCATATGAAGGACTTTGTAATAGTTAAATATGTGGATTTGTTTTGTCAAACAAATTTAAAAGATGGTGAATATGGATGGATAGTCAACTACATCTCAAAACTATAAAACGGATTTGTGTTGTCAAATTAGTCCCTAATTGAGCCCAAACCAGGCAAATATTGTGACCATAGTACAATTACAATTAAATAAATGTAGATGTGATTTTAATATGATAGCTAATTTTAGTAAATTGAAATACTTAAAACCTTAAAAAAATCGTACTGAAACTGAGTCTAAATCCAAACTGAATACCTAACATGTTTAAAGGGGTTTTTATAACTTACTAATTTACCTCTAAACGAAAATCATTCAAGTTTTCTTTTGTAACAGAGTTGAAAAACTAAAACTTCATATAATAGGCCTCTAGTGTGGCAATAGATTTGGCCCCTGATTTTAATACAGATATTAGGAAACCAAATCGTTAGCAAAAATACAGAAGAATATATGCTTAATACTTGAAGAAAATCAAAACCTCCAGAGATTTGCGAACTGGAATCCAGCAAGGCAGCATCTCCACAGGCCTTCCCACTACTGCATGTTAAAGTACGGAAAGGACAAATACATAATGAAGTATTTTTCTAATATGGCTTGGAGAATATATACTACACCTTGAGAATTTTCATATCAATGTTAACTAATGCAACTAAAACACACACAAGCTCACAGCCGCATCATATGAGAGATGGGATCTTAAGCCTTGGCTCAATGTGTTTGTTCAAGCAGTATTAATAGTTTAAAGCCGCATTTATCATATTCACGAATTCGGAAACTCAGTTGTAACACTCTGAAAACCATCATGTGTGATCATTTAGATAGCGTGAAGTAGAAAAACAGAAATATTCAGAGTTTGATGCTTATTCTTTAGAATAACATAGTAGAGAGAGTCTCTTATGTCTTAACAAATGCAGTAATTACATCAAATCTTTAGTAAAGAGCTGAATTCACCGTTGGTGACAAACTAAATCATCAAGCAACTAATCAGATACTCATAACATCATTTAGCAAGCAAGAGTTTCTCTAAAATAGTGTCAAACCAATCATGGTTCAAATTAGAAAATAATATGAAATAACAATCAAACTGTGACAGGTTTTTTGGTGGATGGTTCTTCCTCAAATTTGCAGTGTACTCATCTTTCTTATGATAATGATATTGGATAGTGATTTCTTCTGTGCTATAAACTGGTGAGACTGACGCCGAGGGAGAGTATAATTATTAGTGTTTTTTTTTTTTGCGTAGCTTGAAACCAAATATGTAACAATATTTGAAATTGCTTCATTAACAGAACTTGTTGACTATCAACACGATGGTCTTTAACATTGAAATATTCTTTTATTGATTAAATAAGTTGCAAACGTGAATGTCAAACCAAATGATGGTTAGAGAAGACAATGCAAATAAAACTTCAGAAAATGCAGAGAACTCTTCATTTGGGACTTAAGCAGCTAAGCCTTGCGTGGTTTCTTGAGTGCCCTCTCTACTGCAGCAACATGTGGTGCCGTTGCTGAGCTATCACCAACAGTGGCTTGTGCAGTTGTTGTGGTTTCAGTTGGTGGAGCCGCTTGGTCATTGGGACTGCACCACGGGTAGTGCTAGTGTGTGGTAGCTAGCTTCACCATCAGAGCATGGACTGAAAAGTAAGCATTTACACGAAGTCCTAAACAAATTGTCTAAAATATGTATGAATACAACAAAGTCCTAAACA